ACTAAATAATGAATATTAATAAACCTATTAAAGGTACATAAATATATATAAGTACTTATATTATATTTGATGTATGCAAACATTTATATATATATATATATATATATAAATATATAAATGTACCTACAATATATGCGTAATATATGTAATGAATGGTAAGATAATTAGATTAGTAAATATAGATTTTATTAATATTATTATTCATAAATTATAATAAATATTTGGTTATTTTATTAATATTTTTTGTGTATTAAATACATACTAAAAGAATTTTTTTATTGGAATAATATAAATTGACCAATTACGTAATCCTATACTCCTTTAATAACATTATAATCACTTAGTAATAATCCAGTCGATTAATTTCCTATAACCGATAAGAAAATAATAATAATAATAAAAAGAAACTTTTATTGAATTCTTTTAAAAGAATAAAGAATAAAAGAAATAAAAAACATTACAAAACCATCTTTCCATCTTTCAAAACAAAAAGAAAAAGCACGAGAATAATTTTTCCAATCTTCCAGATTCTTCACTTTCGAAAGTAGTACCGGATTCTGGTATGAGAATTATGCCTCCAGCTGTCGAACCTACAACTAGTAAGCACACAATTAAAAAAAAAACAAACGACTATGTATACATATAAAAGAATATACTAATATAATAGATATATGTAAGTTATAGAAATATTTGTATAAAGTACAGTATAATTCTTGTAAATATGTATGCAAAGATAAGTACAATTTGTATTTTTTTCAATATTAAACCTTACATTTTGTGTTGATAAGAAAAAGACTACATTAAGCTTTTATATAAATAAATATAGATGCCTTTAGCTACACTATGAAATAACTTAATTATACATAAGTATGTAAAGAGAAATGAGAGAGAGAAAAAAATCACAGTTTTACACAATGGACAAAAAAATCTATACACTCTTTTATTTTTGCTTTTGGGTTAAAAACTATAAAATACATGTATTATGAATAGAATAAACATTTAGTCTTCGCATCATTGAACATTTTACAGCTCAAGCGAGTCAACAAAGCCCCGGAACAAAGTTGAATCGGGAGTCAAGCAGAAATCGAAGTACGTTCAATTTATAACGCCACTTTTTTCGTGTTGTTTTTTTTATTAAAATATCGACAAATTTATTTTCAATTCCCTTTCTGTCTATTATTATTGTTATTGTTATTATTATATGAGTTTATATAGTGTAATTGACAAACTAAATTGGTTTGTTACTGTTTTAAAAAACAAAATTTCCTTTTTCAAAGAATGTGGCCAAGTGGATGCTATTGGTACACCAGTTTTTGAAAAGTATTCCGAAACGTATTGGGGGTCTTTTATGACGGATACTGCACCAAAAACGGTTACTGATGCTAAAAAGTTTTACGTAACTTCTCATACAGAGGGTTCAATAGTACGTATATAAAACTACAGATGGCGTCCGTTTTATATTATCATTCGTTTAATTTTTTCAGCTAAAAGAGTACTCGAATCGCGAGCATTTTATTCGAGATATCGAGGGAAGAATTTATGATTTAGACTATGACTTTCACGGAACTGAGCATGTTATTCATAACCAAGCATTTTATTATCATAGAGCAGGAACAAAGTCAATCATTAAATATGATTTACGTAGTCCATCGAAAGTTAAGAGAAATCGTTCAACTATTGTCTATAATGTAGAAGGCCCCGGAGCTAGTGAAGAACTTTATACAACGAGATACATTATATTTGATATATCGGCCGATGAGAATGGAATATGGGTCATGTACTCTGAGCTATCCTACTTAAAGATAATTAAAATAGATCTTGTTTCGGGAGGAGGTAAAAGTAAAGAATGGAATTTAAACTATGAGCAATCAAGATACCGGAATTCAGTTATTATATGCGGTATACTCTATCTCGTTGAACAAAGAACAGATAGGAAAACTGCAAGTCATAAATTTGCAGTTACTTCTGCTTACGACTTAATGAAAAATCAAGAAATAAAAGCAAAGTTAAACTTTACGGATCCTTTTAGACACAATACAATGCTATCTTATAATCCAGAGCAGAGGGAAATTTTTTCATGGGATAAAGGCTATCTACTTTCCTATAAAATGAGATTTAAGTAACGAAAGACAAAATGAGGCAAAGAAACTCTATCAATACGTCTGTTTTTTTTCTTGAAAATTCTAAAATCTTTTTAAAGCTTTCTTTTGGTAAATTTGACAAAAAACATTCATTAAATGGATCATAAAATACGAAATAAATTAGCATAATCAGATATTTAAATCATCAAATGAAGGATATTATCATTAGATGGAATTTTTAAAAATGTTAACAGGGTATTCATGATGTTGGTATATCTACTTAAAATAATATCTGTTTTAAATATATATTAATATTAGTATTTGAGATTAAATACAAATTGAATTTTTAAAAGACTAACTTACCAGCTATTAACTTTTTTATTTTGGCGCTTCACTCTTCCACAATACCCCCTGGAGAAATATTAATCTAAGAGCAAATAGTCAAATCATTCCAATTTACCTAGTTATTTAATTACGAATAGTAATTAAAAATTGAATATTTTATTAAACTAAATAAAAGAATAGGCAAAATATTATTCTTTTATAAACGAATAGTAAATCACTCTTGAGGACAAATAACATCAATCTATTGAAAATATTGCAGATGAGACCCTTTCATTATTATTCTTGCTAAAGACCGGCATGTTATTTGTATGCCTTCTTCCCCTATTCCATTTCCTAGTTCATAGGGCTCATTTAGATACAGTAAAGGTTCTATTTTGTTAAAGAGTGTCCACGAAAAATGCGTCAGAAAAACATTTCCGAGCTTTCAAACTATTTCAATGTGGAATGTGTAGAACGCAAATGTATTTCTTTTAAAAAATATCAATAAATCAGCTTTACCATCTTTGTTAGCTGAGAAAACCTATTATATTAGTAATATAGTTCTATTTTCTATTCCATCTTGTAAAGGTTTTTGCATTGAATAAGGCAATTAATACCCAATTGATTACCCAGTTGGTCACTTTAGCCTTTTCCAAGCATTCTCTTCTATAACAATGACTTTTTTATCCTTAACATTTGCATCAGGAGTCTTATATTGTCATTATCTTACCTTCAATAGACTATTTATGTTAATATTCAAGGTTATGAGGATACTGCAAAAAAGACCATTTTATTTGAAATCCTACTGGAAAGACGTAAAATATCTATTTTCAGAATGAATTCTTTAAAAGTAACTTTTACTAAGCCTATATCTTATTTCGATTCGTTTATTTAATTCTTATAGTGTTGGTATCGCATTTATACTCTTGAAATAGACAGCAGATCTGGCAAGAAAGATATGATTCTTCATAGAAAAAAATTTATAGGATTACCTGAGATTAAGCTACTCATTTCTCCGCTTACTATAAGAGAGAAACTGTGATTTGCAAGTGCTATATGTTTACAAAGAACATAAGAACATCTTCAGAGTTATTGTTTCTTTTTCTTTCCTGTAGTTAAGTAAATAATTTTATTTATATAGCATACAATTAACTATATTACAGAAAGTAATAATTATATAATTTTAGCTTCGGCAAAAATTGGAGGAAAATGTATCGTTAATAATCATAATTGGAATTGTACTGTTGCTATAAATAACAATTTATATGCTGAATAGACTATAAATTGTAGAGGAAATGGCTGCATTGATATTAATTCTACAATTAAGTTCAATCTCTATTACGAACCAAGTTTATTATCTCCAATAGGAAAGAGTTTTATATGTGCTAATTAAAATTAAAATTATGCTAACACGGAGAAAGAATCTCATTTGTGAAGCTGATGTTTTATTGTATTAAACATGGATGAATTTATGAATTTATAGCTTCTGATTGGATGAAAATGCAATAAGATTCTGCTTTGTGACAATTCACTATTTGTCTATTTTGAATCGAGTATAAGTTTTTTTTTCCATTGAAGTGATATATGAAGAATACACCTCTCTGAAAAGTGAAGTTTTTAATTCGATTCAGCTAATGAATAATTTTCCTTTATTCATAATAAATTGAAAATGTATTGAATAAGAATCTACGAATTAATCATGAAATTAATAGATATATTAATTTATCTATTGAAAGTCTTAATAGACTTGTTTTCCTCCCTTTCAGCTAAATATCTATATTAGAGTAAGTAAATGCTTCCTCTAGTATAAATTTTAATGAAACTGTAACAGATATGGTACAAACAACACGAGTAAACTAAATAAAAATATGGTTCTCTTTTTGTATAAAATCTAAAATAATAATATAAAGATATGGCTACAATTTTTTACTTTAGTTATTATAATATATGCTTATTAGATGATTTGAGTTTTCCAGTATAACTGTAAATACGTTTATACTCAGCACAAAGATGTATATTGCAATGTGATATATGAATTATTGAATAATATGAAGCCAAGAGATATATTGGTCCTAGGTATCATTAATTATTTACACTTTGTCAGTTTTATCTATTCCTTGTTTGGCTAGGTTATACGAAGTAATTGTTTGTAAACAAAATTCTGAAACTGTATACTAAAATTTTACGTAGTTTAGTAGTATGAAATTAAAAGTAACGCTTCAAAATAACCTAAAACTATAACAGAAACGAAAAATAAAAGCGTTTATTATCATCTCTTTATAAAATAAATATAAAAGCATAATGTATCCCTACTCTTTTATATAGTTAATAAATAATATTGTATATATTAAACAGTCAATACAAATTATCATGATTTATATTTTACATTTTCAACCTATTCTGTAAAAGAACTTTTTTTTAAATGTGTACTGAACCGTTCTTCATTTGTTATAGTTACTTTTGAAAGTATAATTTATAATTAAAGTATCAGTTGTTTAATTAATAATACAAGCATTTAAAAAAAAACCTGTTTGTACATTATGAATAGTTAGTTTTCAGGAAATATATATATATATATATATATATATAGAGTTTGATTAACTTCAAGTGATGCACAGATAAAGTTTAAGCTAAGAGTTTAGTCGTTTGAAGTTTGAAGAACTGAAAATGAAAAATATTTTTTGCAGTTGTTTTGTGATTTTTATACTTTTTGAAAAATATATAAATTGCTCTTTTCCAAATATTAACGGTGGTTTAATTAATATAGCAAGTAATTCAAATTGTACGGCAACAACTACTTTTCTCTTGTCGTCTAACCTGGAAAGATACTATTGCAAAAATGCTTTAAAACCTTTTTGGCAAGAATTAATGGGATGGGCCTCGAATTGTACAGATAAGAGTTCGTGCAATCAGCAATCTTTGACGATTTATTTCGAAAAGACGTACGATGTTTTAGAGATATGTTTGTGGCAAAGATTTCAGTTTGCTTTAAAAGTAGTTAAAGAAGTTGAGATAACTTTCAGTAATAACTCATCGTTTAATGTAAATTTGGATAATGATTTCCTAGGAAAGTGCTTTCTAGTACCAGACAAAAGAGGAATGATGTCCAATTCTATGAAAGTATCAATAAAAGATACTTTTTTAAATGGAACAAACGGATTTAGAAGTATAATGATATATGCTTACGATGGTATATTTAATATAAATTATTTAATACACTTTCTTAATACGTTACTTATATCTATTCTTTATTTTTATTATTAATAAATAGATCAGAAAAACCTAAACGATACTGATCATGTTTATTTCCACAATATGGCATCATCTTATTCTGGAAGTAATTGCTCAAGTAATAAAAAATCATTGAATAATGATTATAACTGCTTGGAACTTTTGGATTATAGCAAGTCGACTGAATGGAAAATTAACTGCTCAGCTTTAGAATGTATTAATTCTACACTTAATATTAGCTTTTATACCACTCAGATTCCTAAGCTATTTTGCTTTAGTCATAGGTTAGTAGGCAGCAAAGGCAGTTAATTAGTATTTGCGAATTGTCATTGATTTCACCTTTAAAGTAGTATATAACTGTATATCTTTCTTTTTTTTTAATTTTTATAGATATGACATTAATTCATTTACTAAAGATTGGAGCCTTTTATGGGGTTCTGGTTTTGTTCAAGAAGTCACATTACCAATGAATTTTGAACAGCATTGCTTTAAATACAAAGGAAATTCAAAAGAAAGTTCAGTGAACCTTGTTCTAAAGTCAGTAAGGACAAATAATACGGCAGTTGTCGGATTACTTTCGTTTTCCGTTTTGACTCATAGTTCGTTGTTAACTATGTGAAAATTAGCTAATTTTCCTAATTTTTTTCTTTGTTCTACAATTGATAGTTAAACCAGAGAAAGAATTTGAAATTCAGAAGGGATCAAATGAAAAGGCTCTTTATTATCTTCCTATGTCTGTAAGTAATGGTGAACATACTTTTTCCTTTGGTGTATATGGTCAAAGTAAAGGAAATAGATCACAATGCGGAGGAATTACTTTAGAGTTTAGAAACCATAGCTCATCATTATTTAAACTCTCAATAGATCTTTACTGGAATTCAACAACAACAGCGACAAGTCTATTTAATGTTTTAAAGAACATAACAACGATTGTGTATAACTCGAACAATAATTCGTATTTAGAGTGTAAAGAATGGAGAAAATTTTGGATCTTGGTTAAAAATAACACTATACAATTTGGTAGCAATATGGAAAGTGTTAATAATTCTATACTAGAGATGAATAATGTGTCCTTTTCTAAATATACGAACATCGCTTTTTATAACGAAGATTATGGAGCAGTTAATAGAATTAAATTCTATAGAAAAAACGAAGTAAAAAAAGGTATTATTATACGATATGTCTAAAATATACACAGTATATAATATACATTAAACTACTTATAATAGAGTTTTAAAAAGGTCTATTAATATTTAAAACTAATTATGAATAATTAATTAAATTGGTCAACAACTGACATAAACAATTATATTGTTCTATTACTGAATTATTGCTGAACTTTTTTGCCTCGTTAGAAAAAAATGAATGGCATTTTCCTACACAACAATTCAAAAATTTATCACCTAAATTACTTGTTGCTTAGAGGATTCTAAATATTTCGTATGAAATTAATAGTTACTATAAACGTCTACATGAATTTTTATTTATTAGTGAAAGCTATGTACAAAACTAGCATATTAATTGATGACAGCTTATTCAATCAGTCATGCTTTTACGGACAACATTATTCCTTACTCTTATTATCTTAAACAATATAATTAAAGGTAAAAAGTTGTTATATTTAGTATATTATTTTAAGCAATAGTATTCGTTTAAATTTAACAATAACTTATTCATTAACAAGTGGTGATTGTTCGTATCTATACACTTTAAAGGTCATTCTTTTAAATTTTTATTACCTAACTTTAAACGTTCTCACTTGTTTTTATATTTCTGAATAGTTATATATAAGTTTAAAATTTATAATATTTAATACTTCCGTTATCTTTTATTAAAGAAAAATGATTCCTTTTAATTACTCTTTCATAAAAAACACAACGTTTAGCTTTAAATAAATATCAATTTTTATTAAAAGTTCTATTGCTATCTCTATAGGTTCGGCTGAAAAACAATGTTATACTTGTAGCACATCCGATGGAATACAATGTTCCAAGGTCAGCAATTCAACACAGAAGGAAAGTTGTGTTGCTCCGGGCCATAAATGTGTTAGTATTGCAATAACCCTGCCCAACAACTCAAGTAATTATCTTTTCTATATTACCGAACGATGAGAAAACTATGTTCAATATAATCTTTTCCAGATCAATTACAAGGCTATTATCGCGATTGTTTATCTGTCTCTCAAGTGACTAGTATGCCAAATGGCTGTTTCAACAATGGCGACTTTAATTCAAAATTAACAGCTTCGGGGATATCTATTCCGAATATTGATGCCAATAATGTCAAGGGATGCGTTACTCAATGCAATCCATCAGACGTAGTTTGTAATAATTATATAGGTAAAACTCTATCATACCAATAAATAACAATATATGCATTTCAATAAAGTTTACTTTTCTAATGTAAATCTTTATCAGCTTCCCACTTGGGAAATGCTTGCACACAAGACGATCACTGCCCCGGAAATTTTGAAAAGTGTTCAACGTCAACTTGCGATTGTGATGTTGGCTATACTAAAAATGGAGATGTGTGCGAAGGTATGATACATATATTTTTCTACATTTCCATGAATTCTTTTATACCGAAGATTCGGTAATAGTTTGAAGAATGAATGTTTTTTTAATATGCGCCAGCTGCTTTAAACCAGGCTCAAAACAATAGAGAAACCTTTAAATTATACATGTGATTGTCGCTTATTTACTAATAATTTACTTCTATCCTTGGTGACTTACATTTCACAGTCATGATGTGAATATTTAAAGATAATTGTATTTAGGATAAAAAAAAATAAGTGGCGCCAGTAAAAGTCAAAGCTAATGTCTTTTTGCTATTGTCGTACTACATTCAAAGAAAGAGAATGACTAGATCAAGTTTGTTTCCTTCTCTTCTTATAGTAGCTAACACTGCTACAATTATAATTTTTGTTGTCCAAGGCAAGTATTTTAGGTTGTAGTCTAACTTCTTGCGTGGTTTTATAGAAACATTGACCATTTAACTGTGATACATTGTTTAATAAATTAACTTTTACAGCAGTAAACTCTGCCTCAAATGAAACGACCACAGCTGTGGTAAATGTTACGACGTTCACCACTTTATCCAACTCTAGTAATAACCAAAACACAACGATGACGTCAACTGTTGGACTGAACACCCCCTCAAATTCAACTGTAACAACTCAAACTATGTTAGTTAACTCGACGAATTCGACTTCATCAAGCTCCCAATCAACTAAAACTATGGAGACTCAGACTAGTCAAGCAATAACTGGTACATCCAACACTGCAACGCAATCAGGGTCTACAATTTCAGGGACTGGCACTACAATGACTGAAAGTGCAGGGACTGGAACTACAATGACTGAAACTATAGGGACTGGAACTACAATGACTGAAACTATAGGGACTGGAACTACAATGACTGAAACTGTAGGTACTATGACGACTCCTACAGTCGGTTCAGGTTCAACTGGAACTACTCCAACAATGAGAACTTCATCCCTAGGGATAGGGGAAAATCAGTCAACAACTACCGTATCGTACCAATCAACTGCCTCACCAAGCACAATAACTGAGCAAATTACGAGTAAGAACTCATAAAACAAAAAAATTTTATAGAGAATAACCTCATTATTCATGATTTAACAGCAAAAAAGATTGAAACAACTACAACAGGTTAATTTTTTTATACCATTGATCTCTTTTCTCAAAGAGGATATATAAATAATTATAATTGTTAGTGTATTTTCGTTTTCTCTTCTTTCATAATCCTTAAATACTAATGATGCAAGTACCAAATTTATAGTCTTATTAATATTTTTTCATTTATAAAACAAGCAATGTATAATTCAAACATTTTTTTGAAAGTTAATTAAGTTTTGATGAAATCGAACAAATTTAAACTTGAAAAGTCACTCTACTTATCTTTTAACCTTGAGAAAAAGTTATTATTTAAAGTAGAATTTCATTAAATATGTGATAAGTTTGTTTTTAACTACTAAAAACCAATCTGTTTCGTAAAAAACAACGCAAGGTTAGATCTATTCCAATAAGTTCATAAGCTAGGTCTTTAGATAAAACTATCCTATACACACTATAAATTTATATGACATTGTTAATCAATTAATAAGTAGAAGATTGTTCGGGTTCCTTTTAAATAATTAGCGTCTATCTATTTATCAGCATTACCAACAACAACGAAAAGTGAAACAACTATCGGTAATAGCAATTGTTATTTGCTGGTCCATATGATTATTAATTTGATATCAAATTTAAGCTACGACAACAGCAGCAAATACTGCTACTTGGTCAGATTGGAACTCTTGGTCTTCATGCTTAGCTAACTGTGGTGTTTGCGAAAAAACAAGAGTAAGACAATGTCGGGAGTCTTCTTTCACTGTTGCCAATTCAAGGTGTGATGGAAATGCTACCGAGTCTAGTAGTACAGACTTAGGTAAATGTACAATACCAACAAGTCCATGTACAGCGTCTCCTTGTGGAACTGGATCAACGAAATGTACAGCCTCTTCCGACTTCTCTTCCTATACGTGCACTTGTAAAAGTGGTTATTCAAATGCAGGGAAAAATACTCCATGTCAGGTATTTTGGTTAAACATAACTAATTTTACATGATTATTAAATTTTACAATTGTTGCTTCAATAGAACATAAATGAATGTAGTCTAAATAATAATGATTGTACTAAGCCTGGCGCCTTACTATGCGCCGATTCTGAAGGAACCTACGACTGCACATGCAAAAATGGCTATATTAAAAATTTACAAGAAGTCCGATCTTGTATAGATGTTAATGAATGTACAAGTAATACACATAATTGCGATTCGTCCGATAGAGCAGCCTGTACAAACAATGGTGGCAGCTTTTCATGTAGTTGTATATCTGGGTTCATTGGTTCTGGTCTCCTTGGAACATGCAAAAGAACAACAACTGTTGATCTTGTCTTTACATCAATGAATTTATTAAGCGGTTCCAAGAGTTCATTTCAATTCGCTCCTTTCAGTATACCTCTGGCAGATGGTTTATATAGAGCATATTACATAACAAGAAATGGCTTGATCATTTTTCTTAATTTAATGCCGTCAGATTCCGTTGATAGTCAGGAGTATCTAAAGGATTTTTTGAATCCTACCGATTTACCTTTTAGTCGTTATACCTTTCCAAATTCCAAGTGGCCTCATAGAGCTATAATAGCCCCTTATTGGGCTGCAAATAAATTGTCTAGTACAAATGCTGCCGAAGGTAAAGGTGTTTTTTATCAAGAATATTCAACAGGAAGCTCTGTTATTTCAACCTTGCAAACAACTATTAGAAATTCAGTTTCTGGTGCGAGCAGTTTTACTGCCAAGTGGTGTCTAGTTGTTCACTGGGGAAAAGTTGAATATCCGGGAAAAACCAGTTTAACAAACACTTTTCAATGCGTCATTTGTACAGATTACAAAAACACTCACTCGGTTTTTCTTTATCCTGATAGAGAAATGAATTGGGTTGTTCCAATTACAACAGCCAATTTACAAATAAGAAGCGGATATTCGATTAAAAAATTGGATAATTCTTACATTTCCGAAGAATATTCGGGCTCCTACGCACCGGCAAATGATCAGAACTTGATAAAGGTTTAATATATTCTTTTTTCGTTTGCAGCTTTTAATTCTTTTTTCCCTTCAAATAGTCTCTTGCTGATATCTACGAATATCTCAAAGATGGCACTAAATCTGCTTTAAATGGGGGAAAGCACGGATATTCTTTCAGTTCTAATCCATCATCTTTTGAAAATCCTACTCTAAAATGTAGTCAATGGATAACAGCAGACATAGCAGCTGCTGGAACCTTTCTAGATAAAGCATACAATTGTCCTTGCGCTAAAAGTCAATTAACAGAATTTTGGAAGAAAGTTACAGGAACTTCTTGCTATGAATCGAGGAATCCTGATTCCAGCGATGATCAGGAAGTAACACCAAGATGTTGCTATAATAATGACGGAACGTTCATTCAAGGAAACAATGCTGTATCAATCATAAAGAATCATCTTAGGAGATATGGTGTAAATACGACAAGAAAATATGCTGATGATATTGAAGCATACACAACGTGCTGTACAGAAGACCAATCAAAGCAACTCTGTTCATCATATTTAGCAAGAAGGCCACCTTCTTCCTGTGAAAACTTCGTGGCTGCAAAAACTAGCACAAGTTATGGTGATCCTCATATTATAACATTGGATAACGCTAATTATACCTTTAACGGTTTGGGTGAATATGATTTGGTGATAGCAAATTTTTCAGGCTTTGCCTTTATGCTACAAGGAAGAACTGAAACCATTCAAACTGTTAATAGCGATACTTCAAAAGCTACGATATTTTCATCTATTGCAGCAAAACAAACAGACTCTAGCAAAATAGAATTTAGGTTAAATTCAACAAAAACAGGTATCGAAATTATCAAAGATGGAGAATTAATCAGTGACGAATCTACTATAAGATCCGATTCTGGTCAAGATTTTACTAAAGTATCAGTTAAGATAACAAATGATGTTTATACTATGGCTTTCTATTCAGAAATTGTTATTAGAGCTAGTGTTATTCAACAGATATTAGCTCTTTCTGTTTTAGCTCCACCTTCATTGAAAGGTAAACTTACTGGTATTTTTGGCAATTATAACGATGACGAGAATGATGACTTTTTCTATCGAAACGGAACTTCTGTCAGCAGAGACTCTACGGAAGAGGCTCTCTTTCATATGGGTCAAACTTGGTTAATTGATGAATCATCATCGTTGTTCACTTATCCATCGGGGAAATCTGCAGCAGATTATAGAAATACATCTTTCATACCCATTTTTTTGGATAATTTATCCGCTAACTGTGCCTTTTACGATCTAGCCAAGGACACTTGTGGTGGCGATAGAGGCTGTATGGCAGATATTTGTTTAACAGGAAACAAAGAAATTGGGGCTAGTACAGCAGAGAAGAAAAAATCTTTTGAAGAAGAGAAGAAGAAGCTGCAAAATTATCCTCCAACTTTTGGCAATGATACAATCAGTGTAAGGATAACAAAAGGTCAAACTTTAACCCAGCAGATTACAGCTACTGATAGAAATGGTGATTCTATTACTTATGAAATAGAAACTCCTATACCAACTGGAGCAAGTATTAGTTCCACTGGTGTTCTAACATGGAACGTCCCATCAACTAAAACAACTTTTTCACTTAGCATAAGCGCTAGAGATTCTAGTGGTGCAAAGACTATCGTTCAAATTTCAGTCCAACACTGCCTGTGTGAAAATTTAGCAACATGTAACTGGGTTGATGGAAGCGATAACTATATACAAGTTGGTTGTATATGTAAAACAGGATGGGAAGGATCCTTATGTGAAACTGACATCGATGCATGCGCAGATACACCTTGCTTTACTCAATGTACAGATAAAACACCGTCAGAAATAAGTAGCCCAAGTGATGATGGCTACACATGTCTAGCTTGTCCTTCAGGCATGATAGGAAATGGTAAAACTTGCACAGATTTGGATGAGTGTCAAACGAATAATGGAGGTTGTCAACACAAGTGCGAAAATATACCAGGCTCCTTCACATGCATGTGTAACAGTGGTTATGTTGCGAGTGGAAAAACTTGCATAAGTTTGTATTAAATTCGTATAATTCCTTGATGAAAATCAATTGTAAATGCAATATCTCTTCAAATAGATGAAAATGAGTGCACTCTAAATACGCATAATTGTCATTCAAATGCTCAATGCGAAGATACAGCTGGTAGTTTTAATTGTACTTGTAAATCAGGCTATTCGGGAAGTGGAACGAGCTGCGTTGACATAAACGAGTGTACTTCCGGTGCAAGTAAATGTGATGTAACATCAACGACATGCGAGAATTTAAGTGGTAAGTATTTACTATTGTACTTCTCTTTCCCTCTAATAGGACTGTTTTTTTAACCATAGGAAGTTACAAATGTGTTTGTAAAGGAGGTTATAGAACGAACACAACGGATTCATTTAGATGTGTTGAAATCGATGAATGCCAAGGAAATCATGCTTGCCAACAAAAATGTATCGACGGTCTGGGTACATATTCCTGCGGTTGTTACGATGGATATGACATTTCACAATCTGATGTTAAGGCCTGCGTTGCAAAAACAGAATGTTCAACTGCTGAAAAGGGTGATTGCGTTGGCGGTATGTGTGCAAAGGTAAACGGAGTTGCAAAATGTACATGCCCTCCTAAAAAAGTTTTAAGCCAAAAAGAGTGTGTTGATGAAGATGAGTGTACAAGTGCTGCTAAACACATTTGTGATTTATCAACTTCAATGTGTGTTAATAAAGATCCAGGATATGAGTGCAAATGTAATACTGGCTATGAATTAGATAAAGATGGATTTACATGTATTGATAAAGATGAATGTGCAGATGGTTCTTCTGGATGCGACTCTTCAAATGGAATATGCACAAATTCTAAAGGCTCTTTCCAATGCAGTTGCAAAAGTGGATACCAATTGAGCTCGGGTGGTAAAAATTGCACAGATATTGATGAATGTTTACAAAGACCTTGCGATGCTAATTATGGAGTTTGTAACAATACAATTGGGTCTTTTATTTGTACATGTATGTCAGGCTTTACTGGAAATGGATTTATATGCAGTGATCTGAATGAATGCGCTGCTAGTGACAAAGGAGGATGTTATCACCAATGCGAAAATACCATTGGTTCTTTCGAGTGTAAATGCTCAACTGGTTACGAATTGAATGCTAATGGAAAGAAGTGTGATGATATAGATGAATGCAAAGTTCAATCTCTAAATGGCTGCTATAACAATAATTGTACAAATACTGTTGGATCGTTCATATGCAGGTTTGTATCCATTCTATAAAAATTCTATTCAATAAAACTAGATTATTTCTCAAAGTTGCCCTTCCGGTTTCCGCTTAAAGAGCGATAGGAAAACGTGTGAATCCATATTCACTTGCCCTTCTAACAATACATGTTCTCATAGTTGTGCCATGATAAATGGTGTAACGTTAACGTGTTTGTGTCCTAATGGATACGAAATCAGCAGTGCAAACTCCAGCCAATGCGTTGATACAGATGAATGTACATCTGAGGGTTCTACGTTATGCCCATCGAGTAAAAATGTTAAGTGTGTAAATACAGTTGGATCCTACGAATGTCAATGTCTTAATAGCTTTTATAAGAAAGTTGAATCGGCAAGATGTATAGACAAAGATGAATGTTCAGATGGAACTGGAACTTGTAGCGATCCGAAATCAACGTGCTTAAATCAAGTGGGCCAAAGCTATAAATGTGTCTGTCCCACACCTATTTATCAATTGAATGTCAATTCAAGTAAGTAAACAATCTATCCTTACTTTAAGATACAATATCTAATAGAATTATATTTAAATAATAAGGTGGAAGCTGTGTGGATGTAAATGAATGCAGTTCAGGAACGGCTAAATGTGATAAAACTAATGGATTATGTACAAATACGGAAGGATCATACACTTGTTCATGTAAAACTGGTTGGACGCTTTCAAATGATAAATTTACTTGTGTTGACATAAATGAATGCTCAACATCAAATGGCGGATGTGCTCACACATGCACGAATACAGATGGTTCTAGAACTTGTTCATGTAGATCAGGCTATCAGCAGCAGGTATTTTCCTTATAGTATAATGCTTTGATGCAATATTATCACTATCCGTTTTTTCAGAGCAACACAGATTGTCTGGATATTAATGAATGTCTTTCCGGAAACCATGGTTGCACTCAAAAGTGTAAGAATATAGATGGAAGTTATGAATGTGAATGCCAATCAGGTTTTACATTAGCTCCTGATGGTAGGAATTGTACGGTTGACAAGGCGTGTGACAGTGGGCATGGCTGCAATCAACTATGCGCGAAAATTAATAATGTTGCTACTTGCCTTTGTAAAAATTCTTTTTACGTATTGGACTCAACTAATAAAACTTGTGTGAGTGTAGATGAATGCAAAACAAATCCCTGCATAGGTAATGCAACATGCACTGATAAAGATGAAGGATTTACTTGCTCTTGTATAAATGGATACAAATTGAACGCTGATCAAGTTAGTTGTAAGGATAGAGATGGAAACTACACGGAATGGTCAGAGTGGACAACTTGTACTAAAACATGCGGAAGTGGGACAAGATTAAGAAATAGAACATGTACAAATCCTACTCCTGAAGCAAAGGGTTTAGACTGTTTTGCATATGGCGGCAGCTTTGAAATGGGTGACTGTAATACGAATAGATGTCCCATATCCGAAATAGAACTTAGCAATGGAGTAGTTATGCGAATAAATTCTTCTATTACTAAGCAAAATTACCTATCAGCTCACTCTATAGTTGGAGAGAAAGTGTCAACTGCTGTAACGAATAATTGCCAAACTAATTTCACTCAATGCTGTGGTATATTTGGATCAAGGAAACAAATGAACAAAACGTTATCTTATATCGAAGCTGCGGATGTAAAGATTGGTACAGGTTACCCATTAAAGAACGGAAAAATACTCGAAGTGCTACTCATAATTGTAGCTAATAAATCATCAGAACTTTGTCAGGATATAGATATAACACCGGCAGCAAGAAGACGAAGAGGAGTTCCTTCGATAGGACCTTTAGAAATAGCCTTGCCTCAGTCACTTCTTGAAGATATCTTAAATTCGGATGCTGTAAGGAAGGCTATCGCAACTGAATTGTCAACAAAATTTAATGTAGAAGTGAATATATTACAATCAGCAAAGCCAACTCAAGTAACAACTGCTGCTCCGATTGCTACAACTACAGGTATTCAGACAAAACCAGAAGAATCTGAGAAAAAATGGGTTATACCAGTTGCAGTCGTCTGTGCGATAATAGGAGTAGCAATAATTGTTGTTATTATTGTTATAGTTGTTAAAAAGCCAACAAAAGTAGTTGATAGCTCACAATCGCGGTCGCCTACACAAGTACAAGTACAAGGAAATTAATATACATATATATATATATATATATGAAGCTATGAAAGCGAAATGAAATTTCTAAAGTAAAATATTTTATTGAATGAATGATTTGTTCTATTATCAGTAGAATGCTAAATCTATTTAAAGATTTATCAACGAATTCTTGACTATTGTCTCACTCTTTCAATAGTATAAAAGAAGAAAGTTAAGGAAATTCTCACTTGAATTTTTCAATCTTTGACGACAACTTGCTTTTGACAATAAACAGTATAATTTTTATCACAGTTGCAACGATCGATTTACATTATTGGTTTTATAATACAATTCCTATAATGACAAAAACATGTATATTGATTATTAGAAAAGTCCTATTGAATAGGAAGTTATATATAGATTAGAATTCTTTCTGCCATTTCATTCTAGCTTACTAAGAAAATTTAACATAATTCATTAATTTTAATTCGAAAAGGAAGAATGATCTAAAGGGGGACGTTTTGTAACTATAGAGCTAAAATTACTTATCCCATGATAATTGTACGTTACTTTATATATTACTTTCTAGATATGAGATATTACAACATAAAAATGTTGTAAATATATGAATATTTATATCCTCATTAATTAATTAGCTACAGCGAGATACATGTAATCATTTGAAAAATAGCGATAGACGTCTATGTAGCTCTTTTAATAATATGCAATGTTATTAATTGGCAGAAATGTAGATAACTGTGCAACTAACGCTAAATACTTTAGCAGTTGACAGTTTGTTCCACTGCAAAGCGACTTAACAAACTGCATTTCTCTACTTATCACAAAGGATCTACATATATGATGTAACAAGAAGCTTTTTGTATAATTAAACCTATAATCTTTTATAGTCTAGTATGTGCATTGAACTTGAATATAAGTAATTATTGCCAATTTCATAATATAAAACTCTATAGGAAGATTCTGATTTATCAATTTTTTTCCTCTGAAACTAGAATACCAACAGTCGACTTGTTCATTAATTAAATTTTAAATTAGAGAAAGGTATACCATGTTTTCTATATATATTTACTTAAGATAATAATTTATGCAATATTAATTTCAATGAAGATTGTCTCCCTACATAGTTTGAATATAGAATGCTAATTAGAGAAATTGATTTTCCTTACTGATGCAAATAGATTGAAAACTGAATTTTATATAGTTATAAGCTATCTATAACACTTACGGTGGCGTTGATCGTTTATTGTATAAAATATTATAGAATTCAACATAGTTGTTTATTCGAAACTGATTCTGAACTAAACCAAATTGACTCGATAAACAATTTCCTATAATGATATTGTTTTATTACTCTATCAATCGTTTCAAATAATATAGACGGTACGATTACCTTCAATAATCCAATTGAGTTCTGTCTGTCACAGTTAAAGGGTTACTAGTTGAAAATAATACATTTTATGATTCCTGGAAATAGGCAGTAGTCAGTTTAAATCGAAATGTGATTATAATTGGATAAATCATTTACCTGAAAACTATTTAGTTTACAGGTAAAAGAAAAAGGAAACAGGAGAAAAAAATTTCTATAGTCCCTTAAGTAAGGCAGTTTTTTAGATATCTAGAATAATATCCAGGTATAAGAAGTGTTCGATATTGTAATTTAAAGGAAGAAATTCTAGACGTCCTAATATTCATTTTTCTAAAACATTAATTACAGTTATTACTCTCTCTAATTAGCAAATATTCAAGAATTTGAGTTATTTTCAAACAGTATTGAATTTAAATAGATTAGGTAAAAGATTAAAATACAATACATATATAAAATCTATATAATAGCATATATGTATATAATCTGTATATGTTTATTTATGGATTGATTAATTATCCTTAATTACTTATTCCAAGCAAGTTTTGTATAAATTAAAGAGTATTAAATAGTTCGTGTTTAAATATTGTTAACCTATTAAGAAATGAATGAATATGTAATTAACACTCAATGCATTTATTTACCTTGTAAAAAGATAAAAACATGTCAGAATTTACATTTAGTAAATACTTTATTGCCTTTAGATTTTGATGAATTTTACTTAAATGTAACAAAAGATAATTTGATTGCTACCATTTCTCAAATCAATCTAAATGTTAAAAGAATTTACTTGTTTCAACGAGATTATTCTAATGTTAATTTATAGGTGCAATTTCAGTTTTTCTATTTTTAATAAATCACACAACAAAGAGAGAGAGAGAGAAGGAGTCTCGTTTTAATGTCGATCGATATATTTATTTTATTCACTGGAAAAATCTAGATGGCGCATTTTTCCTATTTGAAACTTCCTTATAGTACAACATTGAGGGAGAAAACAACACAAATAACATATTTTCAATCAAAATAAAGAGTTTTTTCACTTTTGATTTAGGTGAAGACAGTCAGATTTTTTGTTTTGGTAGCAGAATAATTTACACGGTATTTAAAAGCCCGAAAACACCATTGTATAAGGGGAGGATTATGTATGGGAAGGACAATCATTTGAGATGATTATCCGTATTTCTCCAATATCGAAAGCGTAAACAGATGCAGAGAGGATTACAACGCCAAGAAATTTTTGTCGATTCTTCCAATCTTTCAGCATTATCATCTTTCTTTCCGTTTTATGGAAGTGTTTCTGTTTCACTTACAGCATCAAATTGTGGTTCGTAACCCTCAGGGGTCTCTGCCCAGCTCTGTCGGTCTCCGGAAGCAAAAATGGTAAAGAACAGCGCTCCAAATAGGTAGATGCCTCCCGATGTAAAAAAGATTGCTCTCCATTCAGTTGTAGCCTACAGCAAAAAAAAAAATAATATAGAAAATGTCAAAAGCTATCATGTATTAGGCTACTGTATATCAAGAAGGTAAATGACCTTATGAGGTATTACTTCACCAGTTATTATAGGGCTGGCAATACCCGGTATAGTGGCAATCGTATTTGTAATTCCCATAAGTAGGCCGGCAAATTGAGGGGCGATATCCAAATGGTTAACAGAGAAACCTGACCATGCTAAACCTCCTATCCCAACAGCTAGAGTGAGACAAGCGACAGATGATTCCTTACTAGTACAGTACGACGTTGCTATCATGAAGGCAGCTTGGCCGATAAAAGCTATAAGAACAAGAAAGTACATATTAAGTAGGGAAAGTCAGCTAATGCGATAAAATATTGTAAACCTATTCCTGTAAAAAGCTTTCGTGTTGGAGTTGTCTTGAGCAGACCCTTTGACCTTATGTAATCAGCCAATTGACCTCCCAACATGACTACGATAGCCATCAAGAAGTACGGTAGAGCAGCAACGAAACCGGCCGAATATAAGTCAAAGCGGATGAAGTCTTTCAAGTATGTCGGCAGTTCCGTAAGTAGAGTATAGAAACCCCAATTCTCCGTAAAGTGTGCGACAACTATCGCCCAAACGGGCATCGACAACAGTATGCTCTTTATTGGAGGTTTTTGATTTTGAATTTGCAGAGGACTGTAACCAATGGAGACTTGAATATATTCCAGTTCAGCGGTGGATATACTTCGATGTTTAGCTGGTGACTCACTTACAAAAACGCACCATAGTATAAACCAACCAATTGCCAAGAGTCCTATGAGAGATAATGACAAAGAGGGTTGGTTCTTTTTTTTCACTTATCTCTTAATACTTTTTAAAGAAGGCTTACCAAATATGTAAAAAATCCAAGGCCATCCAATTCTATCAGCTATCACACCACTTAAGGGCATAGCAATTACAGTTCCGACATAAGAGCCTATCAAATTATTTCATTGTAATTATTAGATCAACAGAAAAGTAAATCACTTTCTATACCTGCAAACGCAAAAGTAGCCAACTTCGTACGTTCTAAAGGTGGAGCCCATTTCGACCAAACAGCGTGTATTGCGGGATAGGTGACACCCTGAAAGTGTATTTACACTTCATAAATATACAATAATTGAGTATATATAGATATATACAGATATATTTAAATAATGGAAATATGTTAAATAGGTTAGAGCTGAAAGATATAAAAGCAAAGTCTAATTAGATACCTCGCATAATCCTTGTAGAATACGTATAGTTATAAAAAATTTCTCGTTAACTCTTGCAGACGGAGGACTGATCAAAGCGAGTATAGCTGTAAGAACAACACCACCACCAAAAAGATTCTTTCCACCATACTTAGTGGCAAGGTAACCACCGGGTAGTTGAGTGATAATATAACCCCAGAAAAATGACGACAGCACATAGCCTTGAACTTTTTTGCTCCATTTGAACTCTGAAACCTATCACGATATTTGTTAATTCCTTTTTTATTTCTGATATTCATTAAAAGGCGTAATGAGGTTTATATCTTAAAGAAACACTTTATTGTTAATTTACTTAATACTATTTCTAAATATAGCTTTATGTGCGCATTTTGGAATAAATTATCTCCAAAGAGAGCTACCATAGTTTGATATGGATAAATATTTGTATAACATTGCAATTTCTATTAGTCTTATTAGCGAGTTATAATAATTATGGACGTTTTAATAAAGAAATTCATTGAATACATTTTTTTTCTTCTTCCAATTCCAAAGGATTTAAAGAAAAATTTCTTCCTATAATTTCCTATTACGAGGTAAAATATTATTTTATACGTACGTGTATGACGCTCCCTGTGACTATGGCTGTCTCGTTGTCTGTCATTGCAACCAGGGCAATGCTAAGATTCACACGTAGAGCATAGATGTTACCTGTTTATGGGAATTATTCGTATTCTTATTTAAATCTTTGATAAATTCACTCCAACCACTTCACTATTAAATTTATCGTACCCATCCCTATTTAACATTCTACCCGCATCATTAACTGGGAGAGCGTAAAGGGGAAAGCAGAGAAAGACGTTGTAAGTAGGAGAGGACGGAGAAGAAAATTGGATTGGAAAACGAAGATTTGAGGAGAATATGTAAAAAAATTGTTTACTTAAGCTCAACTAATATTTACAAAGATATAAAAAAAGGGGTTTGAAAAACAAAAGGGTGAAAAAAATTAATTGACCCTTTTTAAACTGTGAGGTTTGTGTTCTCCCTTCTGTATTTTCCAGGGAAAAATAATAAAGTCATTTATACTCACAGAAGCCTAAGAAAGCTAATGCAGCTACGATATATCTCTTGGGAATTTTTTGTGTCAATTTCAAAGGCTCATCATCTGCTGGGCCTAATTCGTTTAATTCCTGACTGTTGAAAAATAATAGTTCTATAAATGCAAACAGAACATTTGAAATTGAAAAAGTATCTTTAATTAATTTCAATTTGACGTGAAGATTGATACAATCGCAAATATTATTTAATAATAATTTATGTAAAATAAACAATTTGGCAAGTTATGATAGACAGATGGTTACTTAATTTAATTAAAGTGATAAAAGGTAGATGCAAACCTGAAAGATTTCCTAATCGATCTGCGTTCATCGAACGACATTTGGTTAGCCGAGCTTCGTTGAATTCCTCCACCAGTCATCTTCACTATCGGGAACAATATGTTTGCATCAGAGACGCCATGTTTTTTTTTCTTTTTTAGTTTTACACCCCTTTTCATACTTCAACACCAAAGTCAGCATAAAAAACTTGCTGACTTTAGCGTTCTTTGCTGTTTTCTAATCGTTCCCTTTTCCCTATACCCTGATGTCAATTTCGCTATTTATCTTCTTTTCACATTATTGTTTTATTTATAATTAACTAAATGTTTAGTTTGCAAATGCTTACAAAAGGTTGCAACTGTGTAATTCATTTTACGTGATTTCGCGCCTGTTCTAATCTTTATGTCTTAATTTGGAAAGGTTGCTTTTTTATACTCCCAATGGGAGATTCGCTTAAAAAAGCTCAAATCCAAATTATGCTCTCTTTTTTTAGCCATCCGCAAATACTAATGGAAAATTGCAAATTTACCTGGAGACGCTTACCTGTAAAGAGTGTCAGGCGAAACAGCGTCCCGAATCGACCATATGGTAACGCCTATAAGCAATTCTTGTGTCAAGCCGTCTCTCCGCTAGCCGGAGTAGGCGCCCACGCAACATCTCATAGTTGGGCTCTGTGGACATTTTCCTTGGCGTTCACGAAACCGGGTACCACTCGCTAGCCTACATTAATACTCATAATCAATATACCAGTAGACTGCAGATGGCGATCTCAGTCAGTTTGCTCATTTTGTCACTAAGCATAACTTCAGCACAATGTGCGTCTCTTTCTCTTTCGCAAAACAGTCTTTTCTCTCTCTTATCAAACTTCCCTTTCTAATTTTCTCTCACTTCCCCACCCATCCATCTTTTACCATTAAGTTAAGCCAAGATGAACAGCGTGTATGGATGCACGAATAGCTGATTTTCCCTTAAGATTGTTTTATTATCCAATTCCTCCTCTATTTTGACTACAAGCTGAGTGGGAAATGTCTCGGTTCGTTTATACATAATTCCAATCAGTGATTGCCTTCCAAAGCAAACTAAACACAAAATTGTGACAATTGATTCATGGAAAACTTTATTTATCTTTGTAACATTAATTTTTTCAAAAATTCGATAAGCGAAAGAAGAAATAAAAAATATTTTTTCTCTCTAGATATTTCATGCTTTACTAATTGTATTTTGCCAGAAAATGCCGTATATGGAGGAACCCTACAAATAATTTGACCAGAACGAATATCTATTGTATTACCCTAACAAAACAGTATTCGATTTTTTTTTTTTTCCCTTTTCCTCTACTTCCCCAAGTTATTATTGCAGTTAAAATAAATGTGTTTTATTTCTCTTCCACCTTTTTATTTCGTATGAAACTTTTATTAAATTATTATCTTTTCTTTTTTTCTTCTTCCTTTATTCTATTATGATAAAATGAGTAAAAGGGTACAAAATAATTTTCACTATTCTACGCTAATTATTAATTGAAGTGCAAACAAAACATTGCCATTTCAAAATTGTTTAAATGTTCTAATGGCATCTATTTAATCCAGGTTAAAATTTGTATACGAAAATAATTTGTACGAATGTCAAAATCCATCTTACTTATCCTGTGTGTTGATAATAAAACTTATATATATAATATATCTACTATTTATATATTAGTTATATACCATATGTATATATATGTGTAATTTATATTAATTAAATTTCTTTGCTTAGTCCATTTTAAGAAGATTGATAATTAACCTGTCGTAAAATGTTGGAATGATGAATTAGCAATTTATTTTAGTCACTATATGATAAGTATATCAATTATCCATTTTCTAATCTTTTAGTAATACTACCAATAATGCTATAAATCTCTTGTCACAGTCTTCATCCCTTCTACTAGATGGCGTTTACATTTTTATACGATTGGAACTATAATTAGTATTAAGTTTCCACTGCCTGTGACAATTAATGAAGATAGGAAATAGGAAGGAAAAGAGAATGACAGATAACAAAAAAAAACGACCAGTAAAGTCCTCCGTATCTTCTCTCAATAACAGTGGCAATAAAGCTAATCAAGGCTAATAATATCCTGTAACCAGGGTTTATAGCTATGTACGATATACAGTCTATAACATACGCTTTATGCTTTATATTATATTATATACTAACTATATATATATATATATATATATATACTTGTTAACAAATATTTGAATGAGAGAAGATAGAGAAGACTTTAAGATTATTACTACGACACTGAACTGAATAAGAATGTAATTTAAAACATCTTTACCTTTTATTCAAAGATAATATTAATATTAATATATAAATATGAATGTATACAGAATATAACTGTAAACGTATATTTTCTTATTTTTACAGCATAAAATCGTGCGGTTATTTTTATTGTTACAATACACCATTCTGGTTGCTACACTCGTCAGAAATGCAACATAACGTAGTGCACTTTGTTTGTTCCCTCGTTGAGCATTAATCGCCTAAAAAGGTCGTCATAAAACCGTCTCTTTCTCGATGCTGGTCAGGAAATTATCATCGAGGTGAATATAGCAGGCTCGATTGCTTTTCAACCTGGACGGTGTAGATGAATCGCGAACTCCTCTGGCTGGTGAACTTGGTAAAGATCGCGACCTAGCCCTTAATCTTCTCTGTCTCTTCCGCTCATCTTCTATGCTCTCCAGTCCGTTACATGGTAGTTTTGATACTCTTTCTGGTTCTATTCCGAGTGAACTATTTTGTTAAGGAAAAAAATCATATGATCATTTAATCACCGAAAGTCAACTAGATAAAAACATAGAATTTACTTGAAGAACTTCTTGAAAAAATAAGACCTATGTAAATAATTTAGTACCTTAATTGAGCTTCTAATCTGTCGACGTGTAGTAAAGCCAGATCGAGTTCGTGTTTAGTTCTCCAAAGATGCGTCTCACATAGAGCGTTCTTACATTTGTAATTCCTTTGGAGATTGATCGCTTCTTTTACAGACTGCTCGAACGTTAATGACTTTCCCATGGATAAGCTAACCAGGCCACAACAACCACATTTGTCCCATTTACGAAGTCGAACTCGGAAGAACTTAAAGTAAACATGCTCTAATATAAGCAGAACCGCGCCCAATAGCATACCACCAGCCAAAAGGATAAATGCAGAGGTAAAATTTAATATACCTAGGGGCATTGAACTTTCTCCCTCATCCTTCTTTGTTGAACAAGCTCCAGATAACCAAAACTTTTGAAGCCTTTCCATTTCCCTAGCTTCATGCTGAAATTGTAATAGGTATTTATCGATGACTTTTTTCCATTTACTGCCTTTGGGAAAACCTATTCCATATCCCGTCATAGCATACCAAGTGCCAACAGTCCTCAACTTACAGCCGTCATCTTGACCGGCCAAATACTCAAGAACAGTGGCATCGTATATAAATGCATTAATATCACCATCTTTAACAGCCTTAACACCTTCTTCAACTGTCGATTTATTGAACGGCATCATATAATCGTACATTTGAGGGTAATTATTCTTTAAATTAGTTTCTGTACTTCCATGTGGCACTGTAGCGAATTTAAAAGCAGGCTTATGAGCTTTGGGGTTCCGTAACCTCCAATCCTGTATTCCACTCAGTCTGTCATAGTCCTCTTTAGTAATCATGAACGCGGCTAAATTAGCTGTATAACTCGCTGTAAAAACGACGGCGAACAGGGCCCAAATATTCCCCAAAAACCTACTGGACACCCCTCTGGGGTTGTCAACGGAAACAGCAGCACCGAACAACATCGACCATATTAGCCAGAAGCTCCGGAAGAGGGAAAATCTATGTTCTTTCAACGGCTTTTGCCCCCTATCTAAGCCGCTTGGAGATAACCATTCAAATAGGAAAATAGAGGCGCCAGAAGCATGGACACTAAATACAAGAATTAAGCACCAGGAAGGATAATCATACGGCTCTGCAAAAGTAAAAAGAATGGGCTAATAAAGAATTCTCACTTGACTCACAAACGCCACAAAATTGAGAAAATGTCTACATGAGTCACGTGATCACTTTTCTTTTGGACCAAAGCCAACGTTTAAAGATAAGAAGTAACTTCCTTGGGGAAGAGTCTCATCCATTAATTGTCATATGCTAATAAGCTATTCTATGGCTTTTAGTCCTTATGGTACTATGTTACACACTTATTCTAAACAATATAACAAACAGTAAAGAGAATAACGAAACAAATTTACCTAAGAAGGCTGTTGGAGAGATAACTCCGTCCCTGACGGCAACAATAATCGTAATCCCAGTCTCTAGGAAGGGAACACTAAAATCTATAGCTGCTGATCTTTCTGGTGTTATCTTTAACGACGTCATCACCATATCGGCTTTCCCGTCTAATATATCCTTAATTAAGCCGTTCCATTCCTTCGTATCAGCGTTGTAGGCTCCCCAAATTTTATCGCTTACTTCGAATAGTTCAAAGTCAAATCCAATTTTCTCTGCCAGCATCTTAAGTAAGTCTATACATAATCCGGAGCAGCATTGGTACAGCGACGGGTCGGAAGTAGCGTTAGCCACGAGCGTAGTTAAATTTTTAGCTGCTATACGACATAAAACGGCCATAGGTGGGCATGTACCAGTATTGGGATCGGGATCGCTATATATAACATATGGATCCTCTTTTAATGTGACAACCTTAACTTGGTATTTTTCTGGTCTACCGATAGGAGGTGCTGGAGCATTACCCGGCCAAGTTATATCGTACATTTCAACTTCCTTACCAGATTTCCATTCCCCAACTGTCGCCCATTCGTCACTTCTTTCATTTTTGGGTCTCAAGTTGAGCACCTTGAGAGATACACTCTTCAGTGTTCCATCCTTCTTAAATTCTATAGTTTCCTCACCGGAATTCAGTTTAACTTTTGCCTTTAATAGTTGATCGTAAACGATGCTGCCGTATTTCCATACAGAATCGTTCTGGGGATTACAATGATAAGATGGTCGCAGAAGGATTCTCTTATTTTCTGCTTCCTTCTTAAGATTCGTCATGGCCTGTGCCCAAATGACCAAAGCCTTCTCGATTACTTTCACTTGTTCATCGTAATCATGCGAGTAATAAAGGGCGAACATTCCTAAAGGGAACCTTCCTCGATCTTCATCCAATTCGGCACCAAGAGTACTTTTAAGAATGGCGCACTTAGTAGTTATCCAAACGTAATTTTTGCCAGATAATTTCATACGTTCGGCAACTTTAAATATCTGTGTTGCCTCCTCTTTTGACGAATACAATAACATTACACGACTCTCAGCTGCCTGAAGTTTTTGTAGCTCTGACGTAACAGTTTCATTTTCCATAGATGGTAGATGAACAGTCGTCGTAATATCGAAACTGCACTCAATTTAATATAAGGTTTACTTTTAGGTGAATAATAATAAATTAGAAGTTACTCAATTGTTAAAATTCTCTTTATATTGTTTAATGCGTCACACGTACAGGCTCACTTACTCTAGGTCACACGACCTTTTCCTTCCCTTGATGTTTAAGAAAATTTAGTCCTATATTTCCTGTTTTCTTTACTAAATTTAACATACTGTCAATCTATAGGCAAAATGGTGCAAATTTAATTTATTCTTTAGATTATTTATTAGGCGTCCAGTGCGATGGAAGAGAAGAGGAAAAACTGGAAATACTTTACGTCCTAACGCTCTTTTTTAACGCTTGATCGCACCTTAACCACCAATCGGAATCATTTTGTTGCGAAATATATAGAATAGAGAAAAGAGAGGCGTCAAAAAAAAAAAAGTCTTTTATCAACGACGCAAAAGTAGGTATAGAAAAAATTCGAAGCGTAAAATATTTCCAACGAAACTGACTCCTAAGCAAAACCTTTATAAAATTAATAGACTCCAGCAATTCGATAACGAGTTCCCCCTCATCGGCCCCTCACTTTATATTATATTCGCTATTAAAAGGTTCTTTAGTCTATTTTTCGATCACTTATTGGCCTTTTTTCTTATTTGTTCGACTTTCGACCGAAAAATGCTTTCACCTCCTAACTGAAGATGCTCGCGTGACCTTCGATGACGTCCTAATTAGACGTTCCGTCTGGCCAAATTACACTATGTACTGAAGCGGACATTTCGTCTAGTTTTTCTTTATTTGATTTTAGATGCCTGCTTGATAAGCAGTATGTTCTCTATGTAAATACTAATTTTATACTCACAATTCGCCGGAATTATCAACTAGATCCCGGATGGTGTTGACAAATGTGTCGTGACCCGAAAGTCGTCCTGTAACGATTGCGAAACGATTCCATCCGTATCTTCTCAAAAGGCTCAGCATGGCTTCGCCCTGGTGGGCTATGGACGGCGTTAATTGGATTAGAAGGCGTTCCCTATTCGTCTGCCGGGACCAGTTTGGAAAAGGAATAAAATGAGGGTGAAATCGGTAAGCGTTTAATTATAAACGCGTTTAAAACGGGTTGGGACGGCAGGGAGTTTTGGAAGGACGAACCTGGATAATCCCTGGGGAATCCCACACGATCACTGGTATCTGATAGAATTGGGCCACGCTCATCAGGTGCTCGGAAGACGGCTGTAGAATCTCCGCTTTAGAAGTGAAGGCAGTTTGAACATAGATTAACGAATTGAATCTAGTCTTGAACAACCCATCGTCACACATGGCTCTCCATAAATCCGACGGTTTAAAAGTTGATTCCAACATTTTGAATTCAAAATGCAAAAACGAATTAAGATTTTCTGAGAAATTTTTATTGAATGGTTCCAGTTGCTTAGCCATTGTTGTATATTTGCGTCCTAAAGCATAAGACTTTGGTAAAATCGCACCAACCGTTACAGCTTTACTATAATCCGTTTTCTTTTTTTGTGGATTAAAATTTTTTCGACGGCTATTAGTCCTACGCCCAGCCAGTGTAAAGCCGCTGGGTAGTATAATTAGGATAAAAATGATGGTAGTTGATGTAATTTTGCTCATCCTCTTTCCAATTTCTCCTCCTATTCACAACTTCTTTATCTCAAGTACTACTTCGCAAATATTCCAGTAACAGTATCCTTAAATCCTTCTTAGATGCCAATAACTACATTGACTAGTTGAAGCTATCTGTCAAACACGACGGACTGTAATGAGACCACCATATATTAATAATGGGAGAATGAGAAAAAATTAATTAACTGCATATAGATTCCTGTCCAATTTTTTGTTCCTTTGTGAAAAGGGGAAATGTAACTTTCGAAAGTCTAATAGACTTCACGGTATTAGTTAGAATAGACAAAAAGCTCTTTCCTCTTAGTTTTCGTGAAATTGAAAATTACTCCTTCTTTTTTCTATTATACATGCTATATACAAATTAGATATGCGTATAATCTTATCTAATACCTATAGACAGATAGTTCGAGAGAACGAGAAGGGAAGGAGAGATGGAGAGAGAGAGAGAGAAAGACGTATGCCTCTCTAGTCTTTTTAAATATATACTTTTACACTCTAATATACAAGTATAAGTTTATAAGAAAATTCTATAAGTATCAAATATTCTGTGTGCTAACATATACACTTTGAAATTTGAATTTTAATACTTGTGCCTAACAGAAATAATCATATTTCGACTGAAGGAAATTGTATTTTAACTTTTTCGTATGCATATAAATTAATATATATTTGGATATATATACAGTATCTATATAATTAAAAAATATCCATTTTTATCGTACTTATGAATATGCAAATTTATTATTAATATATATATATTCATTAAAACAAATAAAATAGATATTTTTTATAAAGTTATATAAAATTTCTTACCAATAACGTACACCTCTTCATTGCTCGCCAAGTAAAGTCTGAAACGGGACAACTATAAGCGCCACCTGCTGGTCGGTCGATTAACAAATTTACTTCTTTTATCCTTTTCCCGAATAAAAAACCGGTGACAAACAGGAACAGCATTTTCTTCCTATAAAAAGTAATCGATTCAAGCCGAGTGGCCGTTTGATTTCCCTAAAGTTTCAGCCGTTTTAGGGGTCTATTTTCGGACGTCTATATATATACATTAAGCGACGACGTCGAGCGTCTATTAGCCGCCAACGGTAAAACAACGAGCCGTGGTGCGCGCGGACAGTATAATTATTTATTTATAAAAAACTGTCCAAAGTAGGCCTACGGTAAGTGTCTATCCCTTCTACTCTTCTTATCCAACAAGTTTGTTGTTAGTTCAGCCATGTCTTTGAAAAGAGCGGCGTTAGTTTGTAGTTTGTACGAGGAGTTTGTCGTATTTCCCTGGAGGAAGAGTTTTATACAAAGGAAGTGGAGTCGATTACGCCGTCCGAAGTCGAAAAGTGAAGATTTCGATTTTTTCCTCTAGTCTTGTTTTTTTTTTCTACTCCTCCTCTTTGATCGATATACTAAAGAGGCTCCCTTTATATATCATAAGTATAAGGGCTTTAAATAAAGTCAAATGAAAGGAAACAGATATAAAAAAAACTATGAATAAATGGAGAAGACACTACAGAGTTGCGACAAGAAAAAGGAGAAGGAGATGAGAACTTCAACAACAACCCTGAGGCATTTTTATATATCATCTATGAGCAAGCAAAGAAAAAAGCGCAGACGCTTTGATTTTCATTCGTATTGAATGAATAATTTAACAAAAAATGCCGTTTCCCCGCTAATCCGCCATGCGAGAAAAAATTCGTTGAAATAACTTACCCATTCACTAGAAATAGATTAATTGGTGGGACGCCCAATAGTATTATGCAAATGTATAGGCTTTAAAAAATAAGCTGTTGTCATTTTGTGTTTTTTGCTGTTATTATGACTTGTTTTTAAATCGTACCTAAAAGCTTTTGTAAATACAGCAAATTCTTACTCTCTTCCTATTAATTTGCAGAGTTAGCCTCAAAAGAACTTGAACACAGTCTGGTCTATCCACTTGACGTGACAAAAACCTACAGCATATCTACCATTATTGGATAACAGCGGGAAATTTATAAATTGTCTTATGTAATGATTGTTATTAATCTGTAAATAAAAGGATGGAACATTTAGATAGGTTGCCTGCATGAAGAAATTCTTTGCGTGTCCTGAAAGAATCCTAAGAGAATTTAGAAGTGAAGCTTGCTTCTTGTCTATTTAGTTATGTATTGCTTCAAATAAAAACATATATAAGAATACATATGTATAATATATGCAAGTATAAAGTATATACACATATATATACAGGCGATGTAGACGGTGTGTAGTTGTAAACAATTGGCTTATATATATATATATAAACAACATTAGATTGAGCGTACCTTTGAAAGAAGTAAAAAAATTTTCAATGCTTATCTTATAGTTAGGTAATGAGATTTAAGAGAAAATTATAGGCCTATATTTAGTAGAAAGCAATCTCATACACGCCAACTCGCGTAAAGTGCGCGAATGTTTATACAACTTGTCTTATCCAGCACTCTCCGTATATATCAAACCTATTTTCATCTAAAAAGAGGGTATCCGAAAGGTAACGAGAGGAAAGTAGAAAAATGGTTAGGATAGAAATAAAGGTTATTTTTTTTCCCTCTCTTTTTTTCATAAAGATATACCTCCATCTTATTTCAACGAAGAAGGTAGAAAGAAATTATAAAGAGGCAAAATTGGATGATAATGTATAATTTCGATTAAACTGTAACCATTTTTTTTTATCCCAATCCAAAGTCAGTAGAAATAGGCACGTTTTTAATCACAGCATGGAATGGACTTAATTTATAAAGATAAAGTTTGGCCGTGTTTATTTAAATATACGCACGTAACTAATTTTTTTCTTATTTTATTCCTTTTATATTCTGTATATATAGCACGCGTATATCATAAATCTTGCAAGTCTCTATCTTTATGTACTCCCTCTATGCTTTACGTATTCGTTGCTGTTTTTCTATAGAGTACAGATAAATCCCAACTGCAAAATGCTAAGATCACAATACTATACAAATCGTCCTGCAAGTATTGCTACTTCAAATAGACCTTCTTTATTAAGTGTATATATACATTCGATTAGTCCAAGTGGCACATATCCGATACACTTTTGCAAAATTTACCCCCTACTTTTCATGGATTATAGTAATCCGATAATAAAATTTTGAAAACAAGGTTCAAACATTTACCAACAAAAAGTTTCTTATTTGTACTTCTTTGTGGATTATAATTAACAAATTCTAGTAATCGACAATTAATCTTTATGATCATCATTCCTCGTAGCTAAGCAATAACTATGCGAACTTGGAACTACGTCAAAACTGGCAATTAAGCGGCGCGATTTTTCACAGGGCCAAAGGGACAAAAATCAATATTTATATATTTGAAAGCTATTGGCCCCAAGCATAAATAACTGATCTTGTAATGTTATAAATCTGCTATATCATTCTATTTTATCCTCATTAACCAATGTATCTACTTCAGTGTATACATTATAAAGTATATATGTCTATATATACAAATTCATTTTAAGACTGTAAATACAGCAATAGGGATATACATTCATAAAAACATATTATGTTGAAATATACCATACATGACTTGTCAAAAGAGTTTATCTATCAAACATTGTATATGCTTCTCAGAATTCCAGTCAAGTACAAAAAGAACCCCAGGTAATTGATAAAGCAAACCAAAATCATTTACGGTTTAAATAAATATTAGCGAAGTAGGAAAGGGTAAAGACGATAGGCGAAAAAAAAATCCTATGCATATAATTTATATATATTTATATATTTATATTGTATATATGTATATATATATATATAAAATTCAATTATTTACTTTTTTTTTTAGATGTAGAGGAGCTAATTAAAAGACCAATATGGATCATAAATAAAAAAGAATACGAGAAGAGTTACAGAGAACGCAGAAGAGAAAAAACATGAAAGAAGTAAAAATTTAAATGTACTATATATTAAAGAATTCTATTCGTTAATTTTTATATATACATTTTCAGACGAATAAGAAAAATAAAGGAAGAGTATAAAAAGATGCTAAAAGAGAGATGCACTGATGTATAAAATGCAGACAAGAGATGGAAGAAGAAAAGGAGGGAGGGAGGGAGAGAGAGAGGGAGAGAGAGAAAAGTACGTCTAGTTGTATATATAAAATGACGAATTGGTGTTTCAATAATTTGATAAGAACCGTTGGTAAATTATTTGTGAAACTTTACAGACGATACCCATATAGATGCTTTTCTACTTAGTTTGGTGTAATCAATTTACACATTTACACAATATGAAATATATATAAATCATATGAAATATATTTATACAATAAAACTATATAAAATTGATTAAAAACAAATATCTATATAGTTAAATTGCTTAATGAATACGAATATATATACTTTTTAATCATATTTTAGATGGAAATTCGATACAAATGTATTTTCAATTGATTTTTTCTTTTTGTCTAATCTCAAAGTTGTGACTATAGACAGTATTTTCCCTAGTAAATTCACTACAATACAACTCAACTGTGTTACATCTGTGAAATGATATTAATTAAGAAAATTTGCAACTAATTATGAAGTTAACTAGAACTATTTTTTTTATAGGTTTCAAAAGAGACCTTTTAATACAGGTATTTCCCTCCTAGAGTATTGCCTTTCTTTCTCTTTATTCAGTTTATCTAGGTTGTTACAATCGTTTTCGATAGATGACACTCAATATCGCCTTCACCAATCTCTCAATAAAACACTTAGATGATTAAAACAGCATTAACGTCGCACAAGGGAATTTGTAGATTGGTGAGGGAAGAGAAAATATTATGTATATAACGCTGGCCAAAACATGAGATATCGTTAATACTTTCACGATTTTGTGTGCTGTATACCTTATATTTTGTATATATAAATTATTATATACTTATCAATCCGTACACAGTTATCTATTAGTATCAACTAACCTATATCTAGTATATACATGTGCATCAAATGTTAAGTGCATGGATTGAGCTCGTTTAAACCCTGTAAAGAAGAAACTAGAAACATAACCTAAGAAAGTACCCGTTGAAGATTCTCATTTTATTCGTTATTAAAAGTATATCTATTTGTTTATCACCTATAGGAATATAGATGTCGTAAAACTAAGATATCTTCCAAACAAATTTTCCGTTATACATTTGGGGAATATGCTGTAATTAATTGAATACAAATTACACTATATCCCGTATTATCTCCAATTAGTTTATATTTCTGTAGCTGAAAACAATACTACTAGAAAAACACTGGTAATAGGAGGGAGCCAGGGAGAGAGAGTGTGAGAGAGAGTGAGAAGAAAAGAGAAAGAAACAGAAAGAAAATACATTGTATTGATATATAGTATACTTTATTACTAAAAAAGAAATTTTTCTTATGGCAGCTGTACGTAATTACATTGTGAAATATGTTGAAGATAATTAGGCCTATTTTATGCTTAATTTAAAAATAACTTTTCCATCAGAAATATTTAAAAGGAGAGGGTAATGAATCGATTAAAAACTTCAACATATACCCTAAAATCTACACTATCTTATCCTAGGACAGCACCTAGACCCCAGCTATCTATTAGCACAAAATCAAAAGTAGTTAGCTTTGGTCGTAAGAAAGTAGCAACATTAGTTGAAAAAAAAGAAATTCCTTTTGTAATAAAAACATTAATGGTCAGTTTCTGTTTGGAAGCCTTTTTTATAACTTTAGTATTATTCCTACCATTTTGGCTCTTTCGTTATAATGTTAATCAGCGAGAGAACGTTCTAACTTCTGGTTTGTTTATGATTTGTGAATGGAAAAAATGGAGTTTAAGTTCTTGTATATTTTGGAATTTAGTACATAAAAATGGTGAGTACAGGCAAAGAGTAAACAGAATTGGCCATCAATTCATCAACAGTTTTTATATATTAGAAAGAAAAGAATTACTCTATTTAGCTGGATTAGCACAATTGCATGGTTTCTTCTCATTTGTTACCTCGACAAGTGTTGCTTTAACGTGTGGATTTATTTTTTACGTTAAACGAATGCAGAATTCTATATTCTATAGAAATTTCTACAAATACGAGAATCTTTGGTTAATTGTTATTATTATTAGTGGGTCAACTTCTTTATTTTTTTCTCCATCCTTGTTTATATATGCAATAAAGAGACTAAATATTAAAGAAGATACAAGTACAAGATTGGGCCCCTGCTATGGGCTCTCAGTTGCTATACATGCTCTTAATTTGATTATTACCGGATCTACTTACGTCTCTCTTAAGAATATGAAATATAGATCTAAACTGTCAATGAATATGGAACTCCAGAGGACTGATTCCGAATCTCTAATGAACTGTAGTTTTAGTTCTAATGCGGTTAGTTTAACCGATTCTTGAAATTTCGAAAGAAGAAAAGACAAGGAAAGAGAAGGTATCTATATAGTTTGTAAAGAAGAAATAAAAATAAACATCAAAGTTTCATTAAAATTATATAAACAATCATATATACAATATTTATATATAAAGGATTGTATATAGTTGTATGTCTTATAAATAAAGGAATTGAATGGCATAGAAAATTGTAAGAGTCTACGTTAGAAGTACGGTTTTTGTAATACGGCTCCATATCAGTTAGTCATTAAATTTTTGGTACTTTTATACATTACAGCTAAGCCTCATTTTGCGGATTACTATCATTTGTTAATTTCTCTGGTAGAAAATATCATTAAGGATTTAAACATAATAAAATACTAAAATTATTTCTGTATCTATTTATCTCCTTTTACACAAGCGAAAGCCTTGATCCAGTTATTTTAGGCGTCTGCATAAATAATAATTCAAAGTTCTTTCATCATCCGATCTCTGATCGTTCTAAAATTTACACAACTATATTATATTAACAGATCATAAAGCTGTTCTCTTGAGGCATTCTTAAATATCTGCCAAAAGATGGCAGTGAAATGCATAAATAATAAAAGGGTTTATAGCTCTACATATGATTAATATTATCGTGCTTTAGAATATGATTTTGCGAATAATTAAACGATATATAACTCTTCTTAAATTACATTAAAAGCTAATACAAACTATAGAAAATAGATGGAAAAAGAAAGTAAAGTTCCCCAAATGACGTTAGGAAGTATAGACTAATTCTTTTCGACAAAACACGCAAAAAGAGCACACAGGGAAGTGGTTTAGCAAGTGGTTCTGAAGGAATTTTTCGAACAATCCCCGAAGGATTATGAGAGATATAAAATAAATAAAATTCCTATTTCTAAGATTTTGTTTACAGAGTATCGCTTGCAATCAGAAGACTAATTCCTCTCATAAATCATAATGCAATTCCTCATACGAAATATGATACAATCGAATTGAAGGATTTAAGCAAAAGCCGGTTCGATTCTTTTGCTATTAATATAATAAGTTGTCACTTAGGTGAAACTCACAAATTATCTTTATCTTTTCAATTTTATAGATTTTTGTTTATAGTCAATTTTAAGGTTCTTAAATGAAAACTGGACGTGGAGCTCCAAGATTGGGTGGAGGATCTGGATTGGGAAATTCTCCTACTTTCGGTTCATAATAATTATATTTTCGGTACGGCATCAGTTCCCAATGTATACGATCTTCTAAATTTATTGGTGTTATCCCAAGGTCAGCCAGCCCTGGATTTCCGGTTATCTTATCCGATACGAATTCCTATAGGGGTTAAAAAGGTTCAATTAGGTATTAAATTGATAACGCAAACAATAACGCAACTCTTTCTAGTTTATCATCGGATAGAATCGGGTACGACGGCATCATCGACATCCACTTTACTTTGAGCCTATAAATAATAAATCATAGCAGATAAACATATAAAAAGTACATATGTTATTCCAGTCCATTTCTTCCTGGGCTTACCTAAATAACGGGTGCACTGGGGTTTTTCTGATGTGGGGATATCTCATCACCTTGTAGAAATATTCTACCAAGTCGTTAAGAACGTATGCCTTCGGACTATAACACACCCAAAAACAAAAAATTCACTTAATATAAAAGTACACCTAAATCATTTGAAGCCGAACAACTCACCCAACAATTTCGAAAGTTTTACCGTTGCTTTCTGGATCAAGAATGGCTTTTATTGTAGCCTTAGACACATCAGTACAGTGAATTGGCATTTTTATTGTCTCTAATCCCTGTTTGTACAGGGGAAGCATCTTGAAACTTCGACGATCTGGAAAATACAAATTAGATTAGCCATCATTAATTTAACAAGTAGTCAAATAAATCTAAACATACAAAAACTTGCATAGTATCTCAGGAAACGATCTTCTTGTCCATAGACGTCAGCTAGCTTAAGAATAATAGCTTCGGGAAACTCTTCTCTAACTGCCAGTTCTCCTGCGTACTGAAAATAAAATTAATTACTATTAATATCAATCTTTCAAAAGAGGCGTCTTTCAAACCTTTGTACTCAAGTATTTGGATCCTCCCTGTTTGTAGAAGCTTGGCGGATTAGGTGAAGAGTTAATAGATGAAAACTGAATGAATTTTTCTACTCCTTGTTCCTTAGCAATTTTAGCAAGTCTTCGAGCTCCTTCATTGTTGACCTCATCAAATTTAAAATTCCTATTAAAATAAATTTAAATAAAGCGTTTACAAATATTTCTTTGTACAATTCACCAACTTTGTCTCCCAATCACATCCAATAAGGTTAACAACAACGTTGGAATACTTCATGCATTTTCTAATAGCTTCCTCATCACGCAGCTCAAAAGGCTAAAAATTTTATAGCGTTTATTACAAATATCCCATTACTTGTAAATCTTACCATAAACAGGATTTGACCCAGGTCCCCAGCGAGTTTAAGCTGTCTTGCAAAGTATGGCTCGCCTCTGTAAGGAATAACTACTTGTGATCCAATTTTACCTAAAAAAAAATGACATTAGCTGCTAAATTATACCAAATATTAGAAAAGAAAAAATACCTAATTGGTTCACAACATAACGACCGAGGAATCCACTGGCACCAAAGACAGTACAGACTAAACCACTAAACGATGATCTGCCTCCAGTTCCGCGTCTCACATTTGCCAAATTTTGCGAAGGTTGGGCAGATACGAACTCTGTGCTCTCATTTCTCTTTTGCAATAATCCCACAGCCGATGGAGCCGAGCGGCTAACTATAAAAGAAACATGTATTTACATCTCAACATAGAAACTGAAGGTCATCTGCTAAAAAGCAATTTCATAGTTATTTCAAAAAAGGCGTTTCTTTTAAAGAGATCAATATCAACCTTGAATGATTAAATATTAGCTATTTTTATTGATAGTAAAAATTCTTCAACTTACGGCTGTTTTGCAGCAATGTTTTCGCTGAGAACGAAACCGCCATATATTACCAGTTTTCTCAGTCGGTGTGAAATTGTGAAATATCGACTTCCGGTAACATGGCGGTTCAATAATTCTTTGCGATAACTGATGAATCTAAAAAAGTAATATTTTCTCAAAACTTCGCACAAGACACTTGAAAAAAATACTCTATCTGAAAATTAAAGTATTAACCAGTAAGTTTCTTTCTAGTTAATAATATTGACACATTAGTGTCAGTGTACTAGGGTTGTACTATATTGTTTTCAACATCGCCATCTGATGGTACGCTCTTAGACAAATTACCGATAATCTAACTGACAGATAGTCATATATAGAGTCCAACCAAAATTGAAATTTGATGCTAGTGTAATTTTATTAACTTTTTACACTAGAATTAAAAAAATGCAAATGACTGCCATTTCAAGTATTAATGATAACGGATTGCAATTGATGCACCACTTGCCATCTTCTGTCTCGAACCACACAATGGCTTCTCAACAGCGCATCATTCTCAAACAAAATGATGAGAAAATCGTTGACGTTTGGAAGAATGATTTAGAAGAAGCTTTTAAAAAAATTCGAAAGTTGGTGACGCAATACAACTATGTAGCCATGGTAAGATTCATGTTCTTGGAAATATAGATAAAAAATTGATCATCTTCAAAAATCTAGGATACAGAATTTCCCGGTGTCTGTTGCCGTCCAATGGGAGAGTTTAAGAGCACGAATGACTTCCAATACCAATGTATGAAATGTAACGTGGATGTTTTGAAAGTTATACAAGTACAGTGGTTTCCAAATAGAATTAAGATATAAAATAAATTCATTTTACAGATTGGCCTAACATTTATGGATAAAAATGGTCGAACTCCCTCTCCCACTTGCACTTTCCAGTTCAACTTTCATTTTAACTTGAACGAGGACATGTATGCTTCGGATTCGATTGATCTGCTTCAGAACTCTGGTATTTTATTTGCCAAACATAGTACGGAAGGAATTGATCCTTGCGATTTTGCGGAAATACTTTTGGGATCCGGTTTAATACTAATGGATAACGTTTATTGGTTAAGTTTTCATAGGTTATTTTTTTTTAAACATATCAAATAGCTGTTGAATAATAAAATATTTTTCATTTCTCCCTTCTGTAGCTCTTATGATTTTTCGTATCTTCTTCATTTACTCATTGTAAGAAATTTACCAGATAGTGAGATGCGATTTCACGAATACTTGAATACATACTTCCCCAAAATTTATGATGTAAAATATTTGATGAAAAGCTGCAAACAGCTGAAAGGAGGATTGCAAGAAATTGCCGATCAACTGGAAATTATTAGAATAGGTCAACAACACCAGGCTGGGTCTGATAGTCTTGTAACTGGTCAGGTCTTCTTCAAAATGCGTGAACTTTTCTTTGAGAATTTAATTGACGAAGAAAAATATCTAAATCATTTGTATGGCTTGGGAGGTTGTTACCAAAACGGTAAACTTGTCAGTTCCGATTCAAATGGTGCTTTTGATAGAAATACTGCAACATGTACCAGTTCTCCTGGGACGAACCCGTCCAACTAAATAGGAAATTATTAAATTTTCTCTCTGCAATATATCGAGAGCCTTAACTCGCATGTGCATCTCGTTATTGGTCGAAGTATTTAAAAAAGCTACTATCTGCCATTAAAATTGAATAAATAAAGCATGTAAATTTAAAATTACATATGCATTTGTCATATTAATAAGTACACATTTTTATATATCACATATACACTGTATATACTAATATAAAAATATATATAATGTATATAGATATACCGTATATATTTACATTTATATGTACTGAATATATGTTAATTTATTTATTTTAACCTCCAATAGTTTTAAAAAATAGTGAAGACAGAACAATTTTATTAACAGCAGAGAAATGAACCACTACGCATAGACTATCTATAACAAAGAAGATCAATATACAGAAAGTTATTCATTTAGCTTTTTATTTTAAATCTTTCAGCGCGAGCCTTTTTCTTATTGATAGCTTCTACGTCAAATCTTTCTGATCTCTTTCTTAATTGCTCCTCTTTAGTCTCCTAAGAGGCATTAAAATATATACATAATTTTACACCATTATATTGAACTTACTTTAGTTTGAATTCCGAAACGTTTTGCTCTCTCCAGAAGTTTTTCGGAGCTGGCACTTGTATCCTGAAAATCAATTGAATTATTAATAGTAATTTAATGAAAAGTTATAACTTACAGTATTGGCTGATTTAGCTGAGTCTTTAGTAGAATTGACTTGACCAAAACGTTCCGCGCGACGCTTTAGCACGTCGGGACTCTAATATTAAATTATGGAAACGTTATTAATAAAATATGAAATATTATCTGAATATTTTCATATTTACTGTAGCTTGGCCAAATCTAGCTGCTCTGTGAGCTTTCTTAGCCTCATCTGAGACAAAACCTCCAAATCTTTTTGCTCTCTCTTCTAATTTCTAGATAAAATAGGTAACATATGTTACTTTAAAATTAGTTAAAAATTTTCTTCATTACTTACTGTTGCTGCTGAAGAAGCTGATTCTGATTTCGGTTGGGTTGGTTCTTTTTCCTCTGGTTTTTTATTAGGTTTTCCTTGTCTAAATGATGCATAATTAATGATTCGAATAACTGAAAATGCTAGGAGCTACTTACTCTGGATTGGAATTTGATACGGTGGATTTATCACCGTCTTTGACATGGTCATCATCATTTGGATCACTAAGCTCCCCATCCTATATAGAAATAAGGTTTAAGCAATGCATTTACAAGTAATCTTACACAAACTTACATTTAACACATCGTCTGTGACGTCGTCTCCTCCAATGTCAGCTTTGGAAAATTCGGAATAAGATCGCAATAAATTAATTGGTATATTTAAATACCTGTAAGGTCTCCTATTTCTTCTTCAGCTGCTCGTTCTTGTAACCTGTTCACCAGGTCTGCTTTATTTCCAGAGTGATCTAGACCTTTTTCTTTGCATAATTTACGTAAATCGACAACCTAAAAGGATCACATATTTAAAACACATAGCATTTTTTAATTGTAATTAAATTGTATTATTATATGTTAAAACACACTTTTAGTTTTGAATAATCCTCAACATCGGCCATTATAAACAAAACAATTTGGTATTATCGATCACACAAGCGGCAAGAACCCCGATTTCTTGACTGCAATGGAAATTCCAGCAAATTCAAATACTAATAGACCGAAATGCTTTTATTACAAAATAATTATTAAAATTTATTTTAAAATGTAAACTAACATTGCAATATCAGAATGCTTTGAAAACCGATTTTTCCAAAGCGTTTACGAAACCAACAATGATTCTAAACCGTATTTGTTATGGACATCGCACTAAAATGGTGGCAATTTCAAAAGAACATGATAGACCTAAAGTGGACTACTGAATTTCCATTTACATAAATAATTAGGTCACTGCCTATGAAAATAGAACTGATAATTTTTTTATCGAAAAAAGTCGAAATTGGTCATTCTTTTAATCAGGTCAGCAAATGCTTTTTATATTTGTCCTATATTTAAACATTCTCCTTATGCTCTTTACCCACCAGTAATATAAGTATATACATTATTCTTTAAAATATTTAATTATGCGCTTTGCACCCCTATCTTCTGCTTTCCTAGAAATAATCGACTTTCAAAAAATGTTGTACTTTTATTTTTAACCCTTTGGCAAATTGATCGCAATTATTTCGGAAATAAAAGTGATTGATGCTTTAATGTCTGCAGCTGTTGTTACCTGCAAATTCACTTAACCCTACATTTGGGAACTACAGCATTTTCATTTAAAGTAGAATATTAATTAAAATTTTTATAATTTTAACATTAATAAAATATATTTATTAGTATTTTACTACAATTTGCATAAAGAAACACGTTAAACAAACAGCAGATTTTGTAAAGGGAAGAAAAAAAGAGCACAGCAAAAATAATAAATAAAAAATATAAAACCATCTCTGTTTTTTTTTGTTTTGTTTTGTTTTTTTTGTCTTTTTATACAATAATTTACATATACATAAATTTTTGATGATATGCTATCTTTCTGTGATATATTACAGAACATTTTAGAAAAAGACGGATTAGAGCACATAGTCGAAGGAAATATAGTAAAAAAAAGAAAAAGGATAAGTCGTATAAGTATAGAGAGGCAAATTGAGATCATTCAGTATCCGAAATCGGATGGCACTGTTGAAGAAGCACATTTCAAAAGCGATAGGCATTTTTTTTCTAATCTTTAACTAATCTGTAAATATGGTGTTGTGCCCCATGCATCGATGTAGAAACTTCAAAAACAAATGCCATACAAAGTAGAGTTTCTTGAGTGTCTCGGTTGGTTACAACCTATTTAGAAAACAAAGTTAAAGACATCACTACAAACATTCTAAAGTGATAAGTTCTCCTAACCTGTAGTATAGTAAAATTCTCCAAAACTGAATTCATCATGTATTTTTCAGGTAATTGTTTGAGCTTTTGAATGAAATTAATCATATAATCGCACATGGGAGATCGAGAAATTCTGTAAACGTAACGTCCACTTTCAAATCTGCCATGTTCAGTTTCTACTTTTTCAACTACTTGTTTACCAAATGAACAAACTTTGGTACTACATTGTATTGTCATATTTTCGCTGCTCTCATATTGGGATGATACACCGTAAAAAGCTCCTTCAGTAACATTTGTGTTAAGGTCTGCCCAAAATTTTACAAGAAAGAAAGCAGTTTGAGGTCCTTTGTCATGTAATTCCTTAAGACCTCCTTTTTTCTCTGGAAATTTATCATAGATCTGCCTCACGTCGACAGCTTCTAAGGTTGGATCGTTGAAACTGTAATTATTACTGATATGAATGAAGAGATGTTTGCTGTAATTCTCATTGGTTTCTCTATTTTCCTGAAAGGCACTAAATTCAACTAGTCGTAATCGTGGTCCAGCAATACTTCTTCCTTGCCAGGCGGGTAAAGAGTCATTCGTTTTCTCATTTTGTAAGGCCTGATTGTAAATATTTGAACTGTTATACGGCGGGGATAATCCAGGTTTCACATCCATAGCAGACTGTTGCCAATACTGTAGAAAATATATCATAATTAAAGTGTTTTCAATTAATAATGCAACTTAAAACTATCATAAAACAGTTGTTAAAGGCAAACTCTCTTCATATAAACCAGTTATTTAAGAAAATCTAAAAGGATGAACTTCGATGCGATTTAAGAGGTAGGGGACCTCGAAGTTAGTTTTTTGGCTTTTAAATTTAAAAAAAAGGCACGGCAACAATATAAATAACGCGTTGTCAATTCATAAATAATCTTTTCGTTAGTGAGACTCACGGCAGAAGCGCCGTATAATCCGATAGTCGGTGCCCCTGATTTAGCGGCCGAAACGATCTGGGCAGAAGAGAGAGCCTTTAATTGTTGCATAGTATGATCCTTAACCGTTGGATCCTGTTCGAATGGAAAAATGCATTTAATATCGTTTTCTGAAACTTACTGGAGCCGAGGATTGATTTTCAAATCGATTGGAGGATTCAGCTGGAGTGGGCGGTGGCTGATTATTTTTATTCTGCATTGCCGAAGCAGAGACAATTTGAGCACTTGACATGGAGGATAATTGTTGCAAGGCCTTTTCTTTTGATGTAACATCCTGCAGAAAGAAATAACAAAAAAGGGGGATGTTCATGCATAAGGGTGCAAAAGAAACTAAATTATGTTAGATAGATAAGTTAATTGTCAAATCGCACCTTTAACTGAGACTGAATTTCTTTTGATTTTCTCCTTGCTAAGACTTGGATGTGACTCGATACTTGTTTCCTTGTCCTTGTTTTTCCCGTTCGTAATTTAATATATCTGGCTATCAGTTCGTTCCTACCATACATTTTTCCTTCGTCGCTTAAGATAATCTTTCGTCTACCACAGGGTGGATAAATAGCTAACGCTTCTTGGAAGCTCTGTTCAATGTCGGCGCTCCAAACGCCTTCGGCATCGTTGCTCATATCTGAGTCAGCGTTCGTTTCGCTGCCAGCATCATCGTCCTGTTTCACCTCCGTATCCGATGATTGCCAATTGGCGGCGCTCGGCGAGGACATTCTTTTTTAAAAGAAAGTAATACTTTTAAGTAAAAAGTTTTTATTAAGAAAATCTTAAAAGTGAAGCATAGTTATAATTACAGGGAAAAAGATAAGTTTTGGAGCATGGTAAAAAGTAGTAGAAAGACGATATCGCCTTTGTTTTTTTGTACCGTAACCTTTATTAATTAAAAAACTGTAACTCTCCACGAATAACCTATATCTCATCAATTCTTATCCTTATCAAAATTCAATCGTTATCTATAAAGTACTTCAAACCGATGATAGTATATTTACAATTGTATAATAATTACAAAAGGTTTAGGTTCAAAATTTTTAATAGCTATTTTGATTTATTAATAATAATAAATACTGTCATTATAAATTATGTTTAATTGGGTTAATTCAATTCTTAAAACACCAAATAAAATATAAATTATATTTTACAAAAAAAAAGCCGTCTATTTCTTTATGTTTATATATGTTTGGCATTTTTTACCAAGAGATAAGGTAATATTTATTCTATATAAGAATTTCATAGAAAGAAATTGTCTGTCGGTCATAAACTACCAAGCCTATATTTATCACATATGCTTTTTTGCTGCTTCAGCAATTAATTCTTAGTATATTGAAGATTCTCAAATTCCATTTTAATGAAATCAATTAATTAATTATCCAATAGTAGAAACTAATGAAAGAATTTTGTAATTACAAAACGAAGAAGAAAAGTAGGAGATGGAATTTTGTATCGAACTAGATATCCTAACACTTCCTTACGTAACAATTACATAACGCGAGACACATAATTGTTACTTAAATTATATTGGATTTTTTTTTTGGACGCGTGTAAAGTCTTTGTCATCATGTGTTACAAATTCTCTCGTCTACTGAGCCGTAAGTAAGATTAGAGCGTTTGGTAAAATGTACGCTCTAACTAGATTCAGATGTAAACTTAACACCTTAACATGTAATGTAGAGCATCTATTTCAAACCATCCTTCTGGCTACTTCTGTAAGAGCTCTACATTACGATATATTCAAATTAAGAGTATATATTTAATAAACTGATCAACTTAGACTTTTCTATTCGTATTCCGGTTTGAGCGCACTTATCGAATAAAGAGGAAACTAAATTATGAACCGTGACCGTCTGTGAGAAATCACGACTGGTGCTATCAATGTTTAAAAAAACCGTTAGACGTTCTTCACTAGAGAAACAATATACAAGAAAAGGATAGAAGAAGCGGTGATATAAATAAAACTATATACAATACAACATACTAATCAAGTGATTATTTATAAGTTAAATACAAAAATTGTATACGTTAAACTTCTTGGAATTTATACTAATTCAATGCTTCTACTTTATTTTTAAAAAGAGGATTAATCTAACGTTATTAAATATACTTATACATAAGCTTATATAGGCCTAGAAGTTTGCTGTAGCATTTATTTAAAGCGCGCGCTCCAGATACAGTCTGCACAGCCTTAAATAAATGCTATAGCCAACGTTGGACAAAGAACGCCAGATATCTCAGGTCGCAGTGAGTCATTGCCTGCGCACCTGCATTGCTGTCATTCTTTCCTTATTTTAAGGTTCTACGACTGTTCGGTGACAATTTCTTTAACTTAAACAAATTTTAATACTCACTTGTCTTTTTCTTATAATAAAATAAATAGCGATTGAACCGATTTCGAAAATTTTACTTGCTATTTATGGTATGCGGAGAATGCGAAGCGTCCCCTACCAAATGCGCAAAAATGACGAATATGCGAAGCTTGCGCTCAGTGCGCATGTCATGAACTAGCTCCGCAGCAAGCTAGTTTCCTTTTCCGGGTGTTTGTAGATATGATTTTTTTAAAAGGAAGATAGTTTTTAAAGAAGGCAAAAAGGATGAAGAAAAGAAGGACTTTGTATATGTGTTTCAATGTTTTTAAAGATCACTAATAAATTGATTGAACCTGCAATTTACCATAATATGGCAGTTTTCTATTGTGAATTTTTTTGGGACCTGTAGAGTTGACACTTCTTCTAAGAAAGATTTATGTGATGTACTTGAATTTTGTTACAATTAGAATTGTAATGATAGAGATTATATAGTAACTACAGCTTTTATATTAAAAGATGTAGTTAACAAGTACATTTCAGATTCAACAAGTGAAGACATTGAATAGTCCTTTTGCAGCAGTTTTTTCTATATATGTAAATATACGAGATACCCTGTGGAAGTCCAAAAAGCCAGCCAGATAACTATGAGCTACATGCTATTGATTCTATTTAAACATGCCTGTTTGTGACGTTCTTAAAGAAATATATACAAATATTTGGATAATTTTTGAATTAAGTAGCTTATATGTACTTGTGCACAGCCTATAAATCTTATAACTTTAGCATTATATTAAATTCTTTTTTTGTTTTTTCCTTTTCAAAATATCTTCTTGAAGATCCAGATAATTTTACTAAAGTTTATATGTATTAGTACTCATTATCTGTGATAAAGACTATTTTTTTATACGCTCTATTTTCTTCCTAGATTAATCACTAGACAAATTTCTCATTTTGGGGAAATACTTCTTAAAGTAGGAATATGAATTTGCACCCTTTTGTCAAAACTTCCGCTTCCTTTGCTTATAAGCCAATAGGCAAGAGGGTGCAAACTCTATTTTTGTACATTTTTTTTAAATATGCCTAATACTATTACATGGCCGGCCTGATGATTTGAGGAAGCAGAAGCGACCTGCTACGGAATCTTTTTTATAGATGACTTAATGACGTCATTGCTAAATTATTTTTGAATCTTTCACTGTGATGAGTACTTATAAGAAACATGTGCTTTAAAATTCATGCTAATAACGAGCATATTATTGGATTATACGTCATTTTGATTGCTATCTATGTTTTGGTCAAAGCTCAGTATGGAAATTGGGGATATGGATACTCAGCTACTCAAATATTATCAGATACTTTTGTGTCAGGATCGGCTACGGGTCAAGATAATTCGTATTTAAAATGTCAAAAACCAGTATTGAATCAAGAAATTCAGGTAAACATTCGACGTCAACTGAAAATGAGTAAAATTGAATTCATGTATCCACAAGTGACTGACGGGGGCTCATTTCGACCCGCTGACTGTAGGCCATCACAGCGTGTAGCCATCGTTGTCCCTTTTAGGGATCGTTATCATCAGCTTCTACACTTACTTCAGAGGTTACATGAAATGCTGCAGCAGCAAAAAAGAGATTATACAATATTTGTTTTAAATCAAGCCTACGATGACATTTTCAACAAGGGTAAATTGATAAATTCAGGGGTACGAGAGATTTTGGATAACCAAAACAACAAATATGATTGTTTTATATTTCATGATGTTGATATGCTACCACTGGATAACAGAAATATATACTCTTGTGGGGAAAATCCGCGACATCTCTCTCCAGCTCTTGACGAAATGAGATTTTTACTACCATATTACACTTTGACAGGGGGAGTTTTAGCTTTAACTCATAATCAGCTTATAAAATCTAATGGCTATTCTAACGAATACTGGGGATGGGGAGCGGAAGATGATGATATGTATGAAAGACTGATTGAAGCAGGTAAAATTAATTTAATATGTGTAACTAAGCCTTTTTATTTTATCTTTGATTTCAGGTTATAGTATCGATAGGCCTCACCCTTCTATAGGCCGATATATTATGTTAAAGCATGCTAAAAGAGAGAGATCCACAGAACGGTATAATAAATTGTCAAGTTGGAAAGATAGATGGCTAAACGATGGTCAAAGCAACATAAAAGATATCGGTTATAAAGTTCTCAGCAAAGAATTTAATAAGTTATACACTAATATAACAATTGATGTTGGTAGTTCACCGAAGGAGCATAAAGATTCGCTAGAGAATGATAAATTCTTAGCTTCATCCCGCTTCATATTCACTTTTGTATTTACCGTTTTAAGTATATCTCTATTTAAATTTATTTAAGATAAATAGTACATTTAATATACTATATTTACGATAAGCAAAATATAATAGTTCTTTTATGTTTTTGGTTTTAAACAAGTAAATAGACTTCTTTCTTTCTTTCTTTCTCCCTTACCCTTTTTTCTTTCCTCCCGTCTTCCTCTTTCTGTCTCTATGTCTCTTTATAGATCAAATTTGTTTTTAATGATATTTTAAACAAATTATTTTTTTAAATTTAAAAAACATATCTAATATCGAAAATTATGTTTACCTACTTCTATTATTTGTATTTTTCTGAATCTTGGAAATATTAAGACGTAAGACAATGACTGATGCTATTTGTATTGGAGATTCTGTATGCCTCTTTGATGAGGATATGAAAGGTTTCGTGTACGCTATTGAATCCAGGTGAAGAACTATCTTTTATCTATCTATATATATATATATATATATATATATATACAGTATATATTTAAAGAATTAGTAAGGTACTATAAAAAACCTAACTTTTAAATTGGCTATTTAGCTCAACATTCTCTAATGTCGCAGTCTCCGCCGGAGATAAAATTGGAATTACGAAAATACCGGATATTAACGGTTTTTAAACTTCTGCACTTGTGTTTTATAATAATTTTCTATTACTTTCCCAAAAACCGTTAGCTCTAACTTTTGAAATATGTCCTTCTTTGAGATACAAGATGAATAAAATATATAGAAAGAATTTGGAACTTGCCGATAAAAGAGATTATAAAATGGAAGAGGAAAGAGTGAGTAACTCTGATTATACATATATACATATATGCCTAAATGTTTTTCATCTGTTCTCTTTACCTCTTAAGAAAAATATGGAATTGGAGAATGAGGGAAATAATAATGAAAAGAAAAGACTTAAAGGAAAGAAATTACTCTACGGTCAAATAGTACAATTACGTCATATATTTACTAATAAATATATTCATATGAGTACAAAAAATACTTCTATAACTGAACCATCCTCTATGGCAATATCTTTAGTTTCTTACGTTGCGAAACAATCTCATTTTCGTATTTTACCTAAATATAAAATTAAATCAGAAGGAGATATTGTTCAAGTAAATGATCAAGTCGTTTTTGAGTCTTTAAAAACAGCAGGACAATATTTGCATTATGGAAAACAATTTTTCACGAATCCATCACCTTATCGTAATTTGGCGTATGAAATGAATTTGTCAGTTCAGCCGTCTGGATTTTGTATTTCCTTATTTTCAAAACCACCTAGACACGACGATTATTTAAAGGTTTAGTTAAATTACTAAACAGGCAAAAATATAAATAAAATTTTTCAGGCTGGTCAGGTTGTTCGATTTTATCATAAGGAGCTCGAAGGTTATTTGTGTGCCGAAGGGACATTTGATGAGGAAGGTGACGTTGCTGAAAATGGTAAATACCTCGTTGTGCGGAATGTCGTCCAAAATAATTTATTATTATCCGATAGTGCATATAAGAGTAAGACCTGTTTCTGACAAGAAACCAAGATCGATTTTTCCGTCAGCCAATGCAATAACTTATTGGCAAATTGAAAAGGAACAAAACCCTACTGACGGTTCATTTATTAGATGGGGACAACAGTGTCGAATCCGTCATATGTGTACGCGACGCTATCTTAGATTAAGCAATGAAGGAGAAATTTCGTTAACTGTGGATGGATGTAGAGATGCGCTATGCGTTTTTCGAATATTTCCTGCCATTGAACAGGATGAAAAAGAAATTTTTGTGGAAACTGACGATTATTGTAGAATTCAACACGCCGCATCCGGTTCCTGGATTCACGGTGACCAGTCACCATACGAAAGTAAAACTCGGAAGAGATCTGACGAAACTGAATCGTTAATGGCGTCTTTAGTATTATCAAAAACAAATCTAAAGAAAATTGTTGCAAGACTAGAAAGACAATACGATGATGTATTTGCTCTTCAGATAGTCAAACCAGATGATCATGCAAATTTTAATTTTATGGCTGGGATGGTTCCAAGCTTAAAAGTTCTTAAAGATAAAGTCATTAACAATAAAATTTTCTATTATAGCATAAATATAAAAATTCTATTTAATTAGTTTTCATTTTATTTATCTTTCTTCAGTTAAAAGATCAAACAAATCTTAGTATTAAATACATGCTTGATATCCAAAGCTCCTTAAAGGAAATGAGAGATTATATGATGATAAATGGTATACCTCAGGGTAAAAGACAAAAGTTACTAAGAAGTCTTATGGTAGAGAGTTTTATACATACATACTGTATAATAGACACTGTATTTCTATTAATGTAATTGAAAATTTTAACATCAAAATAGATAATAGAGTTATTAGTTGATATTCTTCGTATTTCGGAAGAGAGACATCATAGAGGGTAATAGTCGTCTAATGATTTAATAACACATTTTTTATTCGCTTATTTTCATCTACAACGAACAGAGATGTCCAGAATACCTTCATTTTAATTTACGATGTACTTTGGACATATTTAGTAGGAGGAAGTAGACAAAATTCCGTCTATTTAGCAATGCATTTAGAATTCTTTGAAAACCAATTGGATAAACCGGTATTTAATAAATATAGAAAACTTTTCATAATAAAGACTTACAATTTACATAAAAAAAGGATCCCATTGGATCGTCTGCAACCAGCGTATTAATCCAACTATTAAAAAACAACAGAAAAATCGTTGATCGTATTGTAAAAACTCACATAGATAAATATATTCATTTACTAAAGACAAAAAGGGTTTGGCATCTTATTTTAGTATAGTTTTTTGTTTCTTTTCGTTTAATTTTCAATGGAGTTATTATAATAGCATTATAAATATTTACAATTATTGGGTTCACTGTGCGTATGCTCCGATATTGCTATGCCAGAAAATCAGACCTATATTGTTCGTCACTGGTTGACTGATGAGTCAAAGGTCATTTTCTTTTAAATATCACTTTTTATAATAGATGATATATAAATAATTGGATTCTATTCTTTGAAAGTTTATGATAATAATAATATATTTTTTGTCCTTTATCTTTTAGAGCTCTCTATGTAGGTTAAAAGCTGAACAATCGTCACACGATAACAGTAAATTTGAGTACTTTATAACAAAGTTTGACGAAAATGCTCCTAAGAAAAGATTACCACTGATAACAGAAGAGGAGATGGAAATAATCGAGAGACAAGTTATTGACATAGATAATGTAAATATTTAAATAGATCCCTAATATTATATTCCTTTCGGTTAATTCTCATTAGACAAGATTCGACGATGATTTTATGTACTTGATCAATCAATTAGATTTATTTGAGAAACTGTGCTATGTGAGAATACTTTAATTACAATTGAAACACTCTTTGATTTTTCACACTTTTTTTATTTTAAAGGGAAGAAATGAATACGCAATAAAAGTAATAACCAAGGATTTGTCGTTTCTTACATGGGATGAAGCCTTTGGTTATCTTAAAGATAATGATTTACCAAATCTCATGAGAGCAAAGTATTGTTATTTAATCTTAGGTTAATATGATTGTTTGCTAACATAAAAGAAGTTAAATTTTTCTATTCTCACTTTTTATAGTATTGTTTATTGATGTGAGTCCAAGGGAATCATATTTAGACTTTATAACATTATCTTTTCTATATAACGAATTCGACGATGATTACGGTAAAACAAGAGATAGTACAGTAGAGATAGGAGAACGAGAGCATGAAGTAGCTTATTCATTTCAATTGAAATGTATGATATAAGTTTTGTTACTTTTCAAGCTTAAAGTATGGATTTCAAAATTTCTTGAAGAAAATGCAGTAATGCACCTAAATTCTGGGGCTCTAAACGTACTAATAAAGCAGGTAAAGTCAATCTATTTAAGGTAAAAGTAATGTGATATTTTTTGTTTGATCTTTTTCTCCTTACAAGGTACTACACCTCCTTTATTGGCTTGTTAAGTTCCATTTTTATCAAACTTTTGAAGATGTAAAACTATTAATGAAGCCACTTCTTGCTTTGCTCAATGGAAAAAATGATAAACCTAGTGATGAAGGTTAAATACGGTTGATAATTCTCTCGAAGATATTTATTTACATGGCTTTCCATTTTTTTTTAAAAAGGTTATCCGATGTCAAGGAAAATGGAAGAATTTCTAAGGAGACAAATGTTTAAGCAAAGTCCAAAAGCTAAATTAATTGTCAATGCCAAAATGGAGGCAATGAAAATTGTTGAATTGTTCCTAAACAAGCGATTTAATACGAGACTTTACGTTAATATTTAGATTATATAAAATAAAAAAGAAAGAAACACAATACTTTATATAATAAATTACTCCATTTTGCTCATTATTTTATAGAGGTTTGTCGAAGAATTTCGCAAAATTTATCTATGGAAATATCGAAATGATAACCGCTATAAAAGACTTGAAGAATATGCACCATTGATGGATGAAGATGATGATCTCTTAGATAAACCAGAGTATATTAATTTAAAAGAAATTGATAATTTTTGATAACAATCAACTATTTTTGATGAAAATGTCAATAATAGGATCATAAATTCTACTTTAAGGATGCTCAAAAGTATTTTTGAAGAGTCAGCCTTTTTCAGAGGTGTAGGAGTTGATCTTGTTGAGATTCTGAAAGGTCTTTGTAATTACGAATATGCCGAAATGGTAGCATCTTGTATGCTAATACTAAACAGATATTTTTCGAGTCATGAAAACTTGTTTAACAGAGCCGTCCATGCTCAAGTAAAAAGCAACATATTAATAAAATTATCATATCGAAAGAGGAGTACTCCTTGAAAATCATTTTCAGATAATTGTCAATAAAAAATCCAGCGAATTAGTTAAATACTTAAGAAAAGCATTACCAAAAATACATAGGCTTACTTTAACAAAATTAGTGGATGAACAAGTAAATGAAATGATTGAGATACTTCAAACATTCGCATCTTATTGTATTAGCGACGAAGACATGAAAGAACCAAATACTGTGAATCAAAATATTCTCTATACTAATGGTTCTTATTACAAATTACTTATGGCCATATCTGAAAATTTTGTTTATTATAGGTGTTCTTTCTGATGTTTTTGATATACTAACTAAAGAAATGGATACGAGTCTATTAAAAAAACAATACTGTGGTTTAAAAAGGGTGTTTGAAAGGGCTTTTACGTTGATTAAAGTATATTTAGACACAGAAACTCATAAATTAGCCGAACTAATTGACAATTATTCATTTAACTAGGCAATGGCTATTCGAAATAACAATGTTCAACAGAGACTCTTCCAAAGGATAAATATGCTAATGAGTATTGAAGGAGCCGAACGTCAAATGGCTGAATCTCTTATAGAAGTTTTTACAAATAACAAGCAAACTTGTTTGAAGATAAATCATTCACACATTAAAAGAATATTTGAACTTATTGTTAAGCACAAGTCGAACGTTCCTCAATTCATGGAATTACTAGCTTCTATTATTAAAGTATAAAAGATCTGTTATAATTTTTTGTCGTCATATTTTATTCTATTTATAGATAGAAGAGTTGAATTTACCTGTAAAAAAGAATCAGAGCTTTGTTATTAAACATTTTATGCAAAATCTTGGAGAGATTGGAGAAGTTTTAAATAAATCAACTGATGAAAGAAGACTAATATTAAAGTCAAAAGATCAGAAATCAATTCGATATTTTATGTCCATAATAGATTTATTAGCAACATGTTGCGAAGGTGAAAATAAGGCTGTAGAGTCAATGTGTCATACTTTGTATAGCTTTCCGCATTTACTCGATATTTTAAATGATAAGCACATTTCGAATATCGTTAAACGACCGTTTCTTAGATTTTTCCATTGGGCCTATATGCACACTGGATTTAGTTCTACAGACCTAGAAATAGAAGTGATGAGTAATCCGTAAGAATATAATGATGCTACCTAAATATATCTTTGCCTACCTTTGAAAATAATGCATGCGTAATTTATCTCAAAAATTACAGGGGCTTCTTAAAATTTATTCAATCATTGAAAATAGAATTTGAAGAATTATCTATATATATTAAAGACAATGGCCAATTAATTGAGGCAGCGCTACTAACAGACATTAGAAATATGTATTTGATATTAAATAGATCTATTTAATTCTAATTAAATAGAATTTGTTGTTTTTTTCTTTTTATAAAGATTTTATCAACATCATCGATCCTCGCCAACTCATCGTACAACAAAATCTGGGTATATTTATTAACATTTAATCAAGATTCTTGATTTCATTTAAAACATTATATAGAAGGTCAAATGTTAGATATAGGCGAACTAAACCAGAATCAAAGATTCCGAATACTAAAGAAATAAATAATTTACATTATATTTTCGAAGCTGTTTTACCATTTTTACATGTAATTATTACTGTTGTTCTTATCTGTTTATAAGAGCTAATATCCTTCTATCATTTCTATTAAAATCACAGAGTTTATACGAATCTTCTCACGTTTACGATACCGAATTAAAGAAAGCAAGTTCGGATTTAGCCGTTGTTTTTCTGGTATTATTGTAATACTCAATTCAATTTAGAATATATTACAAAATTATTCTTTATTAGGAGTTTGCTCTATTGATTAAATCTTATCTTCGTAAGAAGAAGCATTATACCGCAATATTAAAATGCGGAGATGTTTTGTTGAAGCCTGAGATTTGTGGTGAATCAGTACATCAAGTCGAATTTTCAAAAACGTACAACAGAACATCAATTTGGCGCGAAACAGATGTAGCAGCTGTTTGTATTTGCTTTGCTTTCTTTTTCTTTAGTACTTGTCAAAACATAAGTAATTATTCAATTTTATATTTTACAACTTAAGATGATTGAAGATCAAGGCGAAAAAAAGAATTTATTCTTATTTGAAATCGACGAATCAGACTTAAATGATAAATTGAAAAATTTTACCATAAATTGTAGCGTTATTTACGGTGGACCTAATACTGTAAAGGACCAAATTAATTTCAATTCTACTGAAGAATACACGGAATTAGATGGTGACGAGCAGCTTCCTCTTGGTAAAGAGTTTCAGTCCCTTGTTGATATTTTTATTAATAAGTATGAAAGTGACGTGGTGGCTAAATATCAAATGGCAGAAAAGCTGGTATTACAATTAAAGTTTGTTTTTATGCTTTTAATATTGCTGAGAGGTTTATTTAATCTAATTGCCGTAAACACTATAAAGGTTGTCGGCGTCTTATAGTCCTCCTTTTGAGAGACATAAAGTTCAACAAGAAACTCTCGATTTAAAATGCTTGCAGATTCTTCGAGCTCTGATTCATAATGAGATTGTTAAATTACCCAAAAATTGGGAATTGAGTCAAAAAGATCATAGATCGTAAATATAAACACAATTAGCACTTGTAAACCGTAAAATAATACTAACAAACGAACCAAAAATACACACAGACAATTGAAAGCTGTCGCAGATATTCAACACGCATTAAAGGAATTTGGCGCTCATAGTCAAGCCTTAGGCCACTTGTCAAAGCAAAGGGATGAAACTGTTAGAGAAGTTATTGCATTTCAAGCTGCGATGCTATTTGGCGCTAATAAAGAGATTCAGAATACTTTTATTCAATATTTTGATAAAACAAAAGAAACTTTTTTCGTTGCTATTCAGAGTAGGATGCACATTTCTATTAATTGTACGAAAGAGAGACGATTTTTACAATCACAAATTCGTGATCAAATTGCCGATAGAGTACAATTACTAACCCAACTGCAAAAATCGATTAAAAAGGGAGAAGTGTCAGAAAATGTAAATTGTATTATTTATTAATTACAATGTATAGAAGGCTCATATCTGATTTTAACTTTTCTCTCAGGAAATACAAAAGACTATACTAGCTGAATCGTCTAACGAAAAACTTATATCGAATGGTATTTCTGTAAGTGTCACTTAAAATATAATAGATTTCTTTTTGGAGCTAATCGGCTAATACATATATAAAAGACAAAGACCAGTGACGCGTGGGGAAAAGAACGTAGGAAATTATTAATGAAGAAGAAAAATTCTTCAACAAAATCCGAACATAAATTCATTTATCCACTCTTGAAACCAGTTACAAAGTTGACAAAAACTGCTGCAATGGTTGTTAGACGTTTAACAATTTCTGAATCGAAAAAACCTTTATTGAACTATGCCGAACCTATTGGATGCAAAGATACGAGTAGGAAGAGTTTAGTTGAACAGAATTCTGGTGAAATTTGGAGAACAGCTGCTGAATGGTTTCACTTTAGAGAAGAGGATTACGAATATAAAGATGACGGTTACATCGAACTTGTTTTAAAAATGTTAGGTCTTCTATGTGATGGTCAAAATAAGGGGATACAAGATTTCCTTCGAGAACAGCCGGAAAATATTAAATCTGTTAATTTAGTTATGGAAACGACAAAATTCTTATCGCTTATATATTCTTCTATTAATTCTAATACCATTGGACTAGTCTCAGAATTGTTCAACACTTTAACAGAATTTACTTCCGGTAATATTGCTAATCAAGTGGTAGTGTTTGATAATAAAGTTATAGATCATATTAACTATATTCTAAGGGACGATCTCCAAGACTGTTTATTATTAGAAATTATTGAACTTAAAAAAACCATTGCCCTCTTTTTGTTTGCTTTGATTGAAGAGAATCACGTGATAGGTCACGGAAAGAAGGCTAAGAGTATTGGTGTTGAACAAGATGTAGCCGAAAGTTTAGAAGTGGAAACAGTTTTTAAGATCTGTACAGAATGTTATAAGATTGCAGCATATAAGGTTTTTAAATGACAATCTCCCTTATCAAGTATTTTTAATTTTATACCTTATATAAATTATTATTTTAATCTATCAGCAAAAAGAGAGTGACAGCGACGTTTTCGATAAGAAAACAAAAAGAACAATGAATGATGATGTAGTGCATGAAGAACTTAGAAACGAAGCTATTGTTGTTGGATTTAAATATTTTCATGTAATATGTCGAATTTTAGAACTCAGCGAAGAATCTTATGTAAAGAAAGCATCCATTTTAAAGTCAGCAAATGATTTTAAGGTATGGTCTTTTTATGATAATGGAACTTCAACAATAGAATTGGTAAGAAAGGGCAATATTCAAAAAGTCTATTTTAGGGTTAAAGATCGGGTTAGTGATAGATTTAAGGCAAAAATTATATTTATACATGTATTTAATATAAAAATAATTGCAGAGTGTTCTCAGGGAGGACGTTATAGAAAAATTTAACTATGAAGTTGATAGATCAACTCCAACCAATAAACTCAGAGATTTCCTAAAATGGACTAAAGATATTATAGATAATATAAAATACACAAGAAAAGTTCATCAAAATAGATTCGCTAGATTCTTTATAAAATATTGGTACGAATTTAACGCTATAGTCATTTTCCTCTCATTTATTATTTATTCCATAATGTTAATTACTTGGCAAAAACCGCTGGATAATGGAATTAAGCCTCGTTTAAAATATCCAAGCATACAGCAAGTTATCTGGGTTTTAGGAGGAATGCATAATTTTTTCTCCTCTTGTGTCCTTATATCATATTTTATAACAAATAGACCAACTTTTCCAAATATTCAATCATATTTAAATAAGAAACTTAGTCCTAAAAATTTACAAGCTCAATTACGTAGATTATCAAATCAACAAGAAGAAGATGAAGAATTGGAACAACAACTTAATCCTGCTAAAAATCATTTAGAGGTAAAATTCTTCTCCTTTAAGACCATGTGGTATTTATTGATATGCGTCTTCTCCTGGCTTGGGACATACTTCTATGGTTACTTTTTCATCTTTCATCTTCTCCATTTAGCACAATTTAACCAACTTTTGAAAAGAACAATAATGGCTGTCCAGAAAAACGGTATGCTAAATATTAAAAAATAATACATTCTCCTTTCTCTTTGCTGCCTAAATATACTCATTCTTTTATATTCTTTTAATAAGGGTATTCTCTATTATGGGTTTTCTTATTCGGAATGGTAATATTATCTATATACGCTTTAATCTCATTTGCATACTTTCGGGAGATATTTAGAGAAAATGGTCACTTTTGTAATACTTTATACGAATGTGCTATTTCCGTTTTACATAGAGGACTTGTTGATGGAATATTTAATGTACGCCTATAAAATTAATTAACTAGAATTGTTTAACTAATAAAATATTCTGTTTTTTTTTTTCTCAGGAGGAAGTACGTTTTGAAACTTATTAAGTTTTGGATATAAAATTTCCTTTATCTTATTAAATGAAAAGAAAATGTCTAAAAGCAGTTTATTGTTACAGATGTTAGTTATCCCAAATGATATAACTTTTACGTATCGATTGAGAAAAGCTTTCTTCGATTTGACATTCTTTATACTTATTACTACAATAGGATTACATATAATCTTTGGAGTGATTGTAGATACTTTCTCTGAGTTGCGAGATAGTAAGGTATAATAAATTTATCATTCGTATTATTGCCCTTTAAATGCTTAAGCTACGGTAATTAAAACACATTTTATTAAAAAGTGGAAAATCGATCAAGATATGAAAAAGAACTGCTTTATATGCTCAAGATCAAGCTACGATTTCGAAGATCATATTGGGGTCTTTATATCGAAATTAAAAACTACATTATAAAATATATATGTGTATATATATGCTATCCTTTACCTAATTAGGGCTTCGAACATCATATTCAAGATGAACATAATCAATGGACGTATTTATTTTATTTTATCCATCTAGACGATACTAGATCTAACGATTTTACATCAATGGAAAAGTATGTCAGTGAACAAGTAAATATTCTTATTAATCTTCTATTAATTTCCTGTAAAGTGTTAATAACTTAAAAATGTAATTATTTAAAACAGCTAGAAAATGAATGGTTCGATTTTTTCCCTATGAATAGGGCTATGTCTTTAAAAACTGAAGAAGATTCTTTAGAATCTCAAATACAAAGTTTAAGAGATGAAGTTAATTATCTAGTTGATATGAAGAAGAGAGACGAAGCGTTTAGAGAAAGAGAAATACAACGAGAAAGACAAGAACAATGGGAAGCTATCCACAAGAAATAGGCTTATAAAAAGAATAATAAATGAACATTAGTTTGAAAGCCAAATTAATATTTAAAGTTTAAAAATATTTCTGCTTAGTATTATTTATTATATTTAGATTTTTAAAATAAACAAAAACGTATTAAAAATTAAAAAACAACAACATCACAGCAAAAACAACAATGATAATAATAACATACATAGGCAAACAACAGGTAAAAATTGCTAATAGTAGAAAGAATAGTATTTTGATTTCTTTGTAAAATACAAGGAGATTAGGTTTAGAGCCAGTCATACTCATTTCATAATAATAATTTTTCGCGCCGTCAAATGGCAAAACATTGCAGTATGAGTTATAGTATAACATAAAGGTGATTCACTAGAAATAACTTCACTCGTGGCCAATGAATGATATTTAAAATGTTTATTTGCTCAACAAATAAGCGTATATTTATAATTTTGGAATTTTATCTTTCTTTTATATTTTTTAAAAAGAATTTTGCACTACTTATGCTAAATCGAGAAAAATTGTTACTGATAGCGCCATCTATATTTCCCCCTTCAGAGCTTGACCTTCGAGCTGCAATCTTCAAGGACGTTAGTTGGTGGCTAAAATAAAAATGTCTGAGACGCCAGATGTAATCGGGAATCTACCCAACGCTAAGGAGATCCAAGCTAATTCAAAAAGATCTTCTTTCGGAGCAGAGAAGAAGATGAGTGTTTGTCTAACTATGGGAAATGAGGGGAAAACGGTAGAAAAAGGGGCTCATATAGGAAAATCAATCGCAGTATTCACTTCTGGAGGAGATGCCCAAGGTTATTAATGTTTTTTACTAACTTTTTAACTATATAAAACAATTTGCAAAATGTTCTTTATTTCAAATTTACCGCCAATCAATAAAATTGAGTAATGACAGCAGCTGATAGCACTCAGAATGGCCAGTATTATCTAAGGCCATCATTGTGCCAGTCTTAGTTCATCCTGCTTTGTAGGTGAAAGTTGAAGGTTATTTAAAAAAAATGAGTGACATTAAATCTAAGAGGAAATTGAGACGGCAAATCAGTGAGAGAGCATGGAAGAACGAATTCTCAGACGCACACAGATCAATTGCAGTTTTTACTTCTGGAGGCGACTCTTGTGGTATGTTTGTAAATGGCATTAAAGTCAAAAGGACTTTATTCACCAAATTTTAAATATCACTAAGATAGTCATAATCTCAGTATTATTGTGAAGATATATTAAATTAATATCAACGAATGAACTACTTGGGCTTTTCAAATAAGAAAAGAAAAACAAATTTCAATTAACAACGTTACGAAGATTTGATTGCCAAAATGCTCTATTATTTTAATAAGAATTCTTTTATTCCAGGAATGAATTCGGCTGTTCGAGCCGTAGCGAGAATGGGAATTTATGTGGGATGTAAAGTTTACTTAATCAAAGAGGTTTATATTGAAAATTTATACTACTTGTTCTTTTGGAAGAAATTAACTATTTATTTTTTAATACTAGGGCTATCAAGGTATGGTTGATGGAGGAGAAAACTTTATTGAGGCCGAATGGAAGACCGTTTCAGGTATAATGCAGAAAGGTGGAACTGTAATTGGATCCGCTAGATGCAAAGATTTTAGAACAAGGGAGGGTCGTTTAAAAGCAGCTTTGAACTTAATTGAGAGAAAAATCACCAATTTGGTTGTTATTGGAGGCGATGGTAGTTTGACTGGAGCTAACTTATTTCGACAAGAATGGACATCTCTACTTGATGAACTTATTTCTGTTGGGAAAATTACAAAAGAAACTGCAGAACTATGTAGCCACTTGAACATAGTAGGCATGGTTGGATCTATCGACAATGATTTTTGCGGTACTGATATGACTATCGGTGCAGACTCTGCTCTTCATAGAATCATTGAGGCTATCGATAACATTGCAACAACGGCTTCTTCTCATCAGCGTTGCTTTGTTATGGAAGTTATGGGTAGGCATTGTGGATACCTTGCCCTCGTAGCTGCCCTGGCTAGTGAAGCTGATTGGGTGTTTATTCCTGAATGGCCTCCAGAAACGGGTTGGAGAGACGTTCTCTGCAACAAATTACAGAAAGAGAGATCTATGGGTCAAAGACTAAACATTATAATTGTAGCCGAAGGAGCAGTTGATATGGAGGGCAATAAGATTACGTGCGACATGGTTAAGGATTTAATCATCACTGAGTTAAAATATGATACAAGAGTAACCATATTAGGCCATGTTCAAAGAGGGGGAAGTCCATCAGCTTTTGATAGAGTCTTAGGTTGCAGAATGGGCGCCGAAGCCGTTTTGGCGTTAATGGATGCTACACCTGATACACCAGCGTGCGTTGTATCTTTGGACGGTAATCAAACTGTAAGAGTTCCCCTTCTGGAATGCGTAGAGAGAACGAAACGCGTTCAGGCGACGATGGACAAACAGGATTTTACCGATGCAGTAAAACTGCGGGGAAGGTAAGCACAGTTTATTTTTATACACCTGAAACGTTATTCTTTTTATTTTTCATAAATTAATTAAACACTGAGTTAAAAGATAAATAACAAAATATTGAGCTTCTCCCTTCGCAACTTATCCTCCAACCTATAGAACTTTTACAGATAACATCTTTTGGTATCGTCTTTTACATAAAGTTGAACCGAAAACTAAAGAAAAAGTATGAAACTGTAAAAAATAAAAAAAAGCTTTTAATCCCGATTATAATAGCTTTATTGTTTAAAAATCTAGAAAACACCTGACTGATTTATTAATTCCAATAATTAACTTGGTTTATTTAATTATACTGTATATAATTTTCATTTATATTGTAGAATTTATATATATATATATATATATATATATATATATTTATATTAATTCATTTTACATGCTCTATCTAATAATTATTAATTCTTATAAAGAATGATTAATCACTAGATAAACTTCTATAAATTTAATTGCATAACAATACGCTTCGCAGGAGCTTCATGAATAACCTGGATACTTATCGAATGCTTAGTAAAATTAAGCCGCCTTCTGAGCTTTCTGATCTTGAGGGAACCCGTCATGCGGTATGTCAATCTATCTATCTAGAATACTTTCTATATTGATATTACATTTATTATATTAGCTGCATATGTAAATTTGTTAGGGAGGTTATTAGTAATTAAAGAAAATAGTATATTTATTTCGTAAAAAGTGTCTAATAAAAAATAATTTATAATTATTAAGAAATCCGAAAAGCAAATCCAATTGGTAAGCCATGCAAACCTTTATATGTATATTTTGTGCTTAGTTTTGTAAATTCTCTTCTCTAAAGTTGTTTATTTATTAAAGCACATTTTTAAAACATTCTTGCTTGTTCGTCAGCCGCATTGGCGAGTTCATTTCGTATTCTTTTGCTTCTACTGTTCTCAATCCAATTTAAAGATACAAACAGTATGCTAAATAGAAAAAATCATTTTTATACACTGTATGTAAAAAAAAAAAGAGACAAGAAATCTTGAAATTGAACTCTAGTATATTTTTTATTAATTAAATTTTCAAGATTTCATATTTTCCAGCTTCCTTACAATTTGGGTATTATGAGCGTCGGTGCACCAGCCTGTGGTATGAATGCTGCTATGAGAGCGTTCGTTCGACTGAGTTTAACCAGCGGATATGGAGTTATTGGAATTCATGATGGATTCGAAGGATTAAAAATAGGAGATGTTCATCATCTTGGATGGACCGAAGTACACGGTTGGGCAGGAATCGGAGGTGCTCGTTTGGGAACAAATAGAACTCTACCAAATGAGATTGGTTTTAGCGTAATCGCTAGCAAACTAAAGGAGCACAAGATTGATGGCCTTTTAATTGTTGGTGGCTTTGAAGCCTTCCATTCCGTGGTCTTGTTGGAAGCTGCAAGAAAAGATTTTAAAGAATTTTGCATACCAATGACCGTTATTCCAGCAACTATATCTAATAACGTACCCGGAACTGACTTTTCGTTAGGAGCTGACACTGCTCTTAACGAAATAACAGATATTTGCGATAGAATCAAGCAAAGTGCCGCTGGCACAAAAAATCGTGTGTTTGTTGTAGAAACAATGGGAGGTTATTGTGGCTATTTAGCGACCCTCGCTGGTTTAGCTGGTGGAGCCGATGCGGCCTATATCTTTGAAGAGGATTTCAAAATTGAGGATCTTCAAAAGGATGTTAAGCATATGGCAGCCAAAATTAAAGATGGAGTTAAGCGAGGTTTAGTATTGAGGTGAGAGTTATTTTATGTATCATCTGCAGAGTATTTAAGTGAATTAAATCCACTTTAAAGAAGCGAAAGAGCAAACGAGAACTATACCACACATTTCATATATAAGTTATTTAGTGAAGGAGGACAAAGATCGTAATGTTGATAGTATAAGACTGTCTTTTTGTTTGGTGGGGAAGGGGAAAACATTTAGTTATTTCAATAAATTAAATTCATAAAAAACACTTTATTTTCAGAAATGAAAAGGCGAACAAAAACTATACGACTGAATTCATCAATAGACTCTATATGGAAGAAGGTAAAAAAATTTTCAGTTGTCGTATGAACGTTCTTGGTCACATGCAACAGGTACTTAAGCTTTGAGAATTTTTCGTTTCACCAAAATTAACTTTTAATAATAATAACAATAATAGGGTGGAGTTCCCTCGCCATTTGACCGTAACATGGGAACCAAAATGGCTGCAAAATGCGTCGATTGGCTAACTGACATGGTAAAAAAGTGCAGGACCGGCGCTGAAGGTGGTCACGATGTCTACACCGATAAACCTGAGACTGCAACTTTGCTGGGTCTCAGAAAGAGAATCAGCTGTTTTACACCAGTAACGGAGCTTATCTCTATTTCTGATTTTAACAGGAGAATGTGTAATGAAAAAGCGTGGTGGATGAATTTGAGACCATTGCTCAGAATTTTAGCAAAGCATGAGAGCATCTATGAAGTTGAAAGTATAGATGGAAGAGCAAAGGAAATAGATGATGAAAATCATTTTTAATTCTTAAGATCCGCTGTCTCAAACATAATATGTCTATAATTTTTAGTTAGTTTACTACCATGTGCCATGCATGTTTTTAAAAAATATTTTGGCATTTTAATTCTGAGGCATACCTGCAAATGATGAACCTATATTTTTCTGATTATAGAACAACTACAAAAAACTTAGTTCGTGTGAATACTTTAATTCCGGATTAATACAATTTTAGAAAAGATTTGATTGCATCTTAAAAATGATTTTCAAAAATTCATTGTATGTGCGCTTTCCCGTATTATAAACCGAATACACGTGAACTCTTAGAAATACATTTTTTTACATTCAAGCCAAAAATAAAGTGTATTTCTTAAATGGTATTCACTTATTTTTTACTGGTTGCGGAATCTTCCTTGCTGTAGAGCCTCAACTGTTCTTGCTTCTTATCAGCAATTCTCTGCTCTCGTCTCTTTCTAGCTTCCTTAACCTTGTGTCTTCTGGCTTCAGCTTGATCAGCCAAAAGTTTGCTTCTGGCACGTTCCGCCTTCTTTTTATGGATGTGTTCCATCAACACACGCTTATTTTTAAAGACGTTACCTATTAGTTATGGAAAGATTATTATAGATCAGCAAAAGAGATGGATAGTTTACTTACCCTTGCACTTCAAATAGAGAACATGGTAGAGATGTCTATCAATTTTTTTAGAATCTCTGTATCTCTTCAACAAACGTCTCAATACTCGCATTCTTCTCATCCAAAGAATCTTCTCAGGCATACGAGCGTTAGCCGTACCCTTTCTCTTTCCGGTTCCACAGTGTCGGCCTTTTCTGCGAGCTTCAGCGTTTCTACGAACTCGGGCCCGACTATGAACTGCGACAGGCTTGCGAATAATCAGACCATCCTTAACTAATTTACGAACGTTTTGTCCTGTTGCAAAGAAAGATATGCTTTTACTATCAATGTATATATAGTATAAAATTTGACGATGACATCTGAGTTTCATGACGTCTGTATTGTGCCATCACGTCAGATGTCAAGTAATGATGAATATTATCCAGAAAGTTTGACACTTACGAGAGTTTGCGTTGGAAATTTCGTTCGTTTCATTAGGATCAAGCCAAATTTTGTTTTTACCGCATTTCAAAACGGTGGCCGCCAACCTCTTCTGCAATCGCAGGGTACTGAAAATAAATTTACACTTTATAGTCTTTTTATAAAAGTATTTTTCAGTTTATTTGAACAATGTGAACTACAAAAACACAACCGACTAAATTGGTATTAAAATTAAGGTATATATAGCTTATAACACGTATAAAAATGAGATAATTAATAACCTCATGCCAATGTTTTCAGCACGACGACGAAAAAGACCGGATACAGGTTTTCAAAGGTCGTTTTCGAATTTCAAAATATAGATTTTAAATATATAATAAAATAAAATATATTATAATCTAGCACTGACCAAATTTTTAACTAAAAAAAAATTATCTTTTTCAGCGTGTTAAGCATAATTCACTTTTGCAACTTCAGTTAGTAGGCCTATATGAAAAGGGTGCCCTCTATAGGCTACTTTCTTAAATACGTGGTAGTTTTTAAAAGAAATAGCCAATAAAATATCTGTTCTTTTGAATTGGATTATTTTTTTAAAATAGTCAATTAGAATTAAGCAATACTTTTTAATAAAAGAGTCACCAAGCAAATTATTAGTCTTCGAATAAAGCTCTTAAATAAAAACATGAGTGATAATATGAGTATTTCTCAAAGGCCTGTTGCGAGAAAGTTTCACGATCTCCCAAAATTCCGTAAAACCGCTTCTCAAGACGAGGAAACTCTGGAGAGTGTAGAGGTTCTCCTAAAATATATATATGAAAACGTAATCGGCAGAGAAAAGGTCTTTTCAGGACCTTTCGGATTTCGAAACGGTAGGCCTATTAATACGTATTCGAAGAAGCTAACTTTCTTAATAAAAATATTTCTAGTTGTTTATACGGATTATACGGCATCTGGAAAGTAAGCTAATATTTCTATGTGATTCAAAGTTGTTCTCATGTTAGATTACATTACATCAGATCACTTCAATTTATTGAGGATTACATACGCGATGAAATTCTTCCCGAATATGGTAACACTCATACTACGACATCCGTTACATCACTGCAAACAACTATGTACAGACATGAAGCAAGGTAATTTTACGAGATTATCTAAGATAGCCACATCTTTGTGCTTACTCTTCAGAGATATTGTGCGAAATGCTGTCAACGCAAGTGAACATGATGCTGTGATATTTACTGGAAGTGGATGCACTGGAGCTGTTCATAAGCTAATTCATGCTTTAAACTTAGATAGGTCACCTGTAAGAGTTATGTGACTTTTCTATCAAATGTGTATGATTACATTGCTTCAGGTAATTTTTGTGGGCCCATATGAGCACCATTCAAATTTATTACCATGGAGAGAAATAGGTGCAGATATAATTCGAATAAAAGAAGATAGTCAAGGAGCAATTGACTTGAATGATTTACTTGAACAGCTGAGGGTAGATTATTTTGTTATATATATATATATATATATGTATATATTCATATCTTTACTTACATTCTTCTATCTTGCTAGAAATACGAGACTATTACAGACCGTTTAAAAATTGGATGCTTTTGCGCGGCATCAAACATTACTGGAATTTTGGTGGATGTAGATACAATTTCTTCTCTCCTCCACACTCTAGGATGTTTAGCTTTTTGGGATTATGCTTCAGCAGCTCCATATACGGCGATAGATATGAATCCGATAGAAAAGTGAATTTCATTCTTAATATTCAAGAAGAAAACTCATACTCTTTGTCCTATCAGGCCAGAAACACCCCAGTGTTACAAGGATGCAGTATTTCTCTCTCCTCATAAGTTTGTTGGCGGTATCCAAACTACAGGTCTGCTGGTAGCTAAAAAGAAGCTATTTAATAATAAAGTACCATCGGAGGCTGGAGGAGGAACGGTTTTCTTTGTATGTTGTGATGTTAATCATAAAAATCATATTACATTTTACATTCATATATTTTTCAGGTTCGGCGAAATGGTCATCGGTATCAACAAGAAGTTGAGTTGAGAGAAGAAGGAGGTACCCCAGCTATTGTGGAATCAATAAGGGTTGGTTTAATTTTTCAATTAAAGCGAGCGGTAGGAACGGACATTATTATGGAGTTGGAGGAAAATTTAACAAAGTATAAAGCATATATATTGAATTTTTTCGCAAAATAATTAATTATATATAATTATTTATGCTTTTAGAAAAGCATTCAGTAAATGGGAAAATTTAGAAAATTTAAAACTTCTTGGAGGTCGAGTTGTTCCACGATTACCTATTTTCAGCTTTGTTGTAAAGCATAAATCATTATTTTTGCATCATAATTTTGTTTGTGCTGTTTTAAATGATGTGTTTGGAATTCAAGCAAGGGGAGGCTGCGCTTGTGCCGGCCCATATGCAGAAGTATAAACTCATTTTGCTAAAAGTAGCTTCTTTTACCGTCTCTGTTAAATTGCGAACTAGGACCTGTTAGGAATAGACGAAAAACTTGCTAAAAAGTTTGAAGAATTGTTAGCTGAGGATGATCGTTTAGACAGAGTTCATTTGAGAAGATATGGCGAGTACTCAAATAGAGAAATTTTACGGTAGATATATATTTCATTATTCTTGGCAATAGTATTTAATATTTCAATTTTATTATAGTCCAGGATTTGTTCGTTTGAATTTACCTTATTTTGCTCCTGAAGAGGAAATTGATTTTATTTTGGAAGCAGTAGCTATGACTGCTGAAAATGCATGGATATTACTGCCTCAAGTGAATTAAATTCTTATTTTTATATTGTACTTTTAGTGTTATGATTAATTTTTTTCTTAGTATACATTTAATCCTGAAACTGGAGAATGGCGGCATAAAAATTTACACACTTTCAAAAGTCGAAAGTGGTTGGGTAACATAACGTATAAAAATGGAAAAATGGAATATACTGATTCTCCAATTGAAGATAGAGGACCATTACCAAAAAATTTTTCAGATTGTCTTCGTAAAGCTGAAGAGATATTCCAAGCGGGGAAACATGTAAAGCTTCATATTTTTTATTGAAAAGTTGAATAACATATTTAATTTCCTGTAGATTAAAACTACATTAGGAGATCAACGAAACCTCTTTGATGAGGAATCTTCGAAATTTAGATGGTTTATTCTACCATCGGAAATATCGGATTTGCTTTCAACACCCAATATGATTATTAATCATGTCTCACCCTTTCAACCTATAGAATATTCAAACAATACAGTTGATAGCTCTGACAAAAAAAAGATATTTTCTTCTATTGCAAGCAATAGAAGAAGCGATTCAAGTCTTGCTAAGAGTCAAGCAAGCGATAGTCAGAAGAGTTTAATAGATTTCTTTGAAAGTGGCTTTGAGAATAAATCTGAAGTTAATATACCAAAAGTTGCGGAAAAATCTTCTGAGGATGATTATAAACCACCCGCAAAAAAGGAAAAAATGTCTTGCCCGTTGAAAATTAGAAAAAGAAAATCAACTGAAGAGGAAGACAGGGGCGCTATGGTTGTTGGCAAATGGTATGCTCCTCCTAAACCAATTTTTAAGCCGATGACTGAGGTTTTTATTTATAATTAACTTTTAAATAGCCTATAGTTCCATATTAATTCTCTTAAAGGCGATTGAAGAATTTTCTATGATAAAGAATAATGATAAGTTACTTGTATGTCTTTCTGGAGGTAAAGATTCTTTATCGCTATTACACGCTATGCATCAATATCAATTTTATGCAAAAAGTAAGGTATGTAATATGTCTAACTTTTTAAATAATATAAGTCATTTCTATAATTTTCTTGACGTTCAAGGGGATAGAGTTTCAATTAGGAGCCGTTACTATTGATCCTCAAGCCGAATCCTACAATCCGCGGCCATTAAAGGCTTACCTTGCCTCTCTAAATGTTCCGTATTTTTATGAAGAACAAGGTAATAGCACTTGAAATTTATATACTTACACAAATTCCTAATTATTTTTTTTCATTCTGTAATGAAAAACTAATAGATATAATAGGTTCAGCAAAAGAATTAGGAGAAGGCTGTACTTCTATTTGTAGCTTTTGTAGTCGGATGAAAAGAGGAAGAATTTATCATGCTGCTAGACGAGAGGGATACAATGTTTTGGCGTTAGGTCAACATCGTGATGATCTAGCCGAGTCATTTATGATGTCGTTATTTCATAATGGTCTTTTGCGAACGATGAAAGCCTGCTATACTGTTAAGTACGTAATAAGCGTTTTAAAAAGTTACACAACTTTATGTTATAATTTGCAATCTATATATTTGTTTTGTTATAGAGAGGGTGATCTTCGTGTTATTCGACCACTAGTTTATGTCAGAGAAAAAGAGCTTAGAAAGTTTGCAGAACAGAATCATCTTCCTATTATTTCTGAAAATTGTCCAGCTTGCTTTGAATTACCGAAAGTTTGTATTGAAGAATAACGTATGGTTTGAACTGTTTAAAATTCATGTAATTTTGTACAGGAAAGACATAGGATGAAACAACTATTAGCGTCGCAGGAAGTTATTCATCCTCGTTTGTTTAATTCCATTTCGTCAGCTATACACCCGATTATTGCAATACCTAAAACTGGTGTGTCGTTAAAAAATATGATGGGAACTTCAGCTACGGAAGATGATAAAGATGACGAAGATTTCTAGTCAAAATATTTTCTATGCTATTATCATATGCTATTAATTCCATTTTTCATGAAAGGGAAATATATCGATTTATTAATTGTTTTATTCTATATATTAGAATATTAATATATTAGTATATAATTGAGGTAACTGGTTACTTGTTTTATATATAAATAAAAGTGATTGTTTCCATTTGATTGATAATTCAGGAAGCCGTCAGTTTTAAATCCAACATAATTAGACAAATTTTACATCTTAAAGATTGTTGATGCTAAATCTAGGCAAACATAAAATGCAAAATGAATATATAAATGCGTTTACTGATCAATCCAAAAAAAAGCTTATTTTATAAGAAATCAGAAATTCGGTTATAATATTAAACCAATAAAAATGACTGCAATATATATTCCAAAAGTGAAAGTATTCAAAGCCCTATTCATAATGGCTCCAGCAGAAAGTGGGTAAAGAGTAACGAGTGTATAAGACGTAGTTAATTCATCACAATACTTTAGAGTCGTAGGGGGAGTCGTTGGAGCAGGAGTCGTTGTTGTGGTAGTTTGTTCAACTGTCGTCGTTGGCTCCTCTGTTGTGCTGTTAAAGAATTATAAATTATATATGATATACTATAAATTTTCCTATATAATATACGTTGTTTCTTCCGTGGTTGTTGCTTCCGTTGTAGTTGGTTCTGTTGTAGTTGCTTCTGTTGTCGTTGGTTCGGGAGTGGTGGCCGTTGTACCTGTCGTTGTCACCCAAATACACAAAGTAGTTTCGGGACTTGTTAGAGTTGTTGTCTCTGGTGCTACTGTCGTTGGTGTAGTTGTGGTTCGAACTGTTGTAGTTGTTTCTTTAACGGTTGTAGTTTCTTCAACAGTTGTAGTTGGTTCCTTAGTAGTTGTAGGAGCTAAAGTAGTCTGTTTTCTAGTTGTCTCGATAGTCGTCAGCTCATCAGTTGTATTCGAAACTGAAATTAAAACATATAATTACAAAAAAGTTGGATTTACTGAATTACTTACAGGGTTTTGTCGGCTCAGTAGCATTTGGATCAATGGTACTATTATCCGTAGTAACTAAAAAGATAATAAATGAGACATCTAATAAATAAAGAGATGTTGTTACTTACCTAGCATGGTAGTTATTTGTTCGGTAGTCAACTTAGGTGTTGTTGCTTTTGGAGTAGTTGGTTCAACTGTAGTTGTAGGCTTTACAGTTGTTGTTGGTGCAACTGTTGTTGTTGGTTCGACTGTTGTTGTTGGTTTTACAGTTGTTGTTGGTTCAAGTGTTGTTGTAGGATCGGTAGTAAAAGGATAGCAAGTGGTCGTCCCTAAAGTAGTCGTCTGCTCAACTGTAGTAGTTGGTATCGTAGTTGTGGGTTCAGTTGTTGTTGCTTCAGTCGTTGTAGCTTCTGAAGAAAATCGGATTTTTTATTTACTTTAATACTGTATTATGTTGGAAATAAATTAAGGAATAACCAGTTGTAGTAGCTTCTGTGGTCGTAAGCTCGGTTGTTGTTATTATTGTTGTAGTCGGAGCTGTTGTTGTGGGAGCAGGAGTTGTAGTGGTTGGTGTAGTTGTTCTTATCCAACATGGAACTAAAGCTCCGTTCAATTGATAATATCGTATAGGACCCATTGGATTCGCGGGTAAAGGACTTTTAGTAGCCTCTGAAAGAAAATATCTCTGCAATAGAAAAGTTGAAGCCACCGAGAGAGTAATAGCTACCTTTAATGCCAAAATAAGTGCCCAAAGCAATACCCGCTGCTGCAAGTAATAACAAAGAACCAACTATTGCGGCAATAATACCTCTGCTGCAACCACAAAGGTTTCGTGGACCGTATCGCCCAATTCTACCGAAATTAGCAAAGTGATTTCTTCTGAAAATTGAATTTCCTGGATGTCTCCCACCTACAAGAATTATATTGCTTAAGATAAAATTCTAACTTTGCTAGACTTTTTTTTATTAACTACATAAATAATGATTAATGAAATTCGTTGATCTAATTCTTTTTCTCAGCGGCGTCGCAGATAATCCCATACATGGTTGTTTTCTTGGCAAATGGTTAAGTAAATAGTCAAATATTTTATACATGCTTACTCTTTGGATTGTGACGTAAGTAAAAATGAAAAAATTTTCAAAGTTTAAGATGAAGAATTTAGATAAAATCTTTTAAACTTACCACCAAAAGGGTCTACCCTTCTGGGTATAGGATTTCCATTTGAATCCATTTTAATTCCATAACGGTTATGACCGTAATCCGTTCTGTACCTTGGAACGTAATCTTTGCCTAATCCATACTTTTGATGACCAGGAGGTCCGTATTTTTCTCTCGCTCTAAACAAACCTCCATTGTGGGGTTTTGGAGGAGGAACTTCAGAAACTAGATTCGATCTGGGTTGAGATTGGGGAATTCTTGGCTGAACTTCAGGTACAAAAGAAGGATTATCGTAATGATGATCCAACAATTGTGCTGTAGACCGGTGAGCTCCGGGTGGAGGAGGGTGACCCGGCATCGTTTGACTTCACAAAATGCCCTTCTATTTTGATCTGGGGCATTTCAAGAATAAAAAATCAATTGATTGTGACATCATGATCGCCAAAAACTTCGATATGTCACGTGCATTGAACAATATTTACATTTTCAAATAAGAACGTCATTTTATTTCAACAAATAATGTAATTTCCAAAATTATATTAACTATCTACCGAGACAAGTTATCAGAATTTTCTCATATTAATGTAAGAAATATCATATTCTCATTCTTCAAGTTAAATCTAATTCCTTATACTGTATAATAAAGAATATATATATATATATTCCCCTTATTCAGTCATTAATACTTTTTTATTCAAATAAAAAATTAAGACTTTAACAAAAGCAAATTAAGCAATCAACAAAACAATTCAAATAGAAACTCTTGTTCATTTTGAAATATTCAATTTTTTCTCTAACACTTTCCCAACTTCTATCATATTCTGATCTAATGCTCTTTCATATGAATTCTTTAGAACAACTTCGCCATTTTCGGTTTTAAACTATTGGATAAGATATATTAAAAAAATTTCAACTAACTTTCTCTACTCACTTCTTCAGACACGTGAGGATCATATCCTATACTGAGTAGTCGGAGAGCAACATCTTCTTTCCCATTGTTGATGGCTGACATCAACAAATTGTCCAATTTAGTTAATATTTGTTGATTTTGTTTCATTAACTATTTTGTTAAGAATAAAGTGATGTAACAACGAACAAATACAATACATTAAATATCAAAATTTCTTACAACATTCGGAATATCGGAAACTTTAATCTTCAATTTTTTTAAATAGTTGTTAAAATGCCGAATACTTTTAAAAGGATCATTTATAATTCTCAGTAGATCTTCGTGAATACTTAAATAGTATAATTCTTTCTCAAATCCATAATGAGCCTTAAAATATATAAATAAATGTAGTTTTTTGTTTTTTATAGCTTTATTTCAATAAAAAATTATATTACCTTTCTTTCAGTATTACAGAAATTTTCACTTTGTTTAAATGTCCAATTCTTTTCTAAATTTTCGCATGAATTCCAATTCTATGGAAATAATTAATAAAGTTTTATATAATAAAAATAAATAGTAATCTCTATACCGCATCTTCGCATAGAGAATTGGCATTTTTCCCTCTCAGAAATGTTACTAAATCATTGTTTTTTAAGTAAGCCGCATAATGTAAAGGTGTTCTATTTAGCTAAAGTTATTGTAAGCATTATTTTAGTCTCTTTTGTTAAAATATTGTTTTACATTATCAGTTGAATTAATTATAGTCGGAGATAATTCCAAAATAGTTTCAGCCATATCCTTTCTCTCGAAAAGTATTGAAAGATGTAAACAATTCCTTCCTCCCTATAATTTAAAAAGTATTTAAACAAATGCATTAATACTAATGAATGGAAAGAAAGAATCTATTCTAAATATAGATACGTGATCTTTTGCTTGTATTAAATCTGTTGTATCTGTATATTGAGTATATATTTCATCATCACTTTCATCAGAATCGCATTTTGATTTGATAATCTCTTGAAATTTTATGATATCATTTGTTTTTATTGAAGTATGAAAATTTTGCCTTGTTTTCTGAAAATTTGTTTAGATACTTAATTAAGTAAAAGGATAGAACGAAGTAACTTACTTTAAAATGGTCAAACCACATAAGAAATCTTAAAGATTCTCTATCTTTATTACCATGTGCTATTAACCATGTATCCCTACCCTCGTAATGAAATCTAAAGTCTTCAAAACAGTTTATCGCTAATCTCTTTAACTCTTTTGTATTAGATGTTCTTAATAAATAAACAATCTGTCTGTTTATTTCCTCTTCTATTTTAAATCGTCTTGTTAATCTGGCAACGTCCTTACAAGAAGACCCAGTATAATCTCTTACAGAGATATCGCTATTTCTTATCCAATATTTAATATTACTATCGTTATACTCCAAATCTAGTAGGTAGAGAAGACAATTTCTACCCCTCTCGTCTCTTTCCTCAAAACTCTTGCAATTTTTAAGTAATAACTCCAAAATTTTAGGGGATGAATGAAAGGCTTCGAAAATTAATGGACCCTTTTTTAATTGTAAGAATTTAACTTTTTCTCTAACAACACTTTCAAATTAATATCCCTACTTTAAAGTAATCTTTGACATGAACAAATATATTTGTATGACTTCCGGCCTCGATTAACATCTTAACAATTCTTTCATCACCAATTCGAATAGCGTGTTGAAGAATAGTTTGTTTATAAACTCCCTATTTCAGTGAGATCTCTTTATTTCTTTATTAATATAGACAAAATATTTTACATACCTTTCGAATGAAATTAATTTTACATAACGTCTTATTATGTAATGCCTCTTTTAATTTATCATAGTTTAGTTCAAACACAGCATTTATTGCCATCTATTTATTAATTTAATATCTGGTTATTATTTAAATTATACCAAGTCTTAATTAACAGTATTTACCAATGTTGGCTTCATTTTATCGAAATACAATCCTATGTCATGGTGTTTTTGTGTAGCTGCGTATTGTCTCATTTGTAAACCATGTAAACTCTGGAAAGTATCTTTTCTGTTGTTACTCTTATTTTATTAAAGGATCCAATGAGCTTACTAATTTTGCATCGATAGAACACCAACTATCAATTAGGAAATACACTTTATCGAGGTCGTAATCTTGGATTGCTTGTCTTAAACCGGGCTGTCAAAGTTAGATATAAGTTAATGTATCAGCTCTCTTGTAAATATAAAATATAATTGATTTCTCGCTTACGTAGTATTTATTATACGTTTGCAACCAATAAATATTATCGGTTAACATATCAGCAGTTTGTCCTCTCTTTTAAAAGATTAAATAAAGATCATAGTATTAACTTAGTTCATATGTTTAAAATTTTCAAACATTATCTTTGATCGTCGGATCTACTCCAATGCAAATCAGGTCTTGAACAATACAAGTTTGACAGTATAGAGCCGATACATGAAGGGCGGTAAAACCATGCTATAATTGTTGATTGATAATATACTAAATGAATTAAGATTAATGATCATATTATTTACTTTATTACGGCCATTTACATCTATCTTTAAAGTGGCAGCCAAAATTTGTAGAATATATGTACTGTTTCTTGTGCTGGCTAAATGTAAGTATGTATTTCCCTTCTAAAAGCGTAAACTGTTAGTATCTGAATGACAAATCGAAGTTAACTCTTTAATAAATTTACCCTATCTTTATAATGAGGATCCTCACCAGATGACAGTACATCTTTTAGTAGTTTATAATCTCCTGATAATATAGTATTACCAATAGGAGTCTTTGAAAAATATTAAAAAATAGATTAAATTGCTTAAATTAATAATGACTCTTAGCTTACAATCTTCCTTTACTTACGTTTTCTAATTGTCTCATTTCTCCTGCCATTTTTGCGCAAGTCGCCAATGTATACAGAACGGTCGCTGTATTATCAATCGATAGTCAAGGCCTATTCATTGTAAAAATAACGCTCCAATAAGTTTTATACGATAGTACTTGTGTATCTCAGATTTATATTTGAAGGAAACATTTATTTTTCTTCCAACAAAGTCATCTTTTTTAACACAGTAGAGTATTTGTTGCATTAATTTGTTTTCGTTTACTTGTAAAATAGATAATATTAATACTCAATGTATTATTCCGTTTTAAATAACTTTCAAAGGAAAGATGAACTTCGGTTTTGAAAAAGTCTCTTTTGACCTGCCTACTAATTTTCAACTCATTCAATACAAGAAGGCTATCAGATAGAGTTTATTATTAGAGATAGCGTTGTGTTTCATTAACTGGTCAAGTTTAATGTTGGGACTTGCGGAAATAGTTTCACTTTCAACTAAAATTAGAGCTTGTATTCAAATTACAAAATTATTTGAAACGTAAACATATTCGAATTTTGTATAGGCAGTATTTGCTAATTTTTTCTCTAAGGAATTTGATAGTTTGGTGGGAATAAAATTAAGTGCGTTACTATATTTGATGCGATCCTGGTAAACACGTCAGTGAAAAACAAGATGGAGTTTTTCTGCTAGAACGTTAAGTTCTATTTGACGTAAAACAATATATTAGTCAAATCTGTAAAAATATTTAATTAAACTTTTTGGATAGAAAAATAATTTTTCGACTGTATTTAATCAGTTCCAGCAGTTGATTCACTATCATTTACTAAAAAAGAGAGGAAGAATTTGATAGTGCGGCATAACATGAATGTGCTTAATGCTGCAAACGGTACTGGAAGTAGAGACGCAGATGAATGGGACTCGTGGGGAAATGACAATAATGAAGAAGGTTGGTTCCATCAAGGACAAGTGTCTCAACAGAATCACCCGGCAGAGAACCAACGTTGGCAACCTTCTAATCCTACAGCCAGCCAGCACACACATCACCAACACTCTGGCAACTATCAATATATGGCTCAGCAAAACTATGGTTCCCATATCTATGCTCACCAGGGTCAAATGAATTCTTATGCTAATCCTGGAACTGAAAATCCTACCGGAGGACATCCAATCCATTTCCAAAATCAACCTGTAACTACGCCTGGCCATCAATTGTTCGAGCCCTCTCACGAACAAATAAGAGAGTCTGATCAAGCAAACCCAAGGGAGCATTTGAGTGAAAATCCAACTATACCTGGTACCACTGGATTGCATACCAATCCTCAATTAGATGAATTTCCCCTGCAAACTGATAACAAAGTCCCAGAACAACAAACAACATCCAATATTCATTCAAAGCCCCCATCTCACCCGGATTCTCTTAGAGAACAACAATATCAATATAACATGCATCAATATCAAATGCAGAAACAAGAACAGCAACAGCTCCAACAACAACAGCTACAACAACAACAGCTACAACAACAACAGCTACAACAACAACAGCTACAACAACATCACCAACAATATCACCAACAAATTAGAAATACAATGACTTCAGAAAACCCTGTAGAACAAATTGCGGATTCTTCACAACAGCCTACATCTGTTAGTCATTATCAGCAGGACTATTTAGCTAACCAGCAATCCAAGTTAATTGAAGATCATGGTTCCCATCGTGAATCGTCTCTTCCAAGAGATGATGAACCAACAACACACACACAACATCCAAGTTCGACGCTCTTTTCTGCTGACTCAGCTGGTAATATTGGTGAGTTAATTTTACAATACTACACTTGACAAAAATTATTACATACCCGTTTCACCAATTAAGGATACAATTTAATATAAGTAAATACTGATTACGATTCGCATTCTATAATAAAATAATATCAAGACTGAATATTCAATATAAAAATAGCCAAAATGACTTAGCTACTTTCATTTTCAATACTATATTGTATTTTATTTCAAAATGTATGAATGATAATTCAGTCTACAAATCGATATCGGGTGATTTAGATAATCAATATCGAAAATATACTAACAATATCGCTAACTACTCTCTTAATACAAACAATATGTATTCCAGATCAACCAGATTTGAAACAAGAACCTGAACCGAATATTATGCAAAGGGAAGCTGAAGAGGAAAGAGCAGATAGTATGAGTGGAATTCTTCAAAATATGGAAAATTTGAAACTTAAAGACCCAAGCGACGAAATTTCTTTGAAGCAAGCCGAAGGGACAAATATAACAGAAAAAGTTAACTTAGATAATCTATCGCAGCCAGAAAACAGTCAACATATGCTGAATACCGAAAATTCATCACAACTCCATAGCAGACAGAGTTCTTTCGGAGGAGCTAAATTTATTGTGGGTGATTATGCTGATCAATCAATTCAAAATTCGGAGTCTCCAGCCAATCAACCTCAAAAATGCAATGAAGTTGATGCTGTTGATAGACCCAGCTCAAATACTTCAAAACCCCCAGTAGATGTATCCCTTGGACAATTGGAAAAACCTCGTTCAGATAGTCAAGTGTCGGATCGAAGTTTGACCAATCGTATCACCAGCCATCCAGATAGCCCTTTTAAACCTCCAAAGGTGAAAAGTTCTGAATCACAGCCAGCTTCTCAAGTTCAAGAGACACAGCCACCACTTAAAACAGAGAATTTTTCTTTGTTTACACCCAAAAACACTCCTGATTTTTCTCCAATTGTGCCTAATACAACACAAATAAAAGAACCAGAAACTCCAGTTGCCCGACCCAAACACGAACCGGAAGTCAATAGATCTATTGAACCCAATGTCAAAGATGAAAATGTAAGAAAATCAAATGATGGTTATGAGGAAAATTATAGTCGAAACTTGCAAGAAACTAGAAGAAGAGATCCCAGAAATGAGAGGGGTGACCACGGTTACGAACGTAATTATAGAGGTTATGAGGATCCAAATTTCCATGGTCCTAATAGAAGAGATTCTAGAAACGACAGAACATATGACTATGAGAGAGGGAGAAAAGATGTAGACCAGTTTGAAAATCATGGTCCAACTGATAGGCATGATCAAATGGATAGATATAACTCAATGGATGCCCGCGATCAGATGGATGGCCATGATCCAATGGATAGGCGTGATACAATGGACAGACGAGATCCAATAGATAGGAATGATCAAATGGATAGGCGTGATCCAATGGATAGGCGTGATCCAATGGACAGACGAGATCCAATGGATAGGAATGATCCAATGGACAGACGTGATCCACTGGACAGACGAGATCCAATGGATAGGAATGATCCAATCGATAGGCGTGATCCAATCGATAGACGTGATCCACTGGACAGACGAGATCCAATGGATAGGAATGATCCAATGGACAGACGAGATCCAACGGATAGGAATGATCCAATGGACAGACGAGATCCAATGGATAGACGAGATCCAATGGATAGGAATGATCCAATCGATAGGCGTGATCCAATCGATAGGCGTGTTCCAATGGACAGACGAGATCCAATCGATAGACATGATCCAATGGATAGGCGTGACCAGTTTCACAGAAGTGATCATTTTGACAGACGAGATCCGTATGAAAGAAGAGAAGATCGTAGAAGTGAACCTCGAGAAAAATCTTACAGTAATTTAGATAGAAAGTATTATAATGAAGGAGATAGGTCAAGGAGAGGTCGAGATAGAGGAAAAGACGAAGAATATCGACAGGATTACGAGAAGGAGGACGGAGAATATAGACGAAAAATGGGAGAATCATTCCAAAATCCATCAAGAAGACGTCCGGACGATAGTCGATATCATAGCTTCAATCAATCGGAGTACTATAAGAGCTATAGAAATGAGCCCCGAGGTAGGGAAAGAGTACGAAGACATGATGATTATGATTATCCTTCAAGTAGAGAACAAAGTTATGATCGGGCGTCAGCCAGACGTCGAGATGCAAGCTTTGACAGGAGTAGTAACTGTGGACGACCTCTCTCAAGAGGGTCAGTCTATGATGATGACCGACCTCCATCAAGGCAAGGTTACTCTTATAGAGATTCCTATGGTGGACAAGGTCATAGAGGATACGGTGCACCTGGTAAAACTTCTTTCGTGTATTGTATGTTTCCTAAGATCTATGCATTTTCTTGCAGATTTTGAGGCTCGATTTCGAATAGGCTATGATGACGAAATGCGATCCTACCAAGGCGCCTTACAAGAATATCAAACCAAATACCAGCAATGGTTATTAATGGCTCGGCAGTACAACCAGGCTCAACAATATCAACAAGCTGGCATACCAACTTCTCGTGGAAGTACTCCGGCTATTGGACAGTACACAGCAGCGTAAGTTATTTTATATTTCTAACTCAATTAGTTTTTCAAAATTTTCTTATCTTTAAAGGGACAATTTTGCAAATACGTCTCAAAGATCTCGTCCAAATAGCAGGTTGGGTCATGCTATGTATCCTCAATTTATGGGAATGGAGTACCAACCCTATGATCCGTTTTATTATCAAATGGGCCATCAAGGTAAATTAAACTAATTTGCATATTCTGTGTATGAAATTTTTTTTATGTTAGCGGAAACCAGGAAAACACCTTTAAAATATAGTATGCCCCATGTTCGAGCAACGTTTGCAGCTGGTGGTCAATTGGTTAGAGTTTTGCCTAATAGGCCAGCAGATGGACAGCCAGCTCTAGTTCAGATTTCAAGATTTTCCGTTGAAAGCGATGTAGAGGAATTAAAGCGATTTCCTGGACCTTTAGTGAGGTATGTCTTCATTTTTTCATTATTTCAGTTGAATAATAATTTTATATCTGCTAATCAGGGGTGATACTCACAAAAATGATGTGCTAAGGTTCTGTCAAGAAGAAGCCATACTTTGTAGGCAAGATGAATATGCCGTAGATAGGGAGTCTATATTATTACTTTGGAATTTACTCCAATTCCTCATTAAGCAAAACGGGGTAATGTTTTAGAAATATTAAATAAATAACACTTAAATTAATTCTGACATTTTTAGACTGTAATTGGAAGTGATCTTGCGTACTTGTTGTTAGAGGGTCATGAGCCAACATCAGCCGAGTATTCAAGAATGGGAATAAAGGCCGAAACCACAATGAATTCTTCAGCCATAGATTCGTCGTCTATAAATAGTTCTGAAAAAGATTGTACTGATAAGTTTCGACATCTTTTGCTCTTTGGACGCAAGAAAGATGCTTTGGAATGGGCTTGTAAAAATAATTTATGGGGTCATGCTTTATTTCTTGCGTCAAAAATGGATTCGAAAACTCATGCTGCAATTATGACAAAATTCGCTAACGTTGCTATGAAAATGAATGATCCTCTCCAAACTTTATATCAGTTGATGTCTGGGCGACAGCCAGCTGCTGTAACATTAGTTTCTGATGAAAAATGGGGTGATTGGCGACCTCATCTTGCCATGATATTAGCAAATGAGAGTCGTGAAAAACCAGAATTAGATGCAAAGAGCCTTTGTGTGCTTGGAGATACTCTTGCAGCCAAAGGATGCCTTCATGCTTCACATATCTGCTACCTCACAGCAAGAGTTCACCCAGGTCAATACGGTAATTCCAGCTCCAAATATGTTCTGCTTGGATCTTCACATCGTCGACCATTTCAAGAATTTGCTAACAATCTAGCTATTCAATGTACAGAAGTCTACGAGTATGCTAAAAGCTTGGCTGGAATTGATGAAGAGTTGGCAGCCCTAACAATTAGATTACTTCCTTATAAATTCCTCTATGCAGTTAGATTATACACTGCTGGTATGATTGAAGAGGCTTTTCATTATTGTGAAGTTTTAGCAAAGTCCATCGTTCAATACCAAGGCTTTTTTTGCCACGCTATCATCGTTGGTGTTCATCAAATGGCCAATCAATTGAAATTTCATACTTGTGAGAAGGGCTTGTATTATAATAGAGATGATGGAGATCCAGAATGGCTTGTTAAATTATCTCAATTAATCGTATGTATCTATTCCTTGTTTAATTTCGTTTAAATACAAATTTTCATATGTATCAGGGAATGGTTTCTGCGCAACCACAGTGTTACGATGTTGATTCAGTATCGCAAGTTGGAGCTGTCGACCCTTGTATGCAAAGCTATCCTAACCCCCAGCAGGAAATTGGGGTAGAACAGACGGCACAGATGGCTGCAGAAGGAGAGCCTGATCAACAGACAGACAACTCAGCAGTTGAACCAGACGGTGGATACCATACCTATCAGCAACCTCAATATGATTCTACAGGCTACTCTGGTTATGGCGGAGGACAAGGACCAGAAAATGTCCAACCTGAGCAAATAAATCAGCCGGCTACTCAAACCAATAATCTTGCAGGATATTACCCGAATGCTAATAACTGTGTTAGTGCTCGGGGAAACTTCGGTAATAATTTGAATATTATGTGATATTAACTCATTTCCTATTGTGACAAGCTAAAAATTTGCTTAATTTTACTAACCTAAACACAACTGGAAAAAATAGAAAACAAAAATAATTTAGCTATGTAAAAACAAAAGACAATTGAATTTATAAGTTATAAATTTTAAACTTGTTAAAAAATGAACATTGCATTGTTAGTTAAGGAGCGTCAGTCAGTGTGGTTAGAAAAAGTAAGAGTTTGTCATTTTGGGTTGATGTAAAATAAACAGAATTTAAAGTTGAAATAGATTTTAAGCCTGATTTTTTTGCACATAAAATAATTTTTTCTTCAAAAAAAAAAAAACAAAATCGCTAATTTTGCTTTATTTTTAATTTAAATATATAGCATATAACATAGTTTGTTTTAATTTTGTTTTTTTTTTATTCAAATTAGCTACATCAAATGATCATTTAGATTTGGCAGCAAGTTTATCTTCAGCTGGTGGAGGCACTGACTTGGGAGACGGTGATCGAGTCACTGATACTGAAAACAGGCATATAGAAGATCGGCTCAATTTGGGCTTTTCTAATTCAAGTATAAGACAACTAAAGGTAAAAGATAATATGTAATTTAATACTTTTTTTCTTAAACATTCCTATAATCTCTATAAGTAGGATAGCTTCTACTTATGTAAATTTATTGTTTGTAGTCTTCTTAGTTGTGCCTGCTATCGTTTATGTATGATAACTTTGTTGAATTCAAAAGATTTGTTATTTAACACAATTCTGTGTGCAAGTGTATGCAAAATGTTTGAGCATTTTTGCAGTAGTATTTGTAACTTCAGCAATTTCGTCAGCGCATTTCCTCCTCCTCGATGTCTGGCAGAAGGAGCTCTATCGTTAACATGGATCCTTTAGAGGTTGGCATGTAGCTTGTGGCATTCACGAATTTTTTCCTTTCCAACCTGTTATCTATCAAATCTTTCCCTTTCTCTCATTTCCTTATTTTTTCATGTTTATCTTCTATATTCTGTTATTAGGTGCACAGTGATTATCGTTTCTTTTTTGGTACATTTTACAATGTCACTTTTCCTATTTTCTTAAAGTTTTGCTTAACTTTAAGAGTTAACACTCAAATATCTGTCACACTTATTTCCAAAAAACAAAACATTTTACAGACCATTTCTCCTCCTCTTTCTCCGAGATCGCAGACGTCTTCTCAGGCTTCACCGCCTTCTAGCAATCATTCCGTATTCTCTTATAAGGCTACTAATCGAAACTCTGTGGTAAATATTATTACTAACAAGGTTCTAAGAATTTTTAAATCAAACTTTGTATTATATTTTTATTATTATCGCATTTTACATAGTTTCAACGGTTACATTTCATATTAAAATTGAAAAAGTTGAAAATTATTTTTTTTTTTTCCTTAGGATGTTGCTCCACTACCACCACTTCAAAGCTATGGTAGAGTGAGAAACTACTCTCATTCTTCGCATGCTTCATTGCCACCAGAGCAGCCACTTGCTCAGGTAATAAAAATTAAGTTTTAAATGGACTTCGAAAATCTAACAGCTGTAAAAATAATAGGAATCACCTGCTCCCTCACAACAGCCATCAGTTCAGGAAAAACCATCCAATCAAGGGGGTAGCAGTGGATATCGTGCTGGCTGGCTACAGAATATGATAAAAAAAGTGATCCCAACAGGTAAAAACGAAATGATTTTACCAAATGACGACGATCCAGATATTCGATGGAGCAACGAATTGAATACGTGGGTCAAACGTGATGGAAAGCCAGTTGGTGAAACTTCTGAAGAACAGGCTCCGCCTCCTCCTGCTGCTCAAGCTCCTCCTCCAGTAGAAGGGCCCGGTGGTTCCAATCCTTACTCCAGAAATGCATCGAAAAAAGGACAGTATGTTGATGTTTTTGCTAGTTCAAGCACCTCAACTCCTGCTGTTGGTTTGACACCTCTTTTACAAGTGAATCCACATGGTCAAGCTCCCAACACCCAAATATTTAATCCAATGAATATGCAAAATGTATGGGTATATTTCTTATAACGTATTGAAATTAAGTAGTACATGATCAAAACTTTTTTGTAGGCAGGGGAAGAAAACACATTCCAGGGACAAGAACCTGAGTTAGCATCAACCCAAATGGAACCTGAAACGCAAAATAAGTTCTCTAATCAAGGTGCACCTGCCATGTTTGATCCTACAAAATTTAGTGCTCCAGTATCACTTCCATCCAGTGGAGATGGAACATCAAGATTAAGTCAAAGAAGAGTTTACCCTCATTGAATCAAGTTTACTTTATAGCCTTATGGAATTATGACTTTTAACAAAAGTTAGGGAATAATGTTTAATTTGAATTATTAATGAATATCTAAAAAATATATTCACTTTCGTCCTATTTATTAATTGTTAAATGGTTGGTGTATAAATAATAAATTAAAATATTATGATCTAATCTATGTAAATTTTGAACTTTTTATTTTCGGTATAATAGAAGACACTATAAAAGCCTTATTCATTCGTATGGTTATCCTACAACAGCAGCAAATGTCCAAGAGAGTAAACAAGTCGTATATTATCGCTCAGTCAAAATTGTTTTATTTTGCCAGCAAGCATTGATTGTTCATCAAACGATTTTGTGTATAACTTTAATATATTTTGTTATGATTTATAAGATATATCTAAGAAGGATTGGAAACTCAAGAAACTTATCACATTTGATAGTCTCAGCTATATATCCTCTTATAACCACTGGTTATAACCATAAAGAGAATACCAATTATGAGTGACGAGCCAACTACCAACTTTACCGCATCTTTCGTTATCCCAGACGAGGATCCTAGCTTTAAACATATTCCTTCCAAATACTACTGTTCTGGTTGTAAAAAACTTTTAAGGCACGCCTTTCAAACGGTGTGCGGTCATCATGTATGTGAAACATGCAAAGACGAATTGAAAGAATGTCCTGTTGGCGACAATGACTGTAAATTATCTGCTTCACTACTGGAAGAATCGGAAAGTTTTATTGAGCGTTTTGATACTGGCATAAAAAGAGAACTGTCGAGACTAACAGTTTTTTGTCCTTTTAGGCATAGAGGATGTGCTCAGGAATGCCAATGGAGGCATTTACAAGTATTCAGTAGAATTTACTGTGTATAGAAATTGAAGGTAAATTTTGTTTCAGATTCATAGTGAGAACTGTGAATATGGAATTTTTCCTTGTCCTTACGTAAAATATGGTTGTGAGTTCAAGGAAATACCAAGGAATAAAATAATTGAACATGCAAATAAATGCAAATTTCACCCTGAAAGAAAAGTGGAATGCAGATTTGGTTGTGGCTTAGAAGTAAAAGTGAAGGATGTAAGTAATCATATTTCATAACTTCAATCCATATTTCATAAAATTTCATTCTTCAGTTGGAGAGTCATGAAACAGAGTGTAAAAATGTTCATATAAATTGCCCATTGGAGGATTTGGGATGCACTAAAATATCAGATGTTGTATTTCTGTTCATATCTATTGTTAAGTTTATTCTTATTTAACCATATATAGGCAAGCAGGGAAAAGGTTGAAGAACACATTAGATCACAAAACGCTTTTCATTTCGGCTTAGTATCAGATTCTTTTGGTGAAGTAAATGACTGTGTTGAAGTTCTAACTAAGGATTTGATTGTAAGTTGTCTAAATGTATGGGTATGGTATTGCCAGATATTTTTTTTTACTATTTCATGATATTTTGAAGAAGCTATCTGGATCTTTAACATTTAACTTTTTATATACAGTAGAGATAGCCTATTTTTGAACGCCTGGCTATTTTCTATAATAGTTAAAAAATTTTTTCTTTAACATTAATTTTACTATCCAAAAATTAGACATGGCAATTGTAACTTTGTAATCAACATATTCAATTAATTAAATCTTCGTATTTCATTTTTTAAATAACAAAAAAAATTTTATTCTGAAAAAATCATGAAAAATGCCCGATATCCTATTTTTGACAAATGTTAAAAATTTACGAAAATGACCAAACTTTTTCATTTTCCCACACGAAAATTTTGTTCAAGAATCGAAGAAGGATAAGAATTTAAAGAAAGCATTAAAATGCCAAAAATTAGCTTGGATGTGAAAAAATTAGTGGTGGGAAAGAGGAAGGAGATGTCTATGAATGACATTGCAAAACAATTAAAAATTTCAAGGGGATCTGTGCTCTATATCATAAAAAAGTTTGAGAAACATGGAACTATAAATGAACTATCAAAATTATGTACCCTAAAGATGGTAACAGAAAGGGAAGAGAGAAAAATTTGTCATATGTTAAAAAGAAATCCATTTGTCACAGCAAGAAATGTGCTTGAACATTCAGATCTGGGTTCGAAAATTTCACTGTCGACCTGCAAAACGTTTTTGTAAAAGAGTGTATTTTCAAAAATTCAGGCCAAGTAGAAATGAAAAACTTAAGCTACTTTCATATCTTAGGCTTATGTTTTACCATTAACTGCATTCAAATATAAAAAGTATACTTCCTCTTTCAAAGAAAATATAATACTCTTTAAAAAGATTCAAAAACCATGAGAATTTCTTTATTATCAATAAAGCATGGAGAATGAATAATCACAAAAGTAGAAAGAAATTTTCTTTTTAAAGCGAAAGTATCATTTGTTAAGAATGAAATAAACACAAAAATTTGTAGATATGTAGATTAAGCTAATAAAATAAAAGAACTAGAGAAATGTAGGTAAATTCCTAAAACGCTACTTCTTGAATTGCATTATATAACCATAAATCAGTATATCATATGACCAACAGGCTGTTAGCGAAACTGTTGAAAAGTTAAAAGATGAAATAAAAAAGAAAGATGAAATTATACTTCGACTGCAAGTAGGTGGAAAGATTTTAATTAATGCATTACCTAATTATATTAAATTCTCTTAATACCAAGGAAGAAATTGCGAATAATAGACAAGATGCCAGAAATTCTAATAATAATCCAGACTCTTTTAATTCCCAAGAAAAAAGCAACTCTTGTAATTAATTATTAATTAATATGTGGAATAACGAATACGCTCACGAACTAAAATCGAATTTTTGCATTTTAGCTGGCAGTTTTCATAGTTTAGAGGTTAATTTTGGATTACTGAGAGTGAAATTCGACGAAATGGAAGTAAGACTAGAATCTTTGGAAAAATCTTCATATAATGGAGTGCTAATGTGGAAAATAGTGGACTACATGCAAAAGAAAAGAGATGCAAAGACGAAAAAAGCTTCAACGATATATTCTCCCCCATTTTATTCTACCAGATTTGGATATAAAATGTGTGCTAGAGCTTATTTGAATGGCGATGGTGCTGGCAAGGATACCCACTTTAGTCTTTACTTTGTTATAATGAAGTAAGTGTTATTTTGTGTACAATATTTAGCGTTAAACACTTAAAAACAACACCAGGGGCGATTTCGACCATCTACTGAAATGGCCGTTTCAACAAAAGATAACACTATCTCTGTTGGATATGTCAGGAAATGGTGTTCATGTTTCAGACACATTTAGACCTGATCCTAATTCAAAGAGTTTCAAAAAGCCTACATCTGACCTTAACGTTGCATCTGGATGTCCTCAGTTCATTCCAATAGACTTACTGGAAAACCCGTCAAATGGCTATTTGAAAGACAATCAATTATTAATAAAGGTGTCGATAGATACAAGTGGTTTGAAGGATCCATAACACCCCCAAACAAATTTATTAGCCTCTGAAATATCATATTTTAATTATCGATAGGAAATTGAGACGGTGGTAAATTGAAAAATCGTTTAGATTTGCGTGTTATTTCTGTATAAAGAAAGAGTAATAAACTTGAACATTATCTTTTTCCCGAGCAGACAAATGAATTTGTGCTAAAAACATGGCAAGCTCTGGATTGGAAAAAAATGAAATAATCCTATTAACAGTTTTTGCATGATTATTAAAATAAAAACTTCTATATTATATTTTTATTAAACATATGCTGTCTATCTTACTCTTAACATATGATAAACTGTCATCGCCATGCTCTCTCATTTCATATTTCTAAACTTGTTCACAAATCTTGTGATGTCTTATCATTTGGAACCTACAAGATCAATCCCTAATACTGGAAATAAACAGAAAAGATTTAATGACGTGGCTGAGTTTAACTTGCGGCAATGTAGACTATCATACTCCGACATAAACGAAAATGGAATAAACAGAATTAGGGAAAAGCGATATGTTTTATTCAAAAAGAAATGGACTAAATTGCGTTTAACTTATTGCGCCGTTTATCCTGTAATTCCGTTGAAAATTAGTAGGGCAGATGTTGAAAACATTGTCGATGAAGCAATTGGAATGTGGTCAAATGTGAGTGGCTTAACCTTCGACAAAAGGGAGTGTAACAGAGATAATGTTATTAGGTTAGATAGTAAAACATTGACGCTGTATATAATTTTTAGATTTCTATTTATTTGTTAAGCTCCACGGATATTGTTGTTTCATTCGAGACAAAAGATCACGGGGACGATTATCCTTTTGATGGACCATCGGGAGTGGTTGGTCATGCTTTTTTTCCCGGTACGAAATCGCAGGGCAGAGTCCACATGGACGCTGCAGAGAATTATACCAGAAACTCAAAAATAGGCCTAAATTTATTACAAATTTTAACCCACGAACTGGGTCATACACTTGGTTTAAGACATAGCGAAAATCATGGAGCAGTTATGGCACCGTACTATAAACCTTATACTCCAAACTTTCAGTTATCAACTGACGATATTAAAGGAATCCAACACTTATATGGTTTGCCTGGAGATTCTGTTCTCGACGCTTGCAATGTCGAAGGGTTCGACGCCGCTTGCAATACACAAAATGGGTCTATATATATTTTTAAAGTATACAATATGATTATTTTTATTCAATTCAATCATTAATCGAAGCAAATAAATATTCCTCAGGGAAAGTATTATTGGAGGTTCGATGAACATATCAATTTAGATATGAAAACTGACACTCCAGGGAAAATATTAGATGACTGGAATGGGTTGCCAGATAATTTAGACTCCGCTTTTTACTGGCCAAAGACTGGGCATACCTTTTTCTTTAAAGATAAACTTTTTTGGGTCTATTTAAATAATCAGCCAATTTCTAAAGATTATCCAAAGAATATAAATAACCTATTAATAGATCCTCCACTACCAATAGAATCGGCATTTTATAATCACATTGATGAAACAATTACGTTTACAAAAGCTGACAGCTACAAAAAATTTTCAAAGCTATATGCACAAGTGGAAGGAAACATAAATGACTGGAATCTGAAAAATGTTTCAAATATTGATGCAGCCTTTCAACTGCAAAATTTTATCCTTTTACTATCTAAAGCGGATTATTATGGGTAAGTTTAATCTATAAAGAAGTCTTAAGAATAAATGTTAAATTTCTTCATTTTTCAAACGAAAATAACTTAGACTCCACTTACCAACTGGAAAAATAAAGTTTAAAAATTCAGTTACTGCCGATTTATTCAAGTGCTAACTGGAAAACTAAATATTATACCTTCTCTTTTATGATCTAAATAAAAACATAAATATAAAGATATTTTAGTTATCATCGAAAAATAAAAAAAGAATATTCGTCTAGTTTATCTTGGAGTGTCTTTTTTGTTTTTGTTGAGGGATTCAATTATAGATACTAAAGCGTTACTTTAAAAAAAACAAGTAAGAAACATACAACAGCAAGAAATTTATTTCATTTTGCTTGCTGGTGCATCTATTGAATGAAAATAAAACGTTTTATAGGACGAATAATTGACGCCCGTGTCATAGTGAAAACAAAATAATCATAATTAGAGAAATACTAATTTTTTTCTTTCTAAATATTTTTAAAAGTTCATTTTTTCCGTATCTGTTTCATCCAAAGTTGGAAAATGGCAACGTTGAATATTTTTCGATGCCATATCCAACGATTTTTGTATACGATGCTGTTGCATCAATCTTTTCATTCCTTCCTTTCCTTGCTCTCTTCCAGTTCCATTTTCAAATATGGCCGCAAATCTATCCGAATCGAAGTAAACTTTACTTATACAGTTTAGTAGTCTGTCAACCTTCTCTGGGAAATTATCCAAGTTTGCTGGCGGCATTCCCGGTTGTAAAGCTTTGGTGGCTGATTTATAATCTGGTTCCACAGGTTTTGATCCTTTCTTCTTCTTATCCATTCCTGTCCAAGTTTTTAGTCGTCTTATCATAAATTCAACTAGTTCGTAGTCATTCGACTGCTTGGATAAATCTCTTCTTACTTGCGAGAATGACTCGTTAAGAATAACAAGGAACATATTAATGAGTATATAGGCTACTGTTATGACATAAAAGAAGAAGAAAACTGGTCCCAAAAGTGGTGATGCCTCTTGCATGGCGTTGAAGTTGAATCTGCCCAAAAGCATTTGTAAGCATGTTTCGGCCGACTTTATGACAGTTGCAAAAGTTTGCATCAATTGAGAATAAATAAGGAAGAAGAATTGGGCGTAAGCGAAGAATACTACAAGAAATAGCATAGCAAATTGTGATAAAGGTTTAGCTCCCACTTTAAGAGTAGCAGCCAACATAGACATTCTCTTATTGAATCTTAGCAACCTAATGAATTTCAAAGTCGCCAAGAAGACTGTCCATCCAACCATATACATCAAAATTTCGTGCCAGTAGCCAACGTATTGTAATTTCATATAGCCGTTTCCATGAGTATCTTTGAATTTCTTTAATATCTTATTGGTTTGAACCAATTTATAAAAGTACATGCAGATTCCAGAAATAGAGAAGACGATTATACCAATTTCCACATAATTCCAAAATTGTTTAAAGTATAATTTTCTTTGTTTGTATAAGTTTCTTCCTTCTTTAACCAAAAAGAAAACAATGAATAATACGAAAAATACTTCGCAAATCACTTGGAATAACATTGCTCCGCTAAAATACGATAAAAGATTCACCGCTTCTATTCTATAAGATGTAACAATACCTCCATCTGGTATCAACTCTGCAACCAAAGTACATATACCAAAGAGATTAACTCCTGTATTGTACACTGAAAATTCAATAAACAGAGCTCTTGAATATCTATCTATCCACAATTCATCCCTTAATTCTCTTATTTTAGCTTGCATATCAAGTAACGACATGTTTAAACCAATAACATATCCTCCACCCGGATAGACGCTTTGAATTGCCCAATATGGATATCCTTCTAACTCTTCTGCAGATCTGTAAACATAATGAGGAGGCGCCTTAGTTGTTGCATTGAGTTTACTCCATCCTGTGCCATGCGCCGTTCTATCTTCATCAGATATACTATATTTCGTATTACATTCTCTAAGAAGTGGTCTCATCTGACTGACTGGATGGCATTGACGAGGTTTAACTCTAAGTTGTCTTAGAGTAGCGTAGCCCATTATTCTAGAGACCCGATCGCTGGCGAATCCGATTTGCCCAAAAGCTTTCTGCCCGTTGTACCAATCACCTGCTCTTAGAGACGGAGCCAAAGAATTTTCCATCCAGTGTAAAAGATGAGATTTGTTTTTAACCTCGGTAAAGTCAACCATTTTAACGTTCTTCTTTGAAACGTCGATAAAATGATTAACGAGACTGGTTTTCATAGTTCCTGAATTTGTATCTCTATAACTGTAGCCAATGATTATTAGGAGCCAAAGGAATAAAGCGTAAAAAGCTATTTCTCTGATGACATTGTACATTTCTAATTCTTTTAATCTTTCCGCTCGAGCTTTTTCTAAGACTTCAGGATTTGGAGGTTTATATGGAACCTTTCTTGGTTTGGCATAATGTTCATCTGGTTTATGTAACCATTGTTCATCAGAAGCCAGAACGTAGTCTTCTTCATCTTCTTCATCCTCGGACTCATCGATATTGGTGTTCTTGAAGATAAGAGAAACCAGGACTGCAACAAGGATAACCTTGATGGGTTGTGTAAAAAAGATAGACGCTATAAAAGATATCAACATAGAGGTGATCCATTTCTTTGATTTGTCATCTCCAAACGTAATCCCGTATGCCGTAACAACAGCAGCACAAGTTAAAACAGATAACCAAAGAATAATCCAAGACACAATACACACCCACCAAGGAAATGAAAATGGTTTCTTCTGCTTTTTCTGAGTTATTATGGGAGCAGAAGATGAGCTGGGCGAGCAGGTTCTTTCAGTGTCGTGAGGAGGAGGTGGAGTTGTTTCGCTTGGTCGAACCTCTTCCAACGGTTTATCGTCTGTGCTTGTCTCCCAAACCGATAAAGATTGTAAAGATAGTTTACTCTTTTTACTGGCTAATTGCTGATTTTTCTGAATAGCTTCCTGAAGACGAGACGTTCTCTTCTTCTTCTTTCTTGATTTTCTGAATAGCGTTACTACAAGAAGGTTTACTGGGAATACAATAAGATTTGATACAACTCCAATGTATATCTGCGAGGGACTTAAAGCAAATGGGCCAAGTTGGAGTGCATTTTGAGCACCGCCTTGAGATTCTCCTCTGCCATAAAACATTGCATTTGCCAACATGGTCGAATACAGGAGTAGAAGACAACATGATACTCTTTGCAATCTTGTGAATCTCGACTGTGGTGGACGGCTAACAACAGAAAACCAAAGATGTCCATCATTTAGATTTTTCTTTGTATTTGCAGAAAATTGTTGGCCAAATTCTGTCATTTGTTCTTTTCCAGCGACAGGCAATAGTCTATCAACTTGACCATCATCTTCTTCAACAGCAAACCAGCGATTAGCCAGGAAGTAACTCTTTTCCTTTGTTTGAAGATCCACAACAACAACATGTTTCAGAAACCAGGAAGCATATTTACCTTTCCCTGTATTATCGTGCCAAATACGCATGTAAGAGAATTGTCCTAATGGAGATGGCGTTGCCATTAAGAATGCATCCACTCCACCTCTTCTGAAAATCTTCCTCTCTTTTTCTTCAACCGTACGAACATCGGTTTCATCGTATTCACCAGACAGTATAAATTGAACATTGGAATCGGTTCCGGCATTTTTCCTCATTCCCGTGTAAAAGATAATTTCATACAAGTACTTGTCGTCTGGTGCATTATCCTTCAAAGGAGATACTCCCAACTTCATAACATCTTGCTTATCCTTTCTTCTTGCCCAGATTGCTGCTAAAATAAATATGACGAAAATAGTAATTTCTGTTATGTATAAGGTTGGATTGCTGGCAAATGAGAGATTTTTTAATACATAACTCCAATCAATAGTGTTGGGCTGAACAACCAATGATCCACCGAAGAGTGTCAAGTGATCAGAATCGCACGCAAGTCTCGTACTACTTTGCAACTTAGCATTGAGACCGTTATTTTTCCACCTTCTAGCCGATTCATCGAAAAAAGAACAAGAAACTGCTGATATTTTGATAGTGTAATTCGTTGTAAACTCTCCTTCTCCATTTAAAGGATACGATGGAATATTTTGTGGTATATACTTATCATAATCTGTAGTGTTTAATTGTCTAAGGCCCAAGTACCAAACTCCAACTCTATTACCAGTTGTTTTTCCATCTAGGACTGATTTGTAATTTTTTATTGCGTCCGATAGTTTACTTGGAAATAGGAAATGGTAATCAAAAGATACGTCAGTCTCTGTAAAGTTTGGAGCTTTTTCGTAGCGTAGGAAACCAATAAATTGAACCTTGGGGTTGTCGGGAATAACTTCCATGTTGATGTTTGAGTCAGAAAGATTGACATTAAACTTGTGGAGTAATAGTGATTGTTTTCCCAATTTTGCATTGATATATGCCGCTTTTACATCATCAGTTTTTGGGTCCAACTCTAATTCTAATTTGATTTTTTCTGACGAGTTCCTAATTGGAATTTCTTTGCCATCAGAATCTAAAATTGACACATCAATTGTTGAAATTGAAGGTGGAACAGAATCTTTATTCGATACATGGGTTAAAGGGTTAAAACCATAAGATAGAACTCTTGCTGAAATGATCTCTTTTGGATTGCATGCCGATGAAACCTTATTTGTCAGAGAGCACCAAGAAGGAAGTTTCAAACTAGTTCTACCATAAACGAATGGTTCAGCCAAGGTATTGTCAGCTGTATTTTTGATAAGACTAGCGACAAAATTATTCGTTCTAATAACCAAAGGATCTTCTCCGAGAACCACTCTTTTGTTCAGAATTCCTATTAGTGAGTTAATGGCAGGTCTCGTTTTCTGCTCAAAAACTCCAGCATGTTCTTCTTGATTTAGAGAGTTCGTTTCTACTCTAAAAGCTCTTCTTTGCTTGTCCTTATTGATTCCATCCAATCTCTTTCTCTTTTTAAAGATTGTTGTATCGTATTCATAATAAACTGAGTCTATTGATTCTAATATGTCAGATTCGAGGGGATAATTAGCTGTTACCCCAAAAGATTCTAAAGCATCAGCGCAAGTACTGATCAATTGGGTTACACACAGTAAAAGTTCAGTTTTTGCAAATTCATTGACAAGCTTGTCTAAAACTTTTACCGAGTCTTCAACGCTTTCTATCAACTTCTGTTGGGATACCCTGGTTAATTCGTCAGGTGATTTTGTGATTTCACTTAATGTAGAAGCCTTTAGCTGTAAATCCTTCATTGTGTTTGCAGGCATAGAAGCCAACGAAACTAGCATTGTTTGCCTTTGTTCAGATCTAAAATTTCTCTCTTTCGATTTTTCAGCTTCTTTTTCTTCTCTAACAGTTTCGTTAACTTTGTCGTTTACAATTGGTTTGGTTTTTATGTTGAGTCTGGTACTCACTGGTGAAACTTCAACTCCATAGTTTGCATAATATGATTCATCTCCTTCCCTATCAGTATTCATTGCACTGGCATATTTCATATAAACAACTGACGATTTTCGAAGGTCGCCATCGGCAGCTAACGTTTTGATGATTTTTTCTGATGCTTTTAGCTCTTTCTTCAGAGCTGCAGATCCCAAAGGTTTTGATTGAACAATACCAACTAACTTGGTAACTGTTGCACCAAACCCATCAGTTATTCTTACATAAACGGAAACTTTATAAGAATCGTCTGCGGGGCCTTGTGGTACATTCAATTTCGTTATTCCAGAAGATCCAACGTATAGAGTATTTTCCGCATCATATCCTTTCATCTTTGTTACAACTTGGTAGTAAGATATACCATCAGCATCGTACCAATGTTTACATGTCAAATTCCAAGTATCCTGCACAACATAGCCAACTTTGGGTTCGATTGAACAAGAACCTCTCGCTGGTGGAGCATTAATAATCAAATTTGTATATGACACACCAACAGTTCCTCCATTTATCGGTGTTAAAGCCAACTTTACTCTATAATTTAAAACTTTTGAAGAAGTTTTTAAGTACTTCGTAAAGAGTGACGAAGATATTGATATTTCCGGTGATGCTGCTCCTATTAACAGGATTAAATCGTGAGAAATTGATAATAAAAAAGAGTAAAGAACAATAAGAAGTTAAAAGATTATATTAATATTAAAGATATTAATAGAAATTGACAAAAAATATACGAAAGCTTATGTTATAAGCAAGTCACAAAATATACTAAAAAAATTCTAACAACAATTAAAATATTAAAGATGACGTAATCATACCGTTGATTCCTTTAAAAAAATGTTTTTATCAAAATTAAAAATTATGAAAAATATGTTTTTTTTGTTTTTTTGTAAAAAAAAAAATAAATAAAAATTGGTTTAAAAAAGAAAAGGCTTTCTCTAAAAAAGTGATTAGCCTTTGTTCATTTCTTTTATCTTGTTTTGTTTTGTTTTGTTTTTGGATAATAATAATAATAATAATCCATTTTAACTTACCTCGAATATGCTGAGTAAAATCACCAACTCTAATCCAAGCATTATTTAGGCCTTCTCTATAGAGTGACCATTCATGTTTGTATATTTGACCTTCCGCACAATTAGTACATGTTCCTCGTAGTGCTAAACGTTCAGTAGGATTTACCCTTTGTCCTATTAAAATAATAAAAAACTGACGTTAGTAATTGATTGTTTGGGAAAATGAAATATTTAGAAAATATAATAGATATATATGTACCAAGACTTGTTGGAGTGCAAAGACCTCCAAAAGGACATTCAAGTAAAACGTTGGGAGGATTTCCAGTTACTACTCTAAGATGAAGATATGAATAAGCAGATCTCGCCCCTTTAAATACCTTCACGTAAAAGTTATAAGTTTCATTCTCCAACATGTTCTTGGTGTTAAAGGTAAGTTTTCCACCAGTTATGTTGATTTTACCAGGTGGCTGAGAAGCAAAACAACCTCTTCTATCAGTTTTATCAGTAAGTAAAGCTAATTCAGATAGAGTATATGGCCGAGTTAATGGCTTTTCCGCCAAAATACCGTCTTTGGTCCTTGGGTATTCACCGTCCGATCTTTTGCATATCCAAAAAAACTTGTCGAATTGCTTGTTCTCAGGATTATCTGGATCAATACTATTTTTGGCAGCATCCAGTGTGATGTCCTGTCCAAAACCTCTAGTTATTACATTCATTCCACCTTCCATAACTTGAACAATTAGAGGTGATGCCCTTATTTGAACATACGTGATAGCTGATGAAGTAAACGTTGATTGGTCTGGTATACCTTTGCTATCCATTTTTACGTTGAAAAATATTTTATAGAGTCCATAATTCAAATATCTTGCAGGTATATTTAGTTCAGACGTTTCACTTGATTTTAAGGACGATAAATCAATTTTCTTCTTTGTTACTCCTGTTGATGAATCAATCTCTTCCACGGACCATGTTTTAACATTATCTAAAGTAGCTGTACATTGTATACTTGTTAATCCAACCAAACGGAAAGAATCTTTTCTGTAAACTTTTCTAGCATCGCTAAATTTCGTAACAGCATCTTGAATTTCAACCAATGGAGCGGCGCAATCAGCTGCTGAAACTGTGAAGGAAAACGTCCGAACTTCGGAATTTAATAGGGATTTTGCGTCAGCTTTCAAGGTGTAATAATCATTTTTATCGAAAACATGAAATACTTTCAACGGATTAGTTAAGCTGCCTTTAGGAGTCATTGAATATGCAGCGTTGCAATCCGCCGTAGTTCCGTAGGCAACATCAGCTGAACCATCTCCAAAGTTTAACTTTAGACATGTATTCGTGCCAATTGAACCAAACACGACTTTAAATTCCTTACTCTGCCCGGCTTTGGTTCTTATGAGACCATCGCTAACATCCAAATCAAGAATAGCCTCTGCAATAATTATTTTTGTTTTCCAATCCACAGACCCAATGGGATTCCAAGCAGTTACTCTAACATCATAAGTTCCAACAGCGGGAAAACTAACAGTAACTGGAGAAGTTGTCTTATTACAGATTTGTAATGCAGAGCCACTTGATACCGAAACAAGATATTTTACAACCGTACCAAACGATGTCATGAAGAATTTAACATCTCTATGAAAAGGAAACACATTTTCCTCCGGTCCAAATCCAACAATGTCAGGAGAATCAACAGGTACTTCTGGTCTGAATAGAGCTTTGCCTTTCAAATTGGCAATCTTTTCAAAGACTCCACCACTAGCTGTTAAAGTTTTTGAAGAAGCAAGATTAAATATTTTTATTGTAGCTATCCATCCATTAGCTTTTTTATATTCGTATGGGAAAAGTTCACTTCTACTTGGAGAGCTGAATGCCAAAGGAGCAGGTTTGGTGGTTACTTCATCTCCATAATCGATTGTGAAGGATGCATCTGTTGGCAAAATTTCTAACGGGGGATATGTTAAGGTAAAATCCACGTCTCCAGGAGGATAGGAAAGTGGAGCATTGCTTGTAAATTGGAAAGAATCCGTTACTGGATGTTGAGCAACTATGACATATTCAATAGTCGTATTTCCCAAATCATTGTATCCAGTGACAGCAATTTTATATGTTCCAATTGAGCTAAATATATGCTCTGCGTAATCATAATCACCAGGAGTTGTTCCGTGCCTAGTTTTATAGTCTGAATTAGTTCCATCTCCCCAATGCCAAATCAAACGGACACCAAGACCTGAATCCATTCTAACACCTACATTTACTGGTAAACCAATTGGAGCATGTTTTGGATTGACATCAAGAATCATATTTGTTATTGGTATTTGAAGCTTGACAGTTACAGTTAAAAATAAAGCGCTCAGCTTGTTCTTGACATGAACTTTAACGTTATAGTTGCCTGTGGATTTGTACGGATGCATATAAGTTTTTTTGTCCATAGTAAAAGGAACGTATTTATTAGTGGTAGTTGTATTATCTCCCCAATCTAAAAATCTAACTTCAGCATTCACTGGTGGAAAGGTGGCTGGTAGGAACCAAAAGTAAACAAGTCCCTCTGGTTCAACAAACGGAGCTGGTGAACTTGATTCAAGTGTCATATTATCAACTGTATTTAAGACTGTTATCTCAAAAGATTTGAAAAAACTTTGGAAATTGGATGCAGTAATATTAACTGTAAATATGCCCGGTTTACTGAATTTGTGAGTGAAAGTTTTCTCATCACCGGGTGTCCAACGAGTAAGATCGGGAATAGAATGACTGTCACTTGTTCCATCACCGTAATCAAAGACGAGACGAATAGAAGTTCCACCGAATAGTTGTGCTGTAAAATCCAAGGAATCACCTTGAATAATTTCGTATTTGTCTGGGGTAACCTTTGCAGTAAATCCAGTAATTCTCTCTTCAATCGAGAAATTTTGCTTAATTTCAATACGTGATAAAGGATTCCACACTGCGCCCGTAATTAGCTTTCTCCCTACAGTGGGTATTGATGGTTGAGAACTTGAAGAAAATTGTTTCAGAGCTGTATTATGAGCAAGGTCGATTGACAGAGATTGAACACTCAGCTCTGCTGATACGTCCGTTCCAGTTTCGTATTCAATAACAAACATATATGGATCTCCCCTTATGGTTCCAGATGGCGTTAACACTACGTTAGTTATGGGTTCATAAATATAAACCGGTATAAGGGTTTCATCTCTGCTAATTGTATTCCAACAAGTAACGTTCAAAGTAAGGACTCCGTGTATAGTATAGTTATGAGACATAATACCTCCGTTTGAAGGTATGCTTAGCCATGTCGATCTATTTTCGTTTCCATCACCAAAAGACCAATTACAAACATAGTCAGTACCAGTCATGTTCAACCAGAAATTGTGATTTTTATTTGTTTCGCCAACAGATGAAAATACTTCAACATCAGCAACAATTCCTTGAATGGTAATGGTACTTACATTTGTTTTACTCATCAATTTGTTATACGCTACTACTGTAACATTGTAGGTGTTTCTGGCATTAAACGTATATTTAATAGTACGTTCAGTTGTTTCCACAGTAGTCAAGCTATCGCCGAAGTTCCACCTGTAAGTTACATTTGTTCCAAGATGGGGTAAGATGTTGAAAGTGACTTCTTTGTTAATGCCACCAACTGCGACATGGTCAGCTATAACTTGATCGATACCCATTTGAGCATATATTCCTAAAGAAGTGGTATCAAATCCGGGAATATACTCATTGGAAATGTTAACTCGAATATCAAATTGCCTAGATGTTGTATAGGTGTGGAATACAATTATATTAACTGGTTTAGATGCTGCTGCCCTCAGTAAATGTCGCCTTTCATCGGGACTTGTTAGTGTAACCTGGCTTAAATCGCTTAAAACACTTCCAACTGTCACCGTTCCTGTCGCTATTACCTTATCTCCGACTTCTGTTACGTCTTTACTTCTAGTACCTATTCTTCCTGCTCCTACAGTAACAAATCCGATAATATCTCCCATTTCAACTTCAAACTGCCCATCAGTTATTTCCATAACGTTGTAACCTTCACTTGGAATTGTGTACGCCCATTTCTTGATTACTTCATAGGAAACTGGTAAGCTAGTGCTGTAACGATTACTCGCTGATGGGCAACTGGACGATGCGGATGCTAGACAAACACCCCTGACAGGACAAAATTGCTCCCCTGTAGAACAAGTAACGGAACCATATTCTTCACAAGGCGAAGAGGTACACTTGTTTGTTTTGAAACAATAGCTCATGGAGGGACCGCATACTGGACGTAGGATAATGAGCTCTATGGGACCAGCCTGCGTAGCCCACATTTCAAAAGCTAAAATAACTCCCGTCTCTTCAAATTGTGAGTTTGGTAGCACATAGGTTTTTCCTCCTACTGACGATTCGGCGATATCTGAATGTTGTCTAATAGCTGGACCAGCTCCAAACCAAACCGAGTCAGCAATTGGAAAAGACTCAACTATTCCATCGTTCCAATCGACCTTTATATTCATAAATGAACCAGAAACTACGCTGACATTACATCTAAATTCACTATAGGTAACCACACTCTCGGGGCATTCAATTTTTACATATTTTGCTGGAGCTTGTACAAGTATATAGGTTGCCGCTTTTGAGGCTGGGATTAAGCCGTGTACATCGGAAGCCTCTCCAGTGACAATGTATTCACCAGGTAGACCAAAATATTTAGACAACATGTTTGTAACATTCGTCCCTGTAAATCCATCTCCGTCACCGTAGTCGACGCGATAGAGGACTTGTGGTGGACCCCCCGCAATATCAAATTTAAATTCTGCTTTATCCCATACCCTATGAATGCCTCCTGCTCGAGATATAATTTGGAGTTCATCAATTGGAAGTGGGGCAACATAAACAGAGATGTGCTTGTGACCACCGCACATTTCCGACGAATTGCCTGAACAAGGCAGACTGCAAAAGGAATCCGATACATTTGCTAACGAATAACTTTTAGCACAAAAGCAGAAGCTTGATGATGTAAGTGCGGCAAACCCAAAACGCCACTCGCCACATCTCATACGACATGTTGTTATTGTCAGATCATCAACGTCATAGTTACCAGGTGAAGTGGCGAATTGCCTCTTTGTCGGATTTTCCTCAAAACATCCCAAATAACCGGATAAAGATTCTATAAAATTTGTTTACTATAGTTTTAAAAGAAAGGAAGGAAGGAAATATATAGGGCTAATCTAATGAAAGTAAATTAAAAGTCTTTTTTAGTATCTATTTTCGTAATATATTTCTTTGTTTCAATTAAAAGACTCAATCTATTCAAAGAATTCTAATAGTAACAATAGGCTACTTTTTACTAGTTTCTACTTTCAGTGAGATTATTTTCAAAGTAGAGAGACTGAGTTAACTGCGAATTAGGTTTAATTAATTACATAGCTCTTGCAACTGTCTGATTGTGAATTATATGGCATTATATCATGATACATAGTCAATTTTAGACATTGATTTTTTTCTTTTTAAGTGAAAAAGAGACGTGGAATAATGTCTTTTAAAGCTATGTCAATATGACTTCGATCCGTTACGCTTTGAAAAATTGTTTTTTTCGCAACACTGTATAAAAGCAACTTGATCGAAATCTTTTGTCTCTCATCGACCTCCTATAAAAAATCAATGTTACATTGGATTAACAGGTTCAATGAATTGTTAGATTATTATTATATGTCCTCGGTAACTTTCCACTTATTTTATTGCATAAAAAGAAAATTTTCATCAACTTTTCTTACCAGAATAGTGTAGCGAATTCAAGATACTAAGCAAAACCTGGAATAAAAAATACAATTTGTGAATTTAAAAGTATAATTTGTTAAAATAAGAAATTTATAACAATTTATAAAATACTAGAGTGGAATTTTGTATGTGAAAAACGTAAATAACAGATTATTTATTCATATTTAAATTTATCAGTAAACTGTAAACTTTGGTCAAGAGAATTTGAAATAAGAGCAGACGAAATTATTTTAAAAAACGCTCAATTTAATAAATCAATAGGTATACTTATTTTTTTTAGAATTTCTATTTGCCGTTATAATTTTTTGCAAACATATAACAGGTAAACTTTAACAAGTGGGTCGATACGAAAAGAACGACGTCACGAAAAGAAAATGGCGTCTGACCGCTTAACTCAACTTCAAGATTATATAAATATATTTGCTGATCAGATCTGTAATGCTATTGGATGTATACAACAAGCAAGTATAAAAGTTAAAAGTCAAAATAATCATAACTCTGCAGAAAATTCTCCTCATCCAAGTGAACAAAGCGCAGAAGAGCTAGCCGCCTTATTCGGAAAGCTCATTGCTCAATCTATGAAGGATATTGATACTCTAATACATAGTCTACCATCTCATTGTTCTCACGCTGATAAAGATGAAATAGCTTGTGTACAATATATGAGAACTCTTGAAGAGGAAAATACTAGAGCCGTTGATCAACTGGAAAGAATTATAGCAAAAGGTGAAGAAGATTTGGAAAAGTTACGGGATATATTGCATGAAATTGCAGTTGTACAATTAAACAGTTGTGCAACGGAAGTTTCTTGATATATTAGAAGAGTAGTAATATACATATATACATACATATATATATATATTAGTAGAGACATATATATATATTTATATATATATATGTATATATTATACATAGTTTATATATATAATAAAAAGTTATATAATTAAACTTACAACTAATAAACGCCAATGTACTGCATAATTCATGGCCGTTGACTGTCTACTGAATGTTCAAGACTAACGTTAATGAATAATGCAGGAATTTGCGCCAATGTATTGGACGCTTTGCAAACATTGTCATTATGGATTTTTTTTCTCCTCTTTCTCTGTTTCCAGGCGAACCATGACGACATATTCCATAAACATTGTCTTTCAACTTATTGACCAAAGAGAAACAGTTAACTAAGATATTTTAAATATTCAACTCAATTTTGTATTTCAAAATGAAGAAAACGAGGAATCTCTTAAAAGTTTTCATATTTCATTTGATCATTTATATATGTTTATTAGTTGGTATGAAATCATTGCATAATGAAACTAAATCACTTATTAAAAGAAAAGAAATCATTAATCTTTTCTTTTTATAACCTTCTCATAGGTCAGACTTGTTTTTCTCTTTTTTTTTTTATATTGTTACCGCTATTGAACCATTGAATTGATCATACATTTTTAAAAGATAATCCCGGAAGTGTAAAATATCTTTTTTATACTGACCTACAATCAACTTAAAAAAGATATCACAGTACTAATAAAATTAATAAAAGCGATATCAAATGCAATATTAGACTTATTCATATTTATTTATGATTTTAGACCACGTTATATGATTATTGAATATTTGCCCTACTAATAATACTATGAATGGCAATATTTAATTATAATACGGCACTTTACATGAAAAAACAAGACTGTTTACCTTCTCATAAAAGTTATAATACTGTACTGCTTGAGGAAATTATTCAGTATATTTTTTAGTTTTGCTTAAAAGCTCGTATTATGTCATTTCTAAGTATTGTGTAATCAAGTATATTTCTTATTCCACTACTGCTTTTTCTCTCTCTAAGCCAATGATTGGAGCTGGAGCTGGAGCAGGAGGTGGTGGTGGTGGTGGTGAAACAGCTCCAGGTGGCGGACCTTTATGGTTCAATACAGCTTTATTGTATCTTTTTGCCGGTCTTGCATTCCACCAAAACCAATCCAATAAAAACACAATAAGAGTCGAGAGTAAAGCGAAACATACAAAACAAATTAGGAAGATACAAAATCTTCCCTCATGTGTATCAAGCCACCAATTTTCTGGTTCGGTATAAATAGTTTGACCCAAAGATAAAACTGTACCGGGAACTGGTGTTGCAGATTTTGCATTAGCATTTGGAGCTCCAGAATCATCAGTCCATCTCTCTAAAACTTCTTCTTTTGTCATAAACTGTTTTCCAACTACTGAAGAATTCGTACCAGTGGCGTTATTTTTCAAAAAATATATGGTCAGCACTTGATCACCATTTTTATCCGTTGTTTGTTTAGCTAACTTTGGCACGCAAGGTTTACATTGATCAGCCAGTAGTTTTAGCATCAATTGGGAATGATGATCTCGGGTAAACACAGTTCCCTCAGGAACACTAATTGTCCAATCTGTTTGATGAGCCTCAGCGTTGTAAGTATCAATTCGAACAAGAACAGGGCTAATTACGACAATAATATTGGAAATAAGTATGCAATTAATTTTATACAAGCCTACGCACTTGCTCTTAAAGGATTTTGGCTTACCGCCGTCATCCGCTTGAACATAAAACGAATAAGTTTTTCCTGCCTCCAATACTTTATTCGTCGTTATTTGACCATCCAGAGGTGTCATAAAAAAATGATCATCAACAGTTGTCTTGTTGTACACACTATACGTTAATAAGGTCCCTTCGGCATCTTTATCTATTGCAGTAACTTTTCCAACACTGGTATATAGTTCCGCATTAGAGCTTACTTCAATATTGATAACGGACGTCTAATGGTAAGGAATATATTAGTGAAATATTAGTGTGTTTTTTAAATAAAATGATTACTGTAAAATATGGAGCGTTATCATTAACATTCTGAAGAATCACCGTAACCGAAGTTGTAGAACTATTAAACGACTTGTCCAGTGCCACAACATTGAATGTCAAACTTCTAAAAGTTTCTCTGTCCAGTGATACGTAAGCAACAAGCAAACCTAAGCTATCAACTCGAAAGTAGGATGATCCTGGCTCTCGAACGACGTAATTTAGTTCACCGAAATCTCCACCATCTTCATCAATTGCCGATAAATTTAAAATAGATGAAAACAATCTGTAGTCTTCAGATATATTAGCACGATAAGAGCTCTGTGGAAATCTGGGGAAGAACTCGTTTACGTCAACGATATTAACTGTTAAGTTAACTGTTGCCGCTTCATCTTGTGCATCTTTTACAGTGACAGCTAAATGATTAAAAGTCTTTCAATCATCAATGATTTTAATGACAAGATGAGACTCACCAACATAGGCTTTGCCATTAAATAAGGTATTTTCATAATCAATGGCTTGCTTTACAGTAATTTTACCATCGGCTGCGTTAACGGTAAAAAATGCACTATGGGGACCAGTAAGGTCTTGACTATAAGTAAAACTTGTGCCTCCATCAGGATCCGTTGCAGTCCAAGTAACACCGAGGACAACGTTTATAACATTTTCGGGAACTGATAGAGGGCTAGAAGATATCACGGGTGTCAGAGTAGGAACAGCGGAAAAACAGTTATCAAGAAGAGATAAGAAAAATATAATCGTCGCAAGTTTTGTCATAATCGTGTTTCGAAGAGGTCTCTACAACAACTAAGAAAATCTAAATCATTTGCTATTGAACAGTTCCTGGTGACCACGACTCCAGCAAAAAAGTAGCTCTGGAATGTCAGAGTGATAGTCCTATATTTGCCTGTACGTCTTCCGAATTTACAATGCAACTACGTTACTGTTGATTATTATTTTTTATTACTAAGTGTGTTTTGTGAACGGATAAACGAATATATTTTCATTGGTGTAATATTATTCATTAGGCTTTGCTATGCCAACCATATTGGCTGGGCTTAACACTTCAATCCAATATCCATCCGGATCCTTAATGAATGCTAATCCCTTCATTTTACCGTCATTCGGTTTCTTAACAAATTCTACGCCAAGTTTTTCAAAGCGTTCGCTAGCAGTTTCAACATCTGGTACAACTATTCCAATATGTCCAAAACCTCTTGGTTCCGAATTACCATTGTGATAAACCGGATCTTCTTCATCTTCAGTACCCCAGTTACTGTCATTAAACAGAAAAGTAACTAATATACCGTTTAAATTGGATTTAAGGAAGACTTAGTCTATGTTGTTAAAATACTGACTGTGTTAATTCAAGGGTAGCTTTAGTAGAGAACGTTTTTCTCAGCCTTTCAATATTATCTGTTGGAATATTTTCCGCTGATTCGTAAGCCATAAAATATAAGGAAAATTTCATGGCAGGAAAATCGAACTTTTGCAGCAGTCTAATCGATTGAAATGCTTCCGTATTTAGATAATTAAATCGAAATTTTTCTTTTGTTACCTCATACCAAGTATCCTTGTATAAAAATCCAATGATTTTCTAGGATCCTTAATTCTCAACATCGTTTGTTGAAAGAAAAAATCCTGAAAATAAAAGCAACTAGATGTAAAATTTAACCTAATTTATCTTATCATTGCCAATTACAGAAATTTTTAGCTATTAAATAAGGGTTTCTTGTAAAAACCTTCGTGCTAGAATCAGGTTCGGAGCAAAATTTGTTAACTTCCTCATCAGTTAGTCCTACTGGATCAGTCATAGCTACAATTTTCAAGAAGATGTGTAAGAATAAGCGGCTGCCGGTGTAGACTGCAAAACGGTTATGCTAAAATATGTCTGAAACCGAAAATAAGAAAAACAAGATACTTTATTACACTGGTAATAAATTTGTTGATATTAAATAGTCATTATTAATAAAACACAGAAATAACGTATTTATTTGCTAAGATAATTATTGAAAGCTACATATATATTTCTAATCAGTGTTGTACATATTTTAGTAATAACCAAAACAAATCTTGGGTCTTTTAACTTTAATAACTTTATGGAATTCTTGAATCAAGCAATAGTTTATATTCTTTATATTTGTCAAAAAATAATTGCCATACATATATTTAATATTTCAATAGTGTTACACTTTTATTTTATCAGTAAAGTCTAACAATTTGTAAGAATTTTCTTTATTCTTTCTTTATTTCTTTTTTTTATTTTTATTTTTCTTATTACTAGGTTGAGCTTGTTGATTTTGAGATGATCCTGAGGCTCTACCTTTCAAGAGAGGAATTTTGCTGGCTACATATAAATATAAATCTTCTCTAGTTTTGAACTCTTCTTTTAGCGGAGTTCCATCGTTATTTTTTAGTTGAACTCGAATTCGTCCGATAAATTTTGGATCTTTAACATCTCTCTCTCTTGGATGGACCTTATTTTCCACTCCCATTGGCAGGCCTAGAAATAATATTTATTAATTTTATATGTTTAATTGTATAGTGATGAGTGATAGGTTATAATTTGGGAGTATTAATGATTTACCAATGAAAGTGATCAATTTCACTGAGATCTTGTGGAATTTTCTTGAAAAACATTTTTTTTTAGGAATAATTAATTTTCTTACCTAATGTTGAACAGACATCTTTGATTTCTGAATACAGAGGGTTGTCTACACATTTATCTTTACTGATTTTCCTGCCTTCTGCCAACGTTCTCTTTGAGTTTATGTACGTTGGATAAATGCAAATCCATCTGTTGTGATGTTAAATTTATAGACAACGCTTAAACTTATAGACTTAAGACGATTAAATTTATATAAATAGAGTTGGTTAAGAAACTACCTTTGTCGATCAGCATGTGTGCACGTTGGGCTGAAAAAAACATGCTCTGGTGAGGCAGCGGCCGCCATTTTCGATTCGAATTTCCGAGTCCGGTTGCGACGTCGTCTTCGTAAAAAGTGTTCTAATCATTTATCATGTCCAAGATATTTTAAGCCTAGAAAGTTTCATCTCGCAAAGTGTTACCTGTAGCTTACGAAGCGTTTTAATTCCAACAAAGTATTTTCTATTTTAAAATAATTTTTTTGTCTTTTTGGAAATTTCTCTTAATAATGACTAGAAAAAATATGAAATCATACACAGAATAACTTGAGTGAGAACTTATATTATTTTAAATTTCAATTAAAAACAGTAGCTTTACTTGTCATTTTTTCAGGTGTAATAATAAACAAGAGTAGATTTTGAAACGAACGATATTTAATAAATATAAAAATGGCATGACTAGTCGATTGTAATAGCTACAAGAATACACTCCGGTTAACCATAGTATAACACTGCATTAAAATCACTCAACGTTAAAACAATCAAAAATAATCAAAATCTTCAGAAATGTCATGGTTTATTGTTTTATCTGGGGTTCTGCAAAGACTGGAGAGATTTTCTGGTGCAAGTATTTCGTTGACGAGCCAGAAATGATTGTCCTATTACTGCATTAGATAAGCGCTCTGTTGCAGTTTCTTTGTGAAGCTGCAATGACTGTTTAAAAAGATAGTATTTAACAAATATTACATATGACTATGCTACAATAAGATAATTTTTTTTAATGATTTACGAGAATTTAATAAGATTGTATTACCAAATTATACCATGCACTGGCTACTGCTTTTTCCTCGAATTCCCTTACTTCTCTATTTTTCTCATTTCCCTTCTGTATATTTTAAAAAATTAAAGATTTCTGAAATATTATCTAATCAAAAATTTATATGAAATACCTCAATAAATTCAATAAGTTTATTCTTTTCTTCAAGTTGCTTTTTTAGTAAAGCAACTTCGTTGTTCTGTGGCCTATTTTTTCCATCGATTTGTATGATGTACTAAAAAGAAAAAAGCAACTTATATGATAAAAAAAAATAATAAGAGAGCGTAACTAACATTTCTACACTTTTCCAGATACATTTGATATCGACTTTCCATACTTTGTATTTGGGCCTGCTGGTCTTGAACAACATCTTTAAGGCTTTGAACTTCCTCTGGTTTAGCAGTCACTTCGCTTTCTCTTTCCTCTATTTTAGATTGAAGTTCAGTAATTTTTTCATTTAAATCTTTGTTCCTGGAAATAAATTATTATTAAGAATGTTGCGTAATATGTTATAAGAGAAGCATACTTGGTTCTTTCTGATTTAAGCTCGTTTTTCAAAACAGAGAAATCTTTATCACTATGTGTTGTTTCTCTCTCCTGAGCATATTTCATATCATTCACTTCACATTGCAACTCACATATTGTTTTATTTGCTGTTCTGACATCATTCTCTAATTCATTAACGCGTTTATTTGCATCTTCTAACTGGGAGGCGATAAGCTCTTTCTCTTCGCCTTCTTTTACGCTTACTTTTAGCATTTTATTCTCCTGCTCAAGCCGACGCAGGCGCTCTCTGAAATAAAAAATGACTTGTCAAACACGTAGAAATCCCTGCATTATTTAATTCAAAAAATAATTTTACGAACTAGAATATATAATATTGAACTTTTCATTACATTTGTCAAAAGCTGAAGAAAATTTTCTAGTTTCGAGATGGTTGAAATAATTATATATACATTATATACTAGTGTGCTTATATATTTATCGTCAAAGGGTTCTTACATGGTGTCGTTGACAACATATTTCGTCTAGACTTAACAATAATAGACTTGGCGTCTTAGATAAAGTTTGAAGAATAGGCTGTACTATGTTTAAATTAGATCCTAGTAAAGGCTCTTTTAATTGAAAATTATGTCGCAGCAGAGAACATTGTTTCTATTTAACGCAAAACAAGTTGTATTACACTTACTTAATTGCTAATGGTAAACCAACCAAAGGTAAATCTGAATTTGGATCCATAATAGAGTCTTGATTCCCAGAATCTGTTAAATTGAAATTTTGCCTCATAAGATATACATATAATAGAAATAAAAAAAAAAAGCAACTACAGCGAGCAAATAGAGGCCTATGTTAATAAGCAAAATTTGTTATCCTTAATTATAAAACAGGCAGTAATGGTTTTTTCTGTTAAAGCTCAATAATGGCCTTTTTAGTTGACTAATAGTAAGTAAAACTAATACTACAAACCATGACAGAAAGAATCAGAGTTGGATATTTGTGATATGTGACTTAAATTATCTGGTGGGGGATTTTGAGACAAGACAGCTGCAAATTATAGGAAAAAGAAATGAAAGAAACACTAAAGCGTGCAGTATAGAATAAAAGAGAATGAAGTATATTAGTACGATAGTATACGTAAAGCACGTATAAGTAAGCGTTGTATAACAAGTTGACATACTTTGTTGTACTTGAGCACAGTTCAGTTCTTCAATTGTTTCCTTTAGTGAATCTCTTTCTGATTTAAGACGCTAAAGGATATAAGAATAGAGTGATTCTTCAGTATTTTGTAATTATAAACATATACATACATCTCTTTCATTAGAAACTAAGTTTATTCTTTCAGATACTCTTTTTAATTCAAATTCAGCCTTATCAGCTCGTTTTGTTTCGTCTATTATTTTTGTTTGAATGTCATGAACCTGAGTTTTATATCCTTCAAGCTGATTCTTATAACTTTGAGCTTTTCGCAACTCCTATAGAGATATTTAAATTAAAAGAGAACAATATTAGTAGTTGAAGGATATACTAACATTCTCCAATTCTAAGCTATTTTCCATATAATCAGCATTCTTTTCTTCTAATTCCTTATTCTGATTCTTTAAATCGCTTAATTCCTCTGAAAATTTGCAACTGTTAAATAAGAATGAACAAAATTATCTTTCGACCTACTTAATTTATTCTTGTAGCTTTCAATGGATGCTTCATACTTGGCCTATAAAGAAAGCCAGACAATAAGAGTCTGAAAAATACATTAAAGTCTAACGACAAACCATTTTATGCTGATTATTTCTTAAGATATCTAATTCGTCTTTCATTCGTAAAGTTTCATCAGTCAAGATATTTAGTTTTTCAACTTTCTCACTCAATTGCTTCTCTAGGGTTTCACTTTTTGTTTTAAATTCGTCTCTCTGCATTTCGAATTTGAAAGCATCTTCCTCTAATTTTTCTACTTGATTCTGCAGAGTCCTAATTTTCATATTGGCTGGACTCCTATATATGTAATGTTAAAAAAGAACATGTGACAAAATAAAGAATATATTTTATAAAAACTTACGAAGGATCCTCCCAATTAGGGGTTTTGTTGAATCTATCCTTAACACTTGACAACTCATCTTCTAAACTACGTTTATCTTCCTGCAGTTCTGTTACCTGGATTTCACAGAATGAGAATTAAATGCTTTTTGTAAAAATATTGATTTACTTGAGTATCAAGTTTTCTGCATTTTGTTTCATACTCCGCCAGACGTGACTTTAAATATTCAATTTCTTTTTTTATTTTGTCATTAGAATCAGCATCTTGTGGTTTTGCTGCTTCAGCCTTGGCATTTAACTGCGAAAACATAAATATTATTTCTGTTCTGTTAGCTTCAAGCAACTGTTTTACTAACATCTTGCAATGCTTTCATGACATCATGCTGCACATTTTCCTCCAATTTCATTATTCTACCTACATACTCTTCCTTCTGATCGCAGTTTACTGCACAGTATAAAATCAATTGCAAAAATCCAATCAAAGATTCAACATTACATTCCTTAGCTGAAAACATATACACAAATTGTTAATAATCGTTAAAATAATACGCATTAAATTAGAACAAAACATATTGTTAAAAGCAATTTGATCCTCTTACCAAGAGAATTAACATCTATATCTCCGGTGCTGTTCATGTCATCGTCATTCATCTGGGAATGAGACAGTAGTATTTACTAAAAATTGTTGATATAAGTCAGTTATATTTACCTCAAAATAATCTTTAATTCCTTGATAGACTTTTCTAAGATTGTTAGCTCTCAGGCCCCAGTTAGTTGCATCAGGTTTGATTTTGGAGAGCCATGCATGGTTAAAGAATTCAGGGGCGCTTCAAGTTTTAAAAATTATATTAGAACATTCAAAACTGTGACAAAAAAAGTACTTACATTTGATAAAGAGCTTGTGACATTGCGACTCCATTTGTTAGTTCTTCAATAGAATCACATTGGCGAACGTTAAACGTTTTCATCTGTTAATATTTTGGGTATGAAAGTAACATTTTTAAATGATGAATCGCTTGGGTAAATATCTTATACAAATTTAACTAACTAATTGGCAGCCTTTATAAACAAAAAGTTTGTTGAGACTGCTATAGCGATATCATTAATAGATTAGTTTTTTTGTCATTTCTAGTTTGAATAAAGTTAATAATTCTGATTACAATATTTGTTTCGTTTGCAAGCAGACTTAACGTCCTAATCATTAAGTTTCGTCACTATTAAATATTACGTATTTGCTTACAATATGTAAGCGATACCTTGCAGCTTACGAAAAAATCCAAATATTATTACAAAAACGGAAAATGTTCCATCGTTTTTGGCTTAGAATAACTATTAAAATACTATTGTTATATCTAGAATTGATTTGATCGCTTACCCAAGTTAACAAACTGTTGCACATGCGATTTTCTTCAGCCATTTTCCGGATTTCGTAAAAAAAAAGGCAAATATATCAGTCTGTTATTAGCCTCTTTTCATATTTTCGGACGCCCCTTACAATTCGTATTCAGAGTTAGCTTTTAAACAAATAAAAAATGGCGGCGTATTACTCGGAGCGCTCGCCATTACTCCACTGTATCGCAACAAGAATCTGAAAGTTTACTATTAATCACGTGATTAAAGTTCTATTGCCCGATAAGTGCATATAGCCTACCTTTGAACATATCAGATGTGAAACATTCATTAACACTTACGCTAAAACATTAAATGAAAAGTATATTTGTAAACATATAATGTATATTCCTACTTTATTTATCTTATTTTATTTCTCTTTTTTATGTCCTAAAAGAAATAACTTTTTCTATAAGATTTTTGCCATGCTCTTAAAAGATATGGTAAATTTGGTAAAATTATTCCTATGTCAATTCTTAAAAATTTCAATATACTTAGGCAAATGAAAGAGAGCTTTTTGCCAACTTTGTATAGAAGTTGACATAAAGGATGCAAACAATAATACTTTTTTTATAGTACTAAAGAAAGAATGCATGTGTTCATTGCTATTTAGAGTTTGAAAGATAGAGAGTGGGTAGAAAAAAATTTGACACAAAGAAGACATTTTTTGTCTTTTAAGCCAAGAGAATTTTATTTTCCAGGAAATTTTGTAACTTTTTCTTTTTCAAAATTGATCTTATTTATAGAGATAACTGGTATCAGTTGACAAAATATTACTATCGCACGTGAAATTGCATTATCGCTACAAGAGTTTATTTTGAGTTGAGAAATTTGATAAATTTCTTGCCAAAATGCATAGGATTCTAATACGATTTAGTAGAAATTGTTTACTCACACGTTTATCTCACCTAAAGTATAATAGAAACTCTCCTTGCAACCTCCATTTATCAAGTCAAAAGTTTACAAATGAGACTAACAACCTCAAAAAAACTGAAACCGACAAAGTATTAGCTAAAATGAATAGTGAACTAAGAAATAAGATAAAGTTTCTAAATCAAGATTATTTACGAACTATAACGAGTATTCTTTGTCAAAATGGACTTAAAGAAGACTTTTGTATTGACTATTTCATGAATGGTTTACATATTTTTCAACATAATTCATCATCTTTGAGAGATGCTATTAACTTCCTTTCGTCGTATGGTTTTCGTGATGACCTTATCTTGAAAATGTTGATTAATTTCCCTGAACTTCTGGAGGGAAAAAAGGAAAATATTATTAAAACAATTAACATTTTGAGGTTAAAATTTGACTTTAAAGATTTTATGATTCCGTCTGTCATTGTTGACACTCCTGAACTGATAGACCTAAAGGCTGAAGATCTTGAATTACGATTTAGCAATCTTTTAAAATATTTCAAGAAAAATCATATTAGAAGCTTGACACGATCTTGTCCTCAAATTCTCTTTGATGATTGGGAATCAATTGTAGAAAAGATTGACTATATTCTATTTGAGATGAACTTTGATCAGAAGCAAATTGTTCAAGCAGAATTGTTCAGACATTCGTTGATGCATATAAAATTTAGACATTTATTGCTAATTCGATCGGGAGTTTGGCAGAAGCCAGGAAAGCAAAGTAAAGGTATTTCAGATCAGCCTTCGTTAAAAAAAATTTTATGCTGTAGTGAATATGAATTTGCGTTGTTGTCTGGGCTCAGCGTAAGAGAGATTAAGGCATTCGAGCAGATTGTTAAGGTTGAATCTGATTTACGGAATAAAATGGCTATGGACAACGAAGATATACAAGATGAAGAGCAGGAAAATAATGTTTAAGCAGGATCTAAAAGAAAGTATTTCTACTGTATAGCTATCACGACTACTTTCTAAATCTCGCGATTGGATATTTGACAATCACGACAACGTCGTAGCATAAAGATAATCTGCTGGCTCTCAAATGAGATTTATCTTGAAAAATTACACATTAGTTGTGTGAATTGAATAGCCATTGTTAAAATCTGTCCGCTAGGAAAGATTGGATTGTAAATATTCAAGGTTCTTAAAGACTCTCTGGTGTTGAAATTGACACAACACTTTAAAGCTTTTTACCTAAAAAGAAATGCACAATGATAAAAGTAATCTGATCATTTTGACTTTATTTCTTATATGTACAAAAAATACAGTAAATTGTATTTAAACTCCTACAAAAATTTGACTCCTGGGACTTTTATATCGTAATTTTTAATATCATTGCTAACATCTATTCCGAAGTGACTTCTAAAAACAGGAACAGTTTGTAAATATTTGAAAAAATTTAAAAAAAATTAACAAACTTTGGCTCAAAGTCAACTTCATCGGCATTATTCAATATATCGATATTTTCTCTAACTTTCTCCACTCCATTCCTTTTTTTAATCATAAAAAATGACTTATTCAAATTGACTTATAGCAACTTTCTTTAGCTTAATTATTTGCTTAGAATAATGAATATTATTAATGAGAAGCGAAATACATACCATGCAATCATAACTCCATTATCGGTGCAGTATTTCGTAGGTGGAAATACGGTATTCAATCCATAATGTTTACTTATTTTGTCAATACCATTTCTAAAGAATTTATTAGAAGCAACTCCACCAGAGACAACTACCGTTCCACCTTCCTGAATTAACTTTAAAGTTAAACAATATAAAATTGCTCGCTGTAGTCTTCTCGCAAACTGGTGTAGTATAGAATACTGAAAGTTTGCACATAGATCTGATATATTAGGCAAAATTTGCCCTCCCTTAATATCTGTTTATATTTAACGATAATTTAACAATGTCCTAAATGTATTTTATTCTATAAACTGACCATAATCTCTTTCGTATTTTTTTATCCTATTAATGAATACTGAATGAACACCTGCGAAAGAAAAATTACAATCCCTATATTGACTCATGGAGTGAACAAGTTCAAGCGATTTTGGATCTCCACGTTTAGCTAATTTTTCAATGGCTGAGCCTCCATTAAGACCGTCACATTCGGTAATGCCGTTAATTTTTAGTCGTCGAGCAATCTTTCAAGTACAGTAAATTAAGTAGGTTGTTTAAATAATATTTTCCATACTTTGTCGATAACGTCTCCGGGGGCATTGTCAATACTTTTTCCAAGTAAAAGAAAGTTGTTAACACTCTGTGCAACAGCCAATAGGCAATGGCCTCCACTTATTAGCAGAACCAAATATGGAAAGTCAACCCTGAGATAAAAATGTAGGTTTCATTTAAACACTTTTATATATTACGTATATTTTATTTCTAACTTTTCAGTCAATCTAGCAGTTAAAGCATGAGCTTCCATATGATGAATAGGGATGAAAGGTTTTCTTTTTAAGGTTCCAACATTAGTTAGACTTTAAGACATGATTGTAAATATATAAAGATATAGTTACCTATGAATATTAACTAAATTTCTGGTCTTTTTCAAACCGACTTCCAGTGAGAGTGCTAATCCAGGCTTAACGGTTGTTGCAATATGAGTTATATCCTTAAAAGAGGGGTGATTAATAAAAGTGTGTTTGGACACTTTAACTATTGGGATTTTATTATTTCTACCTTAAATTCTAATTTTGCCGATTGCAAAGCGGTATTTAAGGCCTTATCAAAGTTTTCAAGATGTAAATCCCTGGCGATAGGTGGGATAATTCCACCAAAACTAGAATTTTTAAAAATTAAAATAAAAAAATGCAAATAATAACTACATACTTAACATGTGTTTTTGTTTGTGAATATAGACCTTCACCCAGAACGACCCCATCTTCATTAACTATTCCAATTCCTGTGTCATCGCAGCTAGTCTCAATTCCAAGAACTTTACAGTGGGTCGAATTTCTGAAGACACGTGTTATCGCTCGGTAAACTTTCGATAATTGTGTACTTTTTCAAGTTATTATAGCTAAACTTACTTCGAGTATAACTTTTTATTGTATTTAATATGCCTGGGTAGCTGTTTTATTACTTTTAACATAGGATTGTATGAAAACATAGTAAAATTTTACAACCGGTCCTGCAGGATATATTCAATTGGAACTTATATTTCGTAAACTGGTACTTAAAATTCGTTTGACTTCAGATGAGCCTTGACTTGCATCAAATTTTCGAAATATAATTATGTATAAAAATAACTCTGCTTATTAAAACAAGTAAAATAAGTGAATTTCTGATTTATTGACTATGACAACTTTTCAGTGTACTTAATTAAAACAAATATAGCTATTAAACATAAAGTATGGATTAATAAAAATAATTCTCCATCACTAATATTTAAAAAGTCAAATAGTAGCCTTCTCTCTGAAACAGCAACAGGTGCAGCTAACTGAGTTATTTTGCAATTATAATTCTTTATGGGTCTTTCTCGTAAACCATCAATATTTTCAATGCCACTTAAACCAATTGGACTTTTCATATAAGCAAGAAATCTTTGAATATCAACTACAAAAACGTTTTCTTGGTCTAAAACTTCATCCAAGAATTGTTTAATTCCTTCTTTAACATCAGGATAGTCTATTAGATATTGAGTTGTTAACGCAATAATAATTGGAGCTCTCATTGAAAATTTTGCAAAATTAAAATTATCTATTAACATTCGATAAGCTTCTCCTTTATATTTCGGTTTATTTTTACATTCATTCATAACGGAGCATCTCTCGCCTCCTCCGTCTACAAGAGTGGTTACTGGAAATTCCCATAAGCCTGGATGTGATTCAAGGGGACATTTTAATCGAGTGCATGCCTTGGGATAGTCCAAAGTAAATGGCCATTGCTCTATTTTCGTTTTACCTGTTTGGAGTTTGATAAATAATAGTCATAGACGAAAGTATTATAGATGTAAACCATCACTTACCGCTTTCCTCTTTTTTAGGCGTGTAGATTATCGTAGAATCATATTCATATTGACGATTTGTAAGGACATCGTATTGAAATTGATTACTGCCAAAGAAAGGTGATCGCCAGCCTGTTATATTAGATTTTGGGATATCTGCCTTTTCTTGTAGCTTTTTCCTTTGGCCTTCTATTTCTCCAAACCAGTCTGTATAATCGGCATGAGTGCTCCACCAATTTGGCGGTTCTCTATAAGATATTGAGTGGGAAGCAATTTCAAATCCTTCTTCCCAGAATAGTTTTCCAACAGTACAATAGTCAGTTTTTAAACCAGTAATGGATTTATCAGCTACAAATATAGTAGGTGTTACTCTACCGACATTCATTGGATTTTGTCTATCCGGTGTAAAAATGTCCGAAAGACTGTCGTAAGAGTGTTGATTAACATTTCCTTGAAATGTTAATATCACAAATTGAGGTGTTGAGACGATACGTAGATCACCGGAAGAGGCTGGAGGAGAAGTGAGATCTGGACATAAACAATTAAATTTTGGTCTACATTCAACTTTAGGACATTGTCCATCTCCTCCGTTGAGTATCATAAAAAAGAGGAAGAGAAACAGAATCATAGTTGTTATATCTTTAATATTGGTATAACTACTTTCGAAAAGGAAGTAAAATTTAAACAAAAGATTGGCCTATCTCAACGTTTTGTGTAGATTCCCATTTCTAATAATAATATAATAATAGAAAAATTGTAGATTTACACGTTGTATATTTAAAATTATTGCTAAAATGGCTTTAAAAACATCACATATGATGTGGAAAAGGTAAAAGCAGACGAAATAACAACATTAGAGGCATAAAAAAAGCTTACACAAAAGAAAGAAAAGAAAAAAAAAACAAATATAGACAATAATATTATTTTCCAATGTTATAAAAGCATGGTTATTATTCTTTTATTTTTTTTAAATAAAACAAGTCTTCGCTGTTATTTATATACGAACAAGGAGATATTATTCAACAATAAAGTGACCTTATTCTGAAAAAATATAATCGTCATTAAAATAGGCAAAAAAAAAAGATAAATAGAAATTAAAACTTTTGATAATTTCTTCTATATTTTCATTAACATTAGCTTCTAATTGGCTGTTTGATAAATAAGACGATAGCTAATTTTCCATCTATCTGAATTGATGGGATACAATTTGATAGTTGTCTGAATAGCAATCTCAATTTGATGACTCTGAATGAAGATAGTTAAAGTATTATCTTTCATAGGCAATATTATTTTGATATTCTTCAGTTTCTGTTTTTTGCAAACCTAAAACATTGTCGACATGTATTGCTAAGGTATTTCTGGAGGCGAAAGTTTTTGATTTGACAGCAGAACACATTTTTTTTTGTTTTCTATTTTCAATCTTATCACAATGAATTGGATGGTATTTATGTATCAGGCCAGGATCGGCAGATCTAAACATTCGTAGATTTGCCTTAGATATTAAATGATCTCCTAATTCAATATCTTCTTTTCCCCATCCTTTTATATTTTGGGGAAATCCTCCTGACATTAAGTAATCATCTCTATGTACGCAAAGTTGACCAAAACTCGATTCCCTCCAATAACCGGAATCTTTGTGATATATATCAGATAGATTTGAAGAGAATCTAGGATCAAATTCACTGAACATAATAGGTAGAAAAGCTGTTTCATGTTTTTTAGTGTTTCTTCGCATTTTAACCAAGCTTCCATTTCCTAGTTTAATATCAACGTCAATAAAGCATACTATGCCGCTCTCTATAGAGTTTTTTACAGCAGTATGCAAAAGAACACCTCGCGAAAAGTTTCCATATACTGTTAATGTTTCAATGTTTGCTTCACTCTTGAGATCGTTAAGGGATTCATCTACATTTAACTCTCTACTATTCTCAGATTGTGCAATTAATAGCCTAACATTCTCACTTAAATCTTTCAAGCTTCTCCAAGTTTTTAAAAATCGCTTTAAGGCTTCCGATCTACCCGAAAATGGTACAATAACAGTCAATAATTCTTCTGAATTGATGTGGACCTCTCTAGACATTAATGACTCGAACTTTTCTATACCACCAACATTTGCTAAAACATTTTCATGTAGTCTTATATGTATTTCGTAACAGATACCAAAATTTGGTTTTAGATTAGTATAAATGCTACGCAAATATTTCACAGGCTTATCTTGATAACGTCGTAGGTATTGTAACGACTTTAAAGCAGCCTCTCTAACTTTTGATCGCCTAACACCAAACAGTCGTTTTCTTTGATCTTCAAAGTTTGTTTGATAATGTCTATAACCTTTCCAGACGTTAGTCCATGGTTTATCATTTTTCCAAATATCATTAGAGGGATCCAAGAAGGAATTTGTATAATTATTTAGCGCGAGTATAGAATATATTTTATTACGTAATTCTTGAGCTTTTGCATTTAGGATAAATGCATGGATTCTATACGAATACATAGCATCTTTCAATGGATGAATTGTGAGAGCCTTAAGAACTGCTTTACCAGTAGCGCCTTCCATTTTTGATTTGAAAGATTTATTATTTTCGCTATAATGGGCATAGAAAAGCTTCATCATTTCATAGCTACTTGTACAGCTTACTTTTGCTTTCTCTAGTACACACCTGATGTTGAAGGAAATTCAATAAATAACCAATAATTAATCATTGATAAAATATAATCGGGTATGGTGTAAAAGTGTTATTTAAACGAAATTTACTTTGAGTAGGAAGTAGAAAAATTGATAAATTTTATTTACTCAATATGGAAAAGTTTGCAAAAAAAAATAGTAAAACTAGTGTGCTTACGTTATTGATTTCTATTATACTCAAAATACCTATTCAAGTTATCTTTAACTAAGTTATTGTAAACCAAAAAAGCTTATTATTATTTAATTATGCAGTCTTTTTTTTTTAAATTCATATTCTGGAAGATTGATTTTGTAATACTGTAAAGAAACTTACCTCCCAACCTCAATATCTTCGTGCTCAGTCACATTTAAACTTTGGCATTCGTTTAGATGAGGGCAAATACTTTTTAATAATCCTCTGCTAAATATCATACCAGGACCTCCCATACAATAAAAGTAGCCGGGAGGGAAACCAATTTTTCCTCTCTTTTCCTGTTTACCTTCACCACTCTGACCTATGTACCATTTTTTCTCACTATCCAAACTATGTAGAAATGTCTTTAGGCGATCAATTTTAATGTAGGAATCATCATCTGCTCTAATAAACCAATTATAGCTATCAACGAAATGAGAACACCAATGTTCAAGCATTCTAAAAACTTTTCTCCTTGGTGGGTATTCATCGTCTCTAACTCCTTGTAAACGAATAACTGGGAGTTTAGCACTATTTGTGTGATTCATATAAAAATGTAAATGAGGAAGAGCTGCTACTCCCCAAGATGCTTGAATGAATTTTACTCTTCGGTCTAAAAACTCTTTTGACGATAAAATACCAATATAAATATCATTTCTTGGTTTATAAAGTGATGAACAATCAATACACTTGTGTTGAAATAAAATACTTTTGCAACTAGGGAATCTTTATAGCAGTTTAAGAAGAAAAAGATAAAAAAGTTTGATTAGAAGGAGAAATATGAAGATAAAAGTTAAATACCTCTTTATTAAAAACATTAATAAAACACCAGCGAATACACCGAAAATGTATGCTAACCGTCTCCTGGATCTCATAAGTGTTCTCATATTTAATAGTTTTAGCTGGCTCCAACAGTAAAAATGATAATTTTGCTGTTTTAACAAAAAAAAGTTGATATATAGCGTTTTCCCATCTGTTGTGACGTATCTCTTTTTGTGAAATTATCGATTAGGAATTATTGCTTTATTACTTATAGTTGCAATGTTGCTCAGGTAGGCAGGTAGCACTTTAGAATAATCCTGTTGTTGTAATATTTTTATGTTGAGTTTCATTAAATTTCATCTTGAACACAATAAAAAAAGAGAATAGTATGGTCAAACAGCTACACTTTTCAATGTGTATTGAGTAGTACAGTTGTTCATGTAACTTCTCATACCCGACAAAAGCAAGTTGAAAAATCCCAATTGAGATAAGATAGCATGCAAATGATCAACTAATTAAAAAGATAGCCGACATAGATATGTTTGTGTATGAGTTTATATATGGAAAAAAAAAACATGAACAAATTCATTTATTCATTAAATTATCATAATTAACAAAGAAAACTAGTTATTGGTTAGTTACTGAAATAATTTTTCTGAAGACATTCATTAATTCTAAGGATACAAATATTCAATATTTATAGAATATATTATTACTGTTAAGTAAACAATTCTTCTTTAAATTGTAAATATAACGATTGAAAGTGGAGACTAATTTTCTCTTTTTTCATTTAAAATCAATTTATATATGAAATTGAATGGATTGAAAGGAAAATGAAAGTGAAAAGGATAATTTTATTCTACTTTACAAAGTTAAAATAATAATATTGAATTTTAAATAATTAGTTTTTTTAACTGCGTTTAAAACATCTGTTTTATATGAATAATATCCCATTTTTCTAAGATATAATTTATAAAGCTGTTAAATTTATTTTCTTATGTAAGCCGTTTTCTATATTACCAATTCTCGATCTACATAATCCTTAATATAAGCTCAAAATAAACGATAATTTAAACCGTCACATTTAAGTTTATCAATATATCGTTTTCATTCAACTATGATCTGATATATTTCAATAATCGATCGGAAAAGGAACATTAACTATTCTTATATATGAAAAACAAGAGTACTTATAAAACACCTGCAAAAGGAATAAACTGCTTCATTCCTCTTAGTAAGATCTCTAATAGATTTAATTGACCGTATAAATGATTAACAGATTTATTGGCCAATTTTATGTTCAGAAGACTATGTATTTTTCTAAATATTCCCGATATTTTATAATGAATTAAATCTCTCTAAAATATTCATATCCTCATCTTCCTCCTCCGCCTCCCACTCATCCTAAATAAATATTCCAAAGATCGATATATTCGTCTAAGAGAGAGAGAGAAAGAGAGTGAGAAACAAGTATTTTGCAAACTGCCTATTTAGCATTATTATAAAAGCCATTAGAGAATGAAAAATAACAAAGATTTCTCTTTTTTATTATTTTGTAATGTGACATTTTATTAAAAGTAAAATTATAAAAAAAAACTAAAAACTGCAACACTAACAGTAAATATTAAAAACGTTCAAATGTACAAAATGTGCTACTAATCACATTATAAAAAGACTAAAGCAAGACATAACAATAAAAACAGCTGTTGTACCCCGATTTTTATGTCAACATCCGGATAATTTAACTTCGCTTCCAGGCTTGAATAGTATTTTTCCCTTTAAAACAAAAAAAACGACAAATCTTTTAAATCGTTTATTTTCTTAGAAAAAAGAAACAAAGCCTATTATATTAATATCTTTTTATATATAAATGTATACTATATATATAAAAACATTTAAGTTTCTTGATTACTTGACTATGTACACAAGTAAGGTTTTTTTTCCTTGACAATTGAGGAAGTAATAGCTCCTAAATTAGAAATAACATACAAAATATAAAGTACAATCTATAAATATTCTAATATGTTGTAAACAGGTAATAGGTATCGCTTTCTACGAGACTAAACTGAACATATACATCCATACACACTGTATCTATTAGCTACTAGTCGCTTATGAATGTCTATCATATTTTTAAGTGATAAAATAAGAGAAAGGAAGAAATTAATTACATTGCAGGAGGATTGTAAATTATTAACAATAAAATAGGTGTGAAAGAGCTTTTAGTTAAAATAACTAGCAATAAACACTTTGTAGATTTATAGCTTTTCAATACATTTATTCGGACTCTATGTATACAATATATGCAGCTATAATTTATCTAAGGGAGTATTGATCTATCATTTTATTAAACCCAACCAGTTGGCGTCGAAGAGACACGAACGGAATCAATATGAGCTAAATGAAAAGACGGCTTTCATTCAAACTCGTACAGTTAGCTTTGTATAGCAAGATAATCCTTATTGAACGAGTTTGCATAGCTACAAGCCAAAATATAAAGGATACTGTTATGGTAAGTAATATTTCTCTTATCTTTCACGATTTCCGATAGTATTAAGCGTCTAAAAAGAATCTTAGCCCTTAGTCTTTATCAAATTTCTTCAAGCTGGCGGTTTGTCCATAAATTCTTACTTATATTGGCGTTTTTTCAAAGATTTTACATTCTTACGTCCGATTAAAGACTTACCTACTTATCTTAAATCATTTAATACGTTGTAATTATCTCTTTTTGAGCATGTAGTATCAAGTGCTCTTTATTTTAAATTTGGCCTTTTGTTTTCTGACTTGTGATTACATTTACTAATCATAGTTCACATGGTAAAAAGAATACTGTATATATGAATTTGTTTAAAATTCTATTCATTCTTTTGTTGTCAGAGTACCGAGGACGAAATACCCGCTCCTACAGCAGAACAACTACAGCCGGAAGTTATAGCAGGTTTAATATCCTTTATTTAAAAATTTCTTGTCGTTATTTAAAAATATAATTAAACAGTTTGTTATTTGTATTCTTAATAAGAAATTCAAGAGGTTTTCTCCTTCTTCGATAAAGATGGAGATGGATGTATAACGACGAGGGAGTTGGGTCCCGTATTAAGATCTCTAGGTCACAATCCTGCCGATAGTGAAATTAATAGACTTTTAGAGGAATTCGACGAAGATGGTAACTGATATACGAAATATTTAAGCATATATTTAAACGGATAACGCAATTTTTAGGCAGTGGTACTTTAGATTTTACTGAATTTCTAACGCTAATGGTTCGAGTACCAAAGGAGGAAGGTACTCAAGGTCTAACTGAGGAAGCATTTCAAGTATTCGATAAAGAGAACAATGGTCAAATATCCGTAGCAGAATTACGTCATATAATGACAAATATGGGAGAGAAATTAACAGACGAAGAAGTAGACGAAATGATTGAATTTGCAGAACCAGACAATAATGGAGAAATTAATTATATAGGTAAAATGATACAATAATAAAAAAGTGTACTCTTTATGGTATTTTAATTTTGCAGAATTTATTAAGAATATGCTGGCAGACAGTAAATAAAGAATATAAATAATTTCCATTGAAAGTGATATATGTAAACATAAAGACATTGTCATAAGGCCAATACTATTGAATATCTTAGGAAAAGAGAAGGAGAAAGCAGGACATCTCTGTAGTTGTTTTTTCCTTTTTTTTATTTTGATTTTTTTTTTATTTTGATTTTATATATTAAAAAACGTTCTTAGTTTTATTCAAGAACACAATCAATTTATGCTATTCTGTCGTATCTGGTATACTATTTATGCTTTTAATTATTCTTTTCTTACTTGGGTATAACCTGTATTTACGAAAGATGTACTGTATTTTCAGTATATGTATATATATATATTAGTATATATGTTAATAAATCAATCAGTCTATCTTTATATAGACTAAATATGATTTATCTCTTCATTAAATCGTTGATATGTTTAAAAAGACCAATCCTTGACATAGTTTATTTGCTACAAAAAATATAATCAGGATTTTTGTTGCTCTATAAACCGGTAGATGGCGTTAAGTATTGTTTTCTAAAAACTTTTTATAAAGTTGAATTGAGAAAACATTTGTTGTCATTTTTATCTTTTGTGCGATTACTTGAAAAGTAAAAATAGTTGAGTTAACTTTTGTTACATAAATCATGATAAAAAAGGAAAATGATTGGCTGTACTCTTTACAAGAGGACAAGTGTTACAAATTGCTATATAAGTTAATATTTAGGTGAATATTCAACTTGGGAGAAACATTGTATATAAATAGAATAGATATACTACTCATTTATATATTTTTACAGTTGATTAGCTATGACCGAGATGAGGTTTAAAGAGAGACCATTGTTGCTTTTTAAGCATAATAATCTCTTGAGATGTTAGGAAACAAGCAGCGGATCTCGATTGTAATGCAGCCATCTTTGGAAGACCAAGAGTGGACTGGCATTTTGAATGCAAATAAGATAAATTTCATTATTCAAAAGACATATTATTGATTTTTTTTTATTTTATTAATTATTTTTTCCCTTCTTCCCTTTCTCTTCTTTCTGAGTATCTTTCTTAGGGAAATTTAAGGTTTTCTAAGGAAATTTTCATCTACCGAAATTGAATTTTGACTGGTTAGCCTTTAAAGAACCTCTGATGTATGATTAAAAATCTTAACCTTTTCAAGTGAGTAGCTAGAATTGATGAATGGATAAACAACGGGCGTATGGTGGTATATTTCTTTACATTCCAAGAATATTTCTATTATTATTTATACCATTTTTTATATTATATATGAATGGGAAATTTGTAAAATAAATTGTAGTTGTTTACTTTTGTTTTCTTCTAAATAATTCTGTTTACGAATGCGTAAACACGCGTAAAACAAAGAATCTCATTATATATACATATATATACAGTATATATTTATTAGAATCAACAGACAGATGGAGCTAGCTGTTATTCTTAAAATTGATATCTTCATCAATCATACTCGACAATATTCATCGACATATAGCAGGTCTTCAGCAAACGTCGAACAATAATCGCTCTAAATTAGACGCTTCCCTTTATTGTTCGCGTCCTCGGCGTCCCCCTTGCTTAAGCTGGCGCGAGTGCGGATTAGGGCGGTGAAAAGAAGAATTGTGCAGCTTGCAAACAAGCCGTTTGTCCCTTGGCAAACGGCCGTCATTGATTTCTATTACTAACGTATTACTCCTGCGAATCGCTATGCCTATAGTAACAGATGTCGGCGGCGTCTCTACGCCAGATCGCCGAATGAGAAATTCTTGTTGGGTGCCTATTCTGATTAATTCACCTGTTAAAATCAAGCACAAAGTTTAAAAGGACTTTCCTTATGTTGGTTAAAGTTCCAATGAATTATTACCGTCAGTTGTTGAACATTTTTAACAGATAAGGCCAAAAGAGTCAGAGAGACCATTTGCCTAATTATTATAGGTTCTGGCATGTCTCTCGAGTCGACATTCTCTAAATGTTAAAATAAGCCATGTCAGTGAAATATTTTAAAGGATTCCATCACTCCATTAAGACTCTTTGTCTTGTTTATTTCTGCCTCTCTTCGTTCGTGAAAGAGTTATTAATGGACAAATGAAAATTTAATATAAATATGTAATTGATATATACTTGCATAAACTAATACTTTATATATAGAAAAAGTGTCTCTTATTTATATCTATATAAATGTTTGTTTAAAGCATTTAAGAAAAAATTTATCGTCTTTAAAATAATTTCCTTTCATGCGGCTAAGCGTTGCGGCAAACTTATTCAACTACTAATCCTATAATTTTCTCATTCTGCCACCCCTTTTAACTAAGTGGAAGAACATATAATTCAAGGTTCTTTGAATGTAGTCATCCTCGAAAATCTTGCAAGAATAATTAATAACTCCTACAGGTGTAAAACGCCTTTGTAAGTTTTTTTTATACCGTTAATCTGGCCGTTATTTTTCTTTTTCTCTTCAAAATACGAAAATATTTACAATCGTCAACAAGCAATAAAATAAAAGGAAAGAGTTAAGAAACAAAAGAATCAAAGTCCTAAGAGTAACGTAAAACCCATATTCCATAGGGTATACGATTGTACATCGGTTCGGGAAAGAAGAAAAGAAATCTCCTAAGAACTTCCCTACAATTAATTCGCACACCTATTGCACTACAAAACGCACCTGACACATTTTCACATAAAGGGCAGGTTGGCCAACAAAGACCGAAGAAATCTTCCCATCTTATACATTTTATTTGCATCTTTCATAAAATATTATGAAGATTTTATTCATGAAAAGTATCTATAATTTTTTTTTTATTCTATCTAAATCAATTCATCGCAGCCAAATGACGAGTTATAATCTGTTTTTACGCCATTTCGCCATAGTGATAATATTTAACTGTTTTATGATTTTATTTGTATTACGACAATAGCTTCGAGACAGTGATAATAATCGTGAGAAAATGTATTAAAAAAAAGAAAAGGAGAGAGGGAAGATAGACGGAATAAGGAAAGAGAGTGGGGGTCGAATATAAAAGGAGATAAGTTGTTATTTTTCCCCTTTTTTGCTCTTTATCGTTCGAACACCTGTAAAATGCCGAAAATGTATTGGAAAACTCTAAATGCGGGAAAAAAAGTTCAGATAAAAAAATCAGATTATTTTCGCCGATCATCCGATCGTCGCAATTTCACGCACCGCCGATTGCGAGCAAAGAGACGGCCCGATGCTAGAAAATTCACTCGGGAATCGAATTTCGAATAGGGGCGTCTATCTCGGTCACGAAGAACTGCTGAGATAAATCTTACCGTTGAAATTCTATACTGAGCAGAATTTCATAGGTCTATATATGATAGATATCGTCTGTAAAAACTTTTTTCCTAGCCATATGTGAACATTATTTAAACGCCATATGTATTTATATATATAGAGCATATAGAAATATACATAAATTTACATTTCTTAAATCGTTTAGTATATAAAAATAAGGAGCTTTGAATATGATAAATATTACAAAGGAAAAAAGTTTTAACGGTTAAAAAGAGAGAGCGAGCAACAGAGATAGACAGAAAGAAAGACGTATACAAAGATAGAGATAGAGAGAAAGAAAGAGACATACACAGAGAGAGAGAGAGAGAGAGAGAGAAAGACATAGAGAAAGAATAAAATAGACAAAAAATGGGATAAGGGTAAAGATTGAATATTATAAGAAAACGACAACTTATAAGTATTATGTAGGAATAAAATAGTAAATAATAGGAGGGAAAATATTTTTAATCAATTATTTAACTAAAAGACGAAAGCTGTTAAAGCAGTTTTTCACCTATCAATAAATTATTTTTGAATTGTTTAATGATAAATATAATTTTTTTATACAAATAATAATTGATTTAATAAATTGTATTTGATTCGATCTTGATTAAATGTTAAGATAAATCTTATCGTTAAATATTTATGCCTTTTATTTAGACTATTCAAGGGTTGTTTTTCAAGATCTTTAGATAAGAGACTTAATCTTTCCAATTCAACTGAACAACAAGCGTAACAAAAATATAGAAGAGAAGAGAGAAAGGGAAAGCAAGAGAGAGAGAGAGAGAGAGAGAGAGAGAGAGTTGGGTGGTGAGAGAGAAGGGGAGGGAAGGAGGGGAGGGCGGATTGAGAGAAAAAAAGACAGTCAGAAAAAAAAATAAACGGATAGAGAAATATTCAATTCAAAAGATCTTAATACGCAAGACGTTTTATTGTGGTAGAATGAAAAAATGAAAAACCTCTTTTATCTTTATAAATCTATTGTATTATAATATATTTTGAATTTGCAATTTATTTGATTATTTCAAAACTTTTCCTTCTAATTGAAAAAGAAAACGGAAAATCTATAAGTCGATAAATAAATATTCTTATATCAAAGTATAAAATAATAATTGTACTTAATTAATAATTAATTGATAATGGGGGAATCTATTTATTCAATTTTTATAGTTTACTATAAGAATAAAAAAAGTTTTCTCTTCTTTTTTAACTCTTTTCTCTCCGTCCCCACTCCCTTTCGGCCGCTTTTCTTTTTTTCTATAAAGAGAAGGGAAATAACGGATAAAGAAAAGTAGAGTAAGGCTTATAGTAAAACAGATAATTTAGAGTAAAGATACTATCGACTCTGGCAACTCTAGCAGGAAGGGGATCTTTCACGAATCGTTAAAAGAGTTGGGTTTTGGAGTATCTTCTCAAATATGAAGATAAGAAGATATAGTGAGAAAATAAGAGATTAACATACCAAGAGAGCACGAAACAGATAAAGCCCATGTTTATTTATTCTACTTCTTATTGAAATTGATCAATTAAGCCGAGGGAATTTAAAGAACGGATGTTATCTGAATATTGAGTAACTGATCGGTTTCTTCAATATTTACATAGAATATAAATTTTGATGGGTTGATGTTCACAAAACATCGTTTTCCCCATCGGGTCAAATAATTCAACAGGTCACTGCTTCAAGAGGTCAACGTAAACTGCGACCCGTTTCATCTTTTAACCGTCAACAAAAGAACAGAATGATAAAACTTCTCCTTCAATGAACCGCCCCTTACTCCAGCCCCTTAATTTTCATAGTCTCTTAAACGAGTAGGCCTTCCCCTATAAATTCCTTATATACGTGGCTAAAAAAGACGAAAAGAAAATGTAGGCGAATGTTCCACTCGTTTTCGATTCTCTAGACTGTCATTACGGCTCATCGACTGCGAACGTTTCTCGCTCTTTCATCTTCCTTTCCAAAAGCCGCCTCGAGCTCGTTTCGGCAGTTTGTTTGCTATCTATTAGACTTTGGGCTATGTCTATTGGCTTTTTTTCTTCTATTCTCTTTTGTTGGATTAAGCCTCGTTTAATCGAGAAGTAAAGAAGTTTGTCCTCAGGAAAAGCTTCACTTTTCCAGTTTATGGCCCCACGTCAAAATAACCTTCTTATTATGCTATAAATAGAAGTTTTCCGCTATCTATTATATTTTCAGGCGGGAATTTCTTGATTGGTGGTTGTCAACCAGCATTTCTTATTAGGGAATGCGTCAACCAACCGTCTTCCTTAATGTTCTAAACAGGAAAGCATCTATTCTCTAAT